GATGGCAGGGCACTCACGCTTCCCCTTTGCCTTCGCCGAGACTTGTTCTTCCTCCTCCTCCTCCTCCTCCTCCTCCCCTTCCTCCCCTCGTCCCGCTCGAGCTCCTCCTCGTCCGGCGATTCGTCGTCCTCCCGGCGCGCACGCTGTTTTCCCTTCCGGATCTCGGCGGGGTCGTGGACCGCTGACGCTTCTTCGTTGCGGGCTTCTTCCCCTTCCGCCGGGATTGCGTCGGTTCCTCGTCATCGATCTCCATGCGGTCGTCCTGCACCGGCACCTCCTCCTCGCCATCCGAGTCGTTTCCCGCAAGCTCCTGGAAGCGTACGGCTGGGCCCTGGCGGGATGGTCCCGCGGTTGCATTCCTCGAGCCACGCGGGGAATACAATCCCGTCACTGCGAGTGGGTTGTACCACTCGCAGTCGGCAGGCGGTCGTCGTCCGGACGAATGAGCGAGAGCCTCACCGGGACCCCCTCCGCGTCGACGATGTTGAGCTCCACGATGGCCGACAGGAGCACCAAGGGATCACCGGACGGTCCTCGGGATCCTGTTCCTGCGACCAGGCCAAGGCGATCTCGAACATGACCTCGCGCTGTAGAATACGGTCAGCATCGCTTCGACCATGCGTGATATGGATTATACTTACCACGAGTTCACCAGGGGTTCCATCTGCAAAGTCGAATGTCAACACCACCGGCCGGTGCCCAAAGTATGCTGTGAATACTTACGATCCTTCCAACAGCTCCTCCTCTTCGTCCACCTCAACCAGGCGGCCTCCAAGGAGTTTCAGAGACGCTCGGTTGCTCCTGTAGGTACGCGGCCATTTGTCCCGGCCTCATTGCCGTGACCGGAGGCTCGGGCTCGTAGGCCGGGTCGGCGGCGGCGGCGGCGGCGGCGATGGCATTTCGTCGACATGGTTCGGGCGAGCAGAACAAAGCAGAGTGGACGGAGTTGCGAGGACGGGGCGGGGAGACAGAAGGTGATGAAAGCAAGAGACAAGCGACGCGAAGCCACACCGATCGCGAAATCCAACACCGACGGTCACGTGCACCCGGCGGGCCGCGGGAAATTTACCCGAAGATGAACATCGTGATGGCGCGTCGCCTTGTTGTTGCATTCCATTCTCTACCAGGTCCATCCACCTTGGATTGATGTCTGCACAAGGTACCGTTGTTCTGCATTTGTCGGGGCACGTACTGACTACTCCGGCCAGATTCTGCCAGTCCAGCCGCATCCGGCATCAAGAATATCACTGGCGCCGGCACCCAGCCCGATGTGGCGCGCCACTATCCGCTGTGGAAGACGGGGCTGTTCAGCCTGAGGTAAGCCGATGTTTCCGATGTCTTCCTGAGTTGCACTGACAGTCCTTTGTGCTACTCGGCGAGACAGAGCACAGTCAATCTCAGGACGCAGACCCCTAGCACGGCACCGGGGATGCCAAGACGGGAACTACCGTGTTCGGCCAGGAGGGTTTAATGTCCCAATGAAGCGTAAGGGCTCGCATGCCCCGCCCGAAATGTAAGTCCCTTTGTTTCGTTCCTCTAACACTGACCGACGTGTATGCAGGACCGAGCTCAGTCTGTCCGGCGCGAGACGGATCTCGCGGATGCCGGGGAGTTACAGCAGGCCCCAGTCAAGCGTGTCAGAACTTCGGTGAGTGCTGATACTCTGGTACGTTAGCAAATCCTCACACTAATCAACGCGATCGCTCAGCCAACCACGACACGGGTTACTCCGTCGGAAACGGATACGGTGGATGCGGGCGTTTCGCAGGCACTGCCACGCCCCGAAAGTCGACATGACGCAAGTCAGGTACGCGACGTTCCGGCTTGCATGGCCTGTGCATAACTTTCCTTTCCTCATGACTTTGATCGCACCACGCTCTAGGCAAATCAACCCCCGGCGCGCGCGGCTACCGAGGCCTTTGTCAAGATTGGAAAATGGGGACTGCCCTTCAGGAGGAGGCCGGAGGTATGTGTTTCGTGCTACGTGAGTTGGTCGGCACTTACCAGGCTTTGACTCGGGAAACGAAAAGATGTCGGGACGTTCGGGCAACAGTGCGCCGCCTCGCCAGCCCGCTGTTGCCGGAGGCCAAGCCGCATCCACCGAGCCCGGGGTAGGGAGGAGTGACCCGGACGTTATGGTTGTGGGCCACACGAAGCCGGCCCGTGGAATCACGGTCAACGATTCCGACGTGGAGATCGTGGACGACGGCAGCCAAATCCTCGCAGGCAGCACAAATCGCAAGCCGCCGCCCGCTGTGTCCACCAAGCCTCGTCCACGCCCTCGCATGCTGAAGGCACCTCGGCCCGATGGGTTCGTTGGGCCATCGTTGACTCGGGACAACACGACTATGGCAGGCGGCCGGGCGGCGCGATTGATCACCTATGGGCAGGCATCGAAGCCCGATGGCATGGCGCACCCCGCGCTTGAGAGGGAGCAGCCGGGTCGCGAGATCGCCCACGCACCTAGCGGGGCTCCGGATCCAACTGTGTTGGAAGACAGCCAGCTCAGGGCCTCGGTACGTGGTTATCGCACTATGTCAGACATATGCTCATTTTTGTACCCAGTCTTCAGACATTACGGAGTCGATTGCGAACAGGGACGAGAATGGTGAGTGACCTTTTCAACGGGCAGTTCTGCGTGGCCTGGGTCCCGGCACTGCGTGCCGGGTAAGCTGCGTGTCCCTGCAGAAGGCAATACACTCGCCCGGACGGCGGGGTAGGCTTCGGCGTGCATCAGGACTTCATGACAGCTCTGTGTCAAGTCTGATGACATCGTGTTTATAGCATATCGATTCCACGACGAGGCGATGTTGCTTGGCAGGGAACAAGATCCCTTTTTCACATTCTCGGTTACAATGACTGACCGGTATGATTATGGAAATAACCTGTGGGAGGCAGACAGTCACCCCGCCGTAGACTGGCCGCCAAACTGTACTGTTAGTTTCCACGGCCCTGATTCCTTATTTACTAACTCTTTGCATACTCAGTTCCCGGCCCAGCGTTCACGGGTTCCACACCGACAAGAGTTGCCGAGCTTCAGGCTGAGAAGGCGATCATCATGGCCCGCATTGACGCCCTCAACGCGCTTCAGGCAGCTAACAATCGGAACAATCGTGCCATTGACTGGGTGGTCGAATACTATCAGGCGAGGGGTCACTCGGGGTGATGGGTCTAGTCTTCACACGTGTATTAGTTATTCGTAGTGCACCTGAATGCTATGCTGGCGTGGGTCACAATAAAGCCTTCGCCTGGTACCAATGAATGCAGAGCACCCAGTTCAAATGGCCGGCTGCATGGTCTCAAACTGACCGGCCGGAACGTTGGAGACGTCGGGCCGAGTGCACCCTGCGAGCCCGGGTACGGCCGCAGGGCTACATAGATGGCCGGCCGGAACGTTGGAACGTCGGGCCGAGTGCACCCTGCGAGCCCGGGTACGGCCGCAGGGCTACATAGATGGCCGGCCGGAACGTTGGAGACGTCGGGCCGAGTGCACCCTGCGAGCCCGGGTACGGCCGCAGGGCACTAGATGGCCGGCCGGAACGTTGGAAACGTCGGGCCGAGTGCACCCTGCGAGCCCGGGTACGGCCGCAGGGTACTAGATGGCCGGCCGGAACGTTGGAGACGTCGGGCCGAGTGCACCCTGCGAGCCCGGGTACGGCCGCAGGGCTACATAGATGGCCGGCCGGAACGTTGGAGACGTCGGGCCGAGTGCACCCTGCGAGCCCGGGTACGGCCGCAGGGCTACATAGATGGCCGGCCGGAACGTTGGAAACGTCGGGCCGAGTGCACCCTGCGAGCCCGGGTACGGCCGCAGGGCTACATAGATGGCCGGCCGGAACGCTCCCAACGTTGGGCATAGCACACCCGGGTTTCACATGAGCAATGCTAATGTCCGGCCGCAGCTACTCCGATGTGTCTGTGCAACCATGCATCCCGGGCGGTCGCCACGTTCGCAGTATGCTGCGGCAACACCGGCCGGAACGCTTACATCGACCGACTGCTTGCTCCGGTCGGCCTCCGGGTCAACGTTCGAAACGACCGAATCTCACTCCGGTTTTGACGTTGGTAACGTGTTAGACACACTAAATAATGTGCTGTCTGCCCGTCCACCTCAGTACCAACAGGCTCGTGTGTTCACTCACCTATTCGAAATGGGCTGCGACGCGCGTTTGAGCTGACTACCAAAAGTGCGGACACGACGAGGTTAGTGGTCACAACGGAAGCACACGCACTGACCTTTTTGAAGGTACATTCTGACCGTGACGCGATGCGTGGCCTGCTTCTGAGGCACGGGCCGGGTGATGGGCAGGGCGAGGGAGCTGAGACGGTGGCGTGCAGAGGAGTCAGCAGAGATAAGGAGTGCGAGAGGGAGAGGGAGACCTCTGTGACCGTCACGTACCGGGCAACAGTGCTCGGAGGCGTTTGCTCTGCAAATGCGCGCGGGGGATCGAGGTCACGGGCTGCCAATGGTTGTCAGAACGGGTACACACACACCAACAGGGACGTACCGACTGTCATGGTTAGCTGTCCCAGCGCGGTACAGCACGACGTGGGCTGTGATCTTTGATCATGCTGGAGTATCCGATGAACGCCGACGGTGTACCCGAGCTGCCGTCTGAGCACGACGCGCATTGGGATTGCGTTGGGATGCGGGGCTGGAAGGGCAGACAGATTGTCGTGAAATGGACAGCAGGTACGTACCATGTGCTCATCCTTTCGCGAGGCTCCTGAGCCACGTATCCTCCCGCGCATCCGTCTACTGTCAAGTCAGCGGGCTTGTTGCGTAGTACTACATCGGGCGTTGAGGATCGCGAGGAAGAGACTAGCAGAGACAAGAGACACGGCGCCACTACGCAGAGTCAGATTACGACCTGCCCTAAACTTGATCTTGATCGACCACGTCGCTACAACGCCACGTCGACTCTCGAGCGTCCACTTGCTCAGTACTCAGTACTCAACGTTCTGTCAACTGTCGAGTCAACTACCCGCCCACATTCACGTTACTCGCACGCTGCCGCTCCAACCTCCATCAAGTAAATGCCACCCCATAGCTGCTGTTGCCATGCAGAACGGCCTCCTACCACTCCCAGTTGAGCACCACAGATGTGCTACGCATCGCCGCTCGTGCCCTTACCTCGCTCGCTCTCAGCTAGCTGCTGCGTAGACTCCACATGGGGCTCCAGTCCAACAAGTTGTGCGTAGAACATTTTGTCCGTCTTAATCCTGCTGACATGTATACGTGAATCTTGCATGCTGGCATACAGGGGCTCTACTGTCGTGTACCAACTTGTGTGGGCAAGGTACTGTCATCTTGCCTGTCTCGCTCGCCTACGATGTACGCATCTGATCCGTTCACGGAGTGAGTGCCTACAGTCCAGAGCTGGCCCGAGTCGGACCGACACACTGCTCACATCTTCCTCCTCTCCATCCTTCTCGCCGCGTCTGCCAAATGGCTCTACTAGTACTGCCACGTGTGCGATGCTCCACTCGCACGGACGCTCGCTCTCGTCGCCCAACCATTGCAACGATGATGGCCCGCCTGGCTGCGAACCTGCCTGCTTGTTGGTGCGCAACGCTCCACGCAGCCGCCCTCCGCGTCCTCGAGAGGCCTGGCAATCCGGATGTTCCTTGCGTGGATGACGCAGCCGATAGTAGAGGAAGCTCTGTAGCAGGCCTGTGTCAGCGATGTTCGAAGCCACGACCAGATACAAGCTACCTCACGTGTTCTCAGCATCGCGCACACCGAACACGTCGATGAATCGACATTACGCATGATTGTGAGCCTGCCGCCGAGTCGTATGCGCATGTGGGCGAGTTCGTCTAATACCCGGTTAGTAGTTTCGTCACTAGTATGCACAGCTCATGCTACTTCATTCGCAGCCCTTGCCTTTATAGGACTGGCATGATATACCCGATGAGTAGATTCGAACAATCGAGACGTAATCACATACCATTCCCAGTACTGCCTGTATAGTACCCTTGCGTCTTTGTGCTCCGTAGTGTATCACCCAATGAATTGAATGTTGCTCAATCTCAATTCGTGCTGTCAATCAACTGTAAAGTCTGTCATAGCATCGAGGGAATATGCTACTAGCAAAATACTACGAGTCAATGAGACAGTAATAGCGGATCATGCTCCGGAATGCACCATATTACTTATGCATTCGTACTGGAAAGAGAGGGGACTAGCTAACAAAAGCTATTCTCAAAAAACTCGGGAACATACGTCATTACTGTCTATTCCGCAGAATAACAGTGCATTATGGCGCATTCACGGGAGGGTTTTTTCCTGATGCATGTACCTCGCTTCCTCGCTCATCAAGAAAGCTACCACGTCCGCGATCTCTTCGGGAGTCCCGAGTCGACCGAGGCTGTTGCCGTCCTCCATTCGCATCACGTCCTCCCCGCCCTTGACCACGCCCGAGTTCGTCGGCGTATCGATATATCCAGGCGCGACGACGTTGGTCCGCACGCCCTTCGGCCCCAGCTCCAGCGCCATGCTCTTGCTGAACCCAATCACCGCATGCTTCGTCGCGCAGTACACCACCGGGTGACCCAGGAGGTCGGATGAACGTTGGGAGAGGACAATGTTGAGCGACTATCTCACCGACATTCGATCGATGTAGATTACGTGTGAGATTGATATCAGCGTATATATCGTGGCGGCGTCTCATGGACATGGATTGCGCGTCGTCCTGACATGCCATCGATGTCCCCGCCCAACCTCGCTCCATTGTCTGCCTGAGGCCCTAAGGATGTCGATCGTGCCTCTTGTTAATGTCCTTCTCGGTGAGGTTCTTTCATTGCTCAAATCAGTCATGTGCCCGACATCGCGAGGGAACGTCGAGTCCAGGTGAGTGCTCACAGTTCGTTGAGCGTCGATACCGCACACACAATCACTCCCGGGGAGGATGGCCTCCTCTGACGATGAGTTCATACCTTCGCAGATCATCCCTCAGGTTCACCCTGACTCTCCTCGCCATGTCAAGCAACCGAGGAGGGCGGCGGTTGTTGCTCGCCGAAGTACCACTAGGTACGGCAGCTCTCGTCGCGTTATACATTGGCAATACCCCATCGTTATCAGTTCGTGTCTATTGACCTGGTTCTCACAGGCAACTTGCCCACGGCGGCGCGCTCGACTCGCAAACGAGCGATTCACAACACATCCGCGTCCTAGTAGCAGAGGAGTCGGCACGCGCAGAGACAGAAAGCCTTAATAGGGATGGCGCAGATGACGAGGACGATGGTATGTCAAATCTTTTCTACCTCGCAACTAATAGGTCTAACGAATCACAATGCAGAGCCAGTCGTGTGCGGCAAGGACGTTCCGGACGAGAGTGGCATCGCGAACTGCTGCGACTGCTGCAGCGAACTGAAGCTCGCACACCAAAATCTCAAGATCATTCGCGAGCTCAACCATTACCAGAGAGACGAGCTCAATAGGCTCCAGAACATTATCGATGTGTTGAGGCTCGACCCGGAGCAACAATCTCAGGCCGTCCGGGAACCATCGCCAGTGGTCCATCGTGATGGCGTGTCCGTTGGCGAAGGGTTCGTAGAAACCCTTCCCTGATACTTGACATGCACACTAATATTGTCTACAGATGTGGCGGCACGACCTCGCACGGATATGGATCTGGAAGATCAGATGTCAAGGTCGAACAGGGAAGAAAGAGGGCACGGCGCGAAGGCAGCTACTGAGGCTCAGTATGCGAGTCCGCCTGGCGTTCCGAGGGCCAAACTGCCTCCATGCTGTACTACATACGTGCCGTCGCCATTACGATTACAGACCCTCGCAATTATTGTTTCCGAATCAAACGTACTATTATCGAGCGAGGTTCCAGAGTGACATGATCGACGTTATTTTGTATGGCCATTAATGGAAATATATGACTTCGCGCCGACGCGCAGCGACCCTTGACTGCTTGCACTCACAGGTCTCTTGTCTGCTCTTTCTTCCTCACTCGTGCATATATTGATGTCTGGGTTCACTCGTCGCCAAGGTGAGTCCTGCGTTCTTCATTCACGAGAGCTGACCATCATGCCATGACTCGCTCATAGATTTTGAGCTTGATGGGCAACATGGCCGGTGTAAACTCTGTCCGCATGCGAGCTGGGCAACGGCACCGCATCTCCGTGAGCACGAAAAGACGAAGGGTCACCAGAACGCGGTCGCTGCCCTGCTCCGTTCACAAACTCAAGCCGTGCCGGGTCCACAACCAGCTCCAGTGAACCCATTCCAAGCTCGTGTCGACGAGTGGTATGATGAGGCAGCCTTCGACATTGATGTTCACCCGCAGGCACCAGCCTCGCAGGTTGATTCTGGTGCCGGCTTTGAGGTCCCCTGGCTTCAAGGTGCAAGTGACCACCTCCGAGTCGCGTCAGGCTCGGGGTCGTCTGCGCCTGCCATACCTCCCGAAATGCAAGACGCGCTGGCAGGCCGAGTCAACTTCACAGCTGGCGAGGCTTATGGGGGCGGCGCCGGCCTGAGTCTTGAGGATGTCCTCATGGGAGCCGGTCTCATGAATCCAGACCCGCTCGAGGAGGAGCTCCCGCCGCATATGGACGATTTAGATTTGTCAGGCGATAATGAGCGATTGATATGTGTGTACCACTAGGTTTTTGCAAATGCTTGGCTCTGACAATTAACCGGCGGCTTGGGTTCTGTATGCGACAGTGGACCCCGACAGTGCACAGGATATCTCGGACTCTATCTTTGGGACCTCGCATGGCGCAAGTACCAACCCGGATTTGTCGTACTTCCCATATCCCAACAAGAGCGTAGGCATCTAATCCAAGTTTCATGTATCAGTCGCGCTCACTGTGCTCATCTACTACTCATTCTACAGATGATGAAGACCGACATTCTCTTTAGCTCACCACGAATGCGTTTCTCTCGTCAACAAAAGGAGGCAATTCTGGCGTGGGGGAAGTCCCTCGGAGCGAAGGATGTCCCATCTTTACATCGCGTCGACAAATTCCAGGATGAGGCTCTCGCGGCTGTGGGAAATCCGACCGCCAAAGTAAAAACAGACTCCGGGAACATTTTCTATACCAACAAGATTGCGGCTGCGTTGTCAAAGGTACAGTGCTATGGCATCATGACCAATGGTACAATCCTCGTGCTGAACCTGGCTCTGTGCGATGACTGTATCAGGACTATGCGCATCCAGAGACGAGACGTAAGATGCACCTGCTCCCGGAGTTCGTGCCCAATGGAAAGCCAATCACCGAGGTCTGGCAGACGAAGAAGTGGCTCGTCGACGTGCCTGATGATCTCCTGACACCAATGGTCCGTATCCATCGGAAGGATTTCTACGTTCATGAGCTGGTCTATTGTAGTGACGGAACATGGTTCTTACCTCAACGGTTCTTCGAGTTGGAGGGTAATCCTTGGTCTCTCGGTCTTGTTGCGCAATCAACAGAGGTCGGTCGGACATCATTAGTGGAATCTCGATCATTAACTGACATGCATTGAACTGATATCAGAACGGCCTGGTCGTCTCTGATAACCGAGAGTTCAAGAACTGCGACCTCTTTGACGCATCCTGGCCAGAAATAGAAGCAAGCAATGCAAAGAGGAATCTTTTCGCACGTATGTAGCTTGAAGCACCTGATCGTCTCTGAGGTGTAATTGAGAATATACAGCCCAGAGTGCTCACCATGCCACGAAAATGCCAAACCCAAACCGCGAGAGGGCACAAGGGCTCGAGTGGGAGTGCCCGCCTATCGTGGTCTTCATAGACGATGTGTCTGGGAACAGCACGAAGCAATGGAACGTCCACTACTCCTGCTATCTGTCGAACGGTTCATTACCCCGGGCTGAACTTGAGCGAGACTGCAACATACGATTCGTGGCCACTTCACCGCATGCCTCACCGATGGAGATCATCTCAGCAGTGTGCGATGAGTTGCGGTAAGATCATTGCTTCTTGCTGTCGAGGGTCGCTGCAGGCAGCTGAATGGTACACCCACAGAGGTATCTATGAGTCCGAACTGGGCGCGATCCGCGTCTGGGACTCCGTCAAGGAACGACACATCCTGATTCGGCCGTGGTTACTATTTCTGCCCGGCGACAACCCAATGCAAGCGGAACTCTGTAGCCACATCGGGCTGAAGGGTAACTTCTTCTGTCGCACGTGCCACGTTGGCGGCAGTCAAGAGTTCAAACAGTCCAATGAGGGATTTCCTAGTCTAACAAAGGTGAGTCACACTTTATCACACGACGTCCGAGGGCTTATGGACACATGGTGTATTGATACGCGACAGATAGGACGTCCACGAACAGTGGAAGAGACTCAGCAGGCCGTCCTCCAACAGCTTGTAGACGCGACGCACGCTGCCGCTGACAAAGCCCTGAAGGAATCAATCTCATCTAGTGGCGTGAAGGACTCGTTTGCAATGCCCGTGATCAATCGTCTTGTGGCAATTGGGAAGGCCCTGCGCAAGTCAACACCACAGCGGAAGGCTCTGAGCCCCGAGGCCGTGAACAAGCACCTGTACGAGGAGCTGTTGAAGCGGAAGGACTTGACTGTTATCAATCCGCTCCTCCGAATGGAAGGTGACGCCATCTGAACCATATTCATTCCATCTGTCTGTACTGACAGTTGTGATGTGTCATAGGTTTCGACGTGCACCAGGACACGCCCGTCGAGGCATTGCACACCCATCTTCTAGGTGCAGTCAAGTACTTCTGGAGCCAGACGGTGTGGATCCTGGAGAAACAAGGCAAACTCGGGACTTTTCAGGCGCGATTGGGCTCGCTCGCGCAGTCGGGATTGAACATCCCCAATATCATGGCCGACTACATGTGCCGGTATCGCGGGTCTCTCATCGGGAAGCACTTCAAGACCCTGAGCCAAGTCATGTCGTTTGCCATCTGCGGATTGGTTGAACAAAGACTTCTCGATGCCTGGCTGACACTCGGACGTCTCACGGCACTGATATGGGAGACCGAGATCACTGACATGAGGGAATACACCGTGTGTTGCTGCCAATCAATAATTGTTTGACAGCTCACTGATGAAGGCATGGCATAGAACATGCTTCAGACGACGATTCAAGACCTCATCGATCACGCTGCTGTCCTTAGCCCAAGCCTTCTGACACTCAAGAACAAACTCCACATTCTTCTCCATCTCCCGGCTGCTGTCGAACGCTTCGGGCCGGCTCTCCTTTTCTCGACTGAGCGTTACGAGTCGTTCAACCGCATTTTCCGCTTATGTTCAATTCACAGCAATCGACAGGCTCCTAGTCGTGATATCGCGACAGCCTTCGCAAACCAGGATAGATGTCGCCACATGGTTACTGGCGGATTCTGGTTTGACAAGCACACGAGCCAATGGGTTTGCGCCAGTCCTTCAGTGCGCGAACATATCCAGAACGACCAGATTGACCGTCGCCTCCTTGGTGTAGACACTCCCGAGCCTCGTACACCGGGCGCACTCACTTTTCCCACTCGGACAAGTCGTCAGGAGAAGCGTGTCGCAGCGTCGTGGGCTGCAACAAAAGCCGGTCGCGCGGGATTCCAAGAGCCAGCACCCGGCTCTTGGGAGACGGCCAATGCGATCGTTACCTTGACGGGCGACACAGCACCCATAGGCAGCGAAGTTCTTGTACGCCACGGATCAGTAGTAAGTTCTCCATAGAAGGTCGAATGCCGTCCGTTCTCACTCCATGTAATGAATTGCCTCGCACAGGAAGCACAAGATTCGGCCTTGACGTTCGCATCAATAACTGAGATTCTCTCACGCACACAGACAGATGGTCAAGCACGCATCATCGGTATCCTTGTTCGCAAATCACGACTGGATTTGGCGCTCCATCCGCTTCTCAAAATGCCCCTCATCCACCGTGACAGCGAGATGGCGCTGTTAAACCCTGAAGTGCTTCACTCGCTCATCATCTCTTCATTGTGGCGCTGATCAGCATGCTTCTACAGGATGTCATCTGTGCTATCAATGTTCAGCACGACTGCAACCTCCATGGATGCACGGATACTAACAACCAGCCTCGGAGACAGGAGCGCGAGGCGACAGACCAATTGTCTCGCGCCGTCACCCACCATGATACCGTTGACTTCATTGTCAACATGCACTCATTGCATAATCAAAAGTATCTTCGGGCGGCTCTCCCGGCCGTCCTCCTGGACGTGACCCTTTCATTTGCAGATCGAGACAGCCTCCTACGCCAAGCCGCCGAATCCCTACGTGACCAAAAGCTCCAGAAGCAGCTTGCCAAGGATGCAGCTGCTCAGAAACGCGCTGAAGATGCTCTCAGTGGCGCTGGACTCCTCGATATTGCCTTGGAGGATGAGGATGCCGACAATGTGGTCACACAAACTGATCTCGATGCCGCTCCTGCTCATGCCCCAGTACCTCAATCGTCTTCAATGGATGCCAGTATGGACTTGGACTCAATCTCCCTCACCCTTGACGCAGCTCTCGCACCGCGAGGCCCTCGACAGCGACGACCAGAACCACCATCGAATGCTCGTGCCCGTGGACGTGGGCGTGGGCGTGGAAACGCGGCGCAACGTGGGCGCAATGCTCGTGGAACGCAGGGCGAGATCATCGCACCCAGTAGACAAGTCGCTGACCGCCATCAGCCCCCTGGTGAGAGGCATCATTCAAGTTCTCGGCTTCAGCAAACTCACCAAATCTACTCAATCATGCAGCTACGAGCTCCTCGCAGGCAACAACCAGTCCTCAGTTGCCTGAGCCGCTGCCCACCGGAGATGTACCGCCAACGGCCCCTGCCCGCAAGCGTCGGAGGAATGCACCTACGAGCGACGCGACGCTCGCGCGGGATGCCGAACTTCAGTCTCTGTTCAAATGAGTGTACATTCATCATCTCCAGTATATTATCACAGGTGTCCAGGGCTTTGTTTGTATGTTACACAGCGCTGTCGAGTCATGACCACGAGAATCTATATTAAATATTCAGTGCATTGCTTTGCTTCGACGGACACTCGAGTGGCAAGATCACCTTCGTTCTTGACCGGCAGTTGAGGTTGCGGACCCGGCGCACGGGCCGATTGCAAGTTGTGCCTTTTTTTCGGGGGCCAAGTGGCGACCGTTGTCGAGAGAGCTTGCGCGGCCTGACCCCTCCCTCCTTGCCCGACTCCCACATCTCTGAATTGTGTCGCCAGACCGTCCACAGCTATGAGCACTCCTGCCGACTCGCGTGCCTTGCTATTCGCCAGATTCAACCTTAATTCAGCCTGGCAGTCAGCGCCTACACCCGCAACCGCCGAGACGCAACAGGCGGGGCCAAGCACTCCACCTGTTCACTCGGTCGGTGGGATGGGGGACCAGTCATTTCAAGGCCTCCTTCCGGGAAATGACCATGGAGGGCAGGCAGCAAGGCGTGAGGGATCGCCATTGGGACTGGCATCGGGTAGTATTTCTCGTCAGTCCTACGGTTTCAATAATGGAACACATGCCACTCACCACTTCGTACTTCACAGCCGCAACTGGAAATCCAGCTGACAGTCACGGTGGCCCATGGATGACGACAGCCTCAGCACCGCTGCCAGGTGGCGGCCTCGGCAGTCACCCTGAGAACATCACGCCGCCTCCCGCTGCAGTCCCCATTATACCGCAGAGTCGTGGCACTTCCTCGGGCCTCGGTAGCGCATTTCTTCCGCCGACCTCTCTGTCACGTACATGGATCGAACAGAGGGCTCGTCAGGGTGGGTTGGACGAAGAACAAATCAAAGAAGTGCTCGCCTTTGGTCTGGTAATACTCTTTCATTCCGCACCCCCGTACCTTGTCATTTGCATTCCCTGACGTCGGATGTTTTCTTAGCTGACCTATCCAGAGATGTTGATTGACCTCAAGATCCAGAACTATCAGATTGTGAATGACACTCTCAAGCGATACCTCAGGATGATCATTCGTCACCCGACGTTCACGGTACGTTGGCCTGGGCCTGTAGTATCAACGAGGTCAGTGCCAGACTGAATGAATCATATGCCACAGCAACGTACCAGGCAGATCTCCGCTGCGTTCCTACTCGCGCCCTCTATCGCTGCATATCTCGCGGGACTACTGAATCATGTATTGGTACGTATGACCTCCGTGACTCGACACTACTAGTAGTACTCACCGATTGAACACCCAATATTAGGACTGGGTTTCCGAAAACCTTGGTATCCTCTATCTTACTCCCGGTAGCAGAAACGACCCCTCAGAGTGGAGTTCAATCCGGACAGCATTCTCGAAGGAGCTTGCCAGCTTGAGGAACAATATGAAGAATGCGGTGCGTGTGACAATACCGCGGCACCATTTTACCTGTACTGACAACATTCGGTCTCAGCTTGAATTGTCTGTCAGGAACAAGAAGGACATCTACCAACTCACCAAGTCGTTGATGACGTACGATCTCAAGCCCACTTCAGAACATTGGGGCCGTTTTGCTTTCCTTGTGAGTATCATCACAAACTTCTGGATGATTGATCAGTGTTTTGACGAGCATTGTTTGACAGCGCGCATGCGTCCCGCAATTCAAGGCCAGAGTGACCGTGGATCCTGAGACCAAGGTCTCGTTCTGGGATCACGTTGATCTCGCCTTGGACGACATTCGTAAGGCTTACAAGCACATCACGCCCGAGAGCGCCCGACAGCTGGCGATCAACGGGTGAGTGTCCACATATGAGAATGTTCTGGTCCATACTGAGTTCTCGACGCGCAACAGATTTTTTAGGTCGATATTGACCGCGGACCAAATCCAATACCCCATGAAGTCGAGCCCAGCTCTTCACGTGTCGTACATTGCGGTGCAACTCACCGAAATCCAACGGAATGTATCTAACTCGGCCAGCCGCATGGAAGTCAATTTGTCGGCGGCTGGAGCCACGGTTTCTGAACCTGCCGATGAAGAGAATTACGCCGACAATGAGATGGAGCTCGACGAGGACGCTGGGCCGGCGTAAGGCATTGTGGCTCGCTGCGAGTGGCCACAGTAATCGTACGGACTCGGATTACATGTTTCCAATTATCAATCAAAGAGCAGATACTCATTGAGCCATGGCATCTTACTATTGTATCGATGCATCCTTGAAGCGGGTACTGCATCCTGAAAGCAAAAGAGCACGATTGATATTATTATTCTGAAATATTCGAAATATATGCGCGGGCTGAAAACGGTAGCATCACTGGCTGCTGATGTCAGCAAGGAACATTGTCTCGAGGTCCACCCGACATCGCATCTACATTATCACCCATATGCTTTCATCATCCAGGTGCGGACATCGATGGGACTACTGTCGGCAACATATTCCCCTGATATCCTGGCCGACCTCAACGTGACGCTGGCATGAGGGCGTGATCTTATCGCCGACTTGACAAAAATCTGACGTGCGTGCCACCCGGTGGTGTAGATAGCCTGTTCTGCTTGCGGATGGAGTCCACAGATCGAGGACACGTTCACGTACGATCCGCCAGGCGTCGTGAGGTGCGGGATCGTAGCGCGCGTGACGAGGTAGATCCCCTTCAGATTCACGTTGACGAGCTTGTCCCAGTACTCGTCTGTCGTCTCCGTGAGAGGGATGCTCGTGGGGTTGATGCCGGCGCAGTTGAACACATGGTCCAGACGGCCAAGGCCAGAAACTATCTCGGCTATACGGCGCTCGACGTCTACCTTCGAGCTGACGTCCATGACACCGGTGTAATGCGGTTTGCCTCCACAGAGATGGTAGGTGTCCACTGCACCGCCGAGATCGATGTCTGTGATGGCAAGGCGGGCTCCGAGCTTCGCGAGTTTAATGGCCGTAGCCCGCCTGTGGCTTGATCAGTTGTGTCCTCTGACAAGTGGCAAGTGTTCCGACCCAATACCACTTCCCGCCCCCGTGATGAGAATGACTTTGCCCTCGAAAATTGGCGGCAGCATTGCACGACCTGAGAGCTCCGGAGATGATTCCCAATCTCCACACTACATATGCCATATGACTCACTTCAGTTGAGCTTCAGATTGTAGATGGCGGTGCGTACGATGATGCTCTTTGAATCCGACTCGGACTCGGTGTGTCCTTGAGTTGTCTCTTGATAAGGACCACGATCTCGGGACCCGACGGAACGCCGCGTCGTTATGTGTGCAAACTTCCATTGAGTCTCGCTCTGTCTGTTCTCGTGAAGTCATTTGTCCAACGGTGAGCCTACCTCTCGGATTGCCAAATCCAGGTAGCATTCTGAAACTGTGGTCATGACTGAGAGGCCGCTAATAAGTTGAAGAATCCGCTATAAATCACGTCAAAACCGATAATCCAGACTAGAAGTACTCACACGAGTACTATGTCAAGCATTGTCACTACATTCTGGCCTCGCTCGATGGTTTAGCATGCGTCGTATTGTACCATACTTCAGTGTTCCTGCAACGTTGCTGCATTGTAGTGCGCAGTACCGCAGTGTAGCTAGCCGGTGGCGTGTGTATATCGACCAAATATGGCAACCTGCTCCTCCTACTTGAGGCGTCTAAAACCCAAAGAGTAAACGATACTTATGAATGATGGATCCTGGTGAGTTCCGGGCATAGTCAATATTTCCTGAGCTACTGAAATGACTGACTACCTACCAAAAGCGTCGGGATACACGATGGAGATGATATGTTCCCCTCCCAAGGTATGCATATCATTATATCATAGGCCAGGACTCCCGGCTCGTGCTCACTGCTAGCGCTGTGCCGCACTACTTAGAGTTCATACGGGCGCAGTCAAGGTTATACCCGCTGGTCGATGAAGATGTCTTGTGACTATGTAGTCTGCCTCGCGGCTTCACGCCCTACAAGGGTTGTGACTACCCTGCCATCTCCTGTCCGTACGTGTACTAAGTTACATCGCTGAGTTTTCATCGGTGAGCCCTCCCTTGTCTTGCCGTTCAACTCACTGATAGTGGACAAGTGCATACCAGCTTACTCAGGAGGTTCATCATGTCGGACCCTAATGCATGGCATGCCGCTCCTAGTCGGGCACGAGGCGGTGGTCGAGTGCGAGGTTACGACCGAGGCGGCTCCCAGCGTGGAAGAGGCCGCGGACAGGTATCCAGCGATCAGTCGGGAGTACCACCTCCCGCCTCTCCAGCATTGTCTGAGAGTGGTGGGCAGCAAGCGGGGAGTGCAAGCGCGAGCGGGGTTGGTGGGAGGGGCTGGCGGGCGTCGCCGCGTGGAGGTCCTCCTAACACAGTACCAAGGGGGTCTCCTGGCGAGAGGGGTGGGTACATCCCTCGAGGCGATCAGCAAGGTAGGGGCTACCCGCGAGGGCGTGCCTCGGACATGCCTGGAAGGGGCCTGGCGCCCCCATCCACGCGTGCTCGAGGCCAGTTCGATAGTGGTCGTGGTCCCGGGCCCATGCGCGGGCGTGGGCGCGGTGCTCCTCAGGTCTTCGCTGCTGATGTCCCAGCCGTCGAGGATGAGCGGCTTGCTTCTCACGACACGCTCCTCGAGGGCTTCGCTGCCGTCGAGAGTGGGCCGGAGTTCCCGCTCCCGCCTGCGTCTGGGACCAAAGGCATCAACATCACGCTTCGGACCAACCTGCTACCTACGAACTTCGACGCAAAGACATACTTCGACTACGAACTCAAGTTTCAACCCACAAAGGCCGTCACCGCCGATCGCAAGGCAAAGGTACTCGCGCTCGTTGAGGCACACGCTGATTTCGCCAACTATAACGGCCGCGTTGCCCACGATGGTAGTCAGCGCTTGCTCTCCGTTGCAAGACTACCAGATCCGTTCACAATCAATGTCGAGCTCGGAGGGGAAGGCAATCGGGAACCCCAGATAATCTCCGTTGAGTTTGTACTTAAACACGAGCTAGACATGGGCATGTTGCGTAGGTGAGTGTGTCAACTGGATTGGTCATGCTACTAGCACTAACGCAATCAGATATGCGGATGGCGACCTAGAGTGCAGGGACATCGACATACAATTATATGTTTCCGCTCTCCAGCTCGTCACTCAACAGCACGCCCGTAAAAATGGAACTCGAATCGGCAGAGACACCCAGACCCGTTTCTTCTTCCGGTCCTTGACCGAACAATCGCCTATCATGTTGGGCGGAGGGCTCGAGGCCTGGAGAGGCTTCTTCATGTCCATCCGCCCGACATACGAGCAGATGATGACCAACATCAATCCCGGCATAGCGCCGTTTTACATCCCCAGAAACTTGGCCGAGGCGATGTTCGCCTCCATGCAGCAGAACAGAGGACTTGTTGCCCCCGACTTCGGGCGCAAGCTGAAGGTGATCACCACGTATCAGGGATACGAGAAGACGTGGACCATTCAGAAGGTCTTGGACACTACGGCTCAGATGACGACATTCTACCATAGAGGAATGGGCAAGACAGTTTCTGTCGCGGAGCATTTCGCGAGTGGTACGTGTCATGCTTGTCTTCCAAATGGTTGCTGACCTATAGATTCCCTACCCGACACAGCTTTTCCGAATATTCCGCTTCAGCACACCAACGATCTCCCACTGGTCTGTGTCCAGGAGAAGCCGTCGGCGATACATATACCCGCGGAACTGTGCGCGATCCCTCCAGGTCAACCGTATTTCGGGCAGCTGAACGGCGACGCGACGACGGTCATACTGAACCACGCTACCAACTTCCCGCATGTCAACGCGGAAATGATAATGAACGAGGGGTTCCAGTACCTTGGCCTCGGGGAAGACACTAACACCCCGGCCATGGACGCGTTCGGCGTACATGTCGAGCGCAAGATGTCGGTCGTCCCCGGCCGCATCCTCCCCCGCCTACGCCACAGTACAAGTCCGGGAGCGCCCCTAGTTTCCAACCCGGGACGTGGAACTTTGCGCGAATGCAATTCCAAGTCGGAGGTAGAGTGCCGAACTGGGCCGTCCTCCTGTTGTTACAAGGGAAGGGCACGTTCACGGGAGCGAGTGACGCCAGCTTGAGGCCCTTCCTCGACGCGTTCGTGAGTCTGTGCAAGAAGAGCGGGATCGGCTTCACTGCGACGAGCCCACCCATCCTCGAAGCGCGTTTGCCGTTCAGCGATGATCGCCACAGAACAGAAGCGATCAAGACCATACGGACGACACTCGAGACTCACGTCAAGACCGCGAGGCCGCCCCCGAAGTTCATCCTCGTACTCCTCGCAGACGAGGACAGCAGGGTCTACTGCGGGCTGAAGCGCATATGCGACATGGAGCTCGGCGTGCACACTGTCGGCATGCAGCCCTCGAAGGCGATGAACCCCAAGGGCCAGGGTGCATACTTCGGCAACGTCGCGCTCAAGCTGAATATGAAGCTCGGCGGCGTGAACCACGTCTTGGACGCTGTGTCCACGAGGTGGCTGAAGGATACGATGCTGAAGGACACGATGCTGATCGGCCTCGATGTGACCCATGCGAGCATGAGCAGCAAGGCGGGGTCGCCGTCGTTGGCGGCTATCGTTGCGAGCATAGACAACAATTTCAGTAACTACCCGGCGGAGCTGCGCATGCAGAGGCCTGCGGAGAACAAAGAGTCGAAGGAGGTATGGCATTGCGCTGTAGTACATCGCGTCACACAAGCTAACGGCACACCCAGGTCGTCGCGGATCTGACGGACATGGTGACTGGAAGACTGCAGCTCTACAAGCAAAAGAACAAAGGGAAACTCCCGGCGAAGATCATCGTGTACCGAGACGGTCTGGGCGACGTACGTCCTCTATGAATGGCTCGACGTAACGACCTGACGCGGCACATTTTTCAGAGCCAATATCGCCAAACGATCTTGGATAGGGAACTCCCCTCCATCAAGGCCGCTTTCGGTGCTGTGACAACGCCAGGCTCGCCGGCCTATGCGCCGACACTGACGATCGTTGTGTGCGTCAAGCGCCACAACACGCGTTTCTATCCTACGGAGACAGAGCACATGTCGCCCAACGGGAACACGCTTCCCGGGACCATCGTTGACAAGGGTGTCGGAAACCCGTTCTTGTTCGAGTTCTATCTTCAGGTAAGCCGCCTCAGTAGGCTCACTGTTTACTTCTGATCGCCAGCTGACGACTCATCATGATCAGGCACACGTTGGCTTGCAGGGCACAGTAAAGCCCACCCGCTACGTCGTCATCTACGACGAGATCGGCTTCACTTCGAATGATCTCCAGCAGGGCACGCACATGCTGTGCTACCTCTTCCCTCGCGCCACGAAGGCGGTCAGCCTCGTCCCTCCTGCGTACCTCGCTGACCTGGCGTGCGAAAGGGCAAGGGCCTGGCTGGACACGATCATGAACACGGGAGATCAGCTGGCCGACGTCAGCAGCGGCCAGGGAAAGGGCAAGAGGATGCGCGCGACTGAGGAGGAGAAAGCGCAGGTCCTGGACGAGGCGATGAAGATGTGGGGCGGCGGTGTGCACCCCAACCTCGGAGATAGTATGTTCTATATCTGAGATCTGCCAGTGAGGCCTGAGGCCTGAGGGCGCAGCTGTGACGCTGGAGGAAGCTGCAGTGAAAGAGAGCGAGTGAAGTTACGGTCGGCTTGCTACGTGAGTCCCAATGTCAATGTCGTGGTACTTCTTGTTGATGCCACTGCCAGTCAAAAGGAAAGAGCGGATTGCGCGTATTCTTGTGTATGGTTACTATCTTTTCGTCCACGCTCCCTGTGTGCTGTGTACTACGTACTCATGTACAATGTGTTACGGTAGACTGTAGTAGTATCTACATACAGATTGTAAATACAGATTGGTATAGGTCTAGACTGCATATAAGGCCCCAGCTTGAAGCTGGCGCTTATTGACATGCAGTATATATGGAGTCGGCCGTCCCTCAAACGCTGCACGCGCTGTATCTCTAGTATCTCCTCGCCCTATACATCGACAACGCTAAGTTCTATGTCTACCACAAAGACCAGGAAGCGCAAACAACCTCCGCGTCCTCGCGGCCGCGACCGCTGGGCCGTCGCAGAGGAACACGACGTGCCCAGCGCACCGGATCCCGCACTGTTCGTCCAGGCGCACGAAGCGGATGTCGTCCGCGGGCCTCGAGCCCACGCAGCGGCTGACTCTCTGGAAGTGTCTTACTACGAGGACGCCGGGAAACGCAAGGCTCGTATCGGGGAAGGGCTCATCAAGTGGCAGGGCGCTGCCGGTGGACGTGTGGAGGTTGAGGACGATGGAGAGGAGCTGGTCTCGCTCGGCCAAGCTTCCACCACAGAGCGGCGAGATGAAGAGGACGCGGAGGGTCTGTGGATGGACAGGTAGGCCTTTCCCAGCACTGGCCTGCTACGCCCCTCCGTAGGGCACCGACGGGGCGTTGGCTATGATCGCGACTCAGGACTCTGGTGAATTCAAACATTCGGGAACGGCTCGTTTCGATCTCTTCACTTCGCAGAAGTACTAACATACAGTGCAGGTACGATGCACGACTGCTCCTGGACGCTCTACCATCCACCTCGCATAATATACCCTCAGACGTGCCCAGCTCCCCCGGCGGGTGGTCCGACCTACCATCCGACGCAGAAGACACATTCTTTTTCTCATCAGACGAGGTCGAGGACTACCGGAGAGACAAACGACGCCGTCTCATTGATCAAGGCAGAGAGGACCGACTACGAGCGCTGCGCTCTGAGGCGGAGGCGGAGGCAGACGAGCAGCCTGCCGAAGAGCAATGGGGCGGGAGTGACGAAGAGGTCTGTAACTCCGCGACCTTTACATGTTTACAAAGTATTGACCTCAGTAATCTCATAGCCCGACGAGACTGAGAGGGACCTCATGCGCCGCACGGCGTCCCACATCCTCAGCTCGCCGAACCCTGCACAACTCGAGATGCGCATCCTGGCGAATCACGGCGCAGACCGCCGTTTCGCATTCCTCAAGGGCCGCTGGTCCCGCGCGTGGCGGCTTGCCAAGACTCACGCCAGGATGGACAAGGAACAGCAGGAGCAAAAGGCGCCACCCAAATCTAGCCTTGGGGGGCTAGCGGGCTACGGTGGCTCGGACAGCGAAGCTGACAGTGACTCAGATCGGTCAGGAGATGATGTGGAGAAGACGATGAGAAAGTCGCAGACGGACGAGAAGCCGCCGACGATGGGTTCTGCGGATGTCCAAGACGACGAAGCGAAAGCCGCCAGACGAGTGCGAGCGAGAGAGTGGGCGGAGAAGCGGCGGCTGAAGCAGACCGCCTCTGAGGGCGGGTCGTAGGTACTTTCGCAGTCCGTGTCCATAGGCCTGTGCGAGATAACAATATATAATCATTCCCCCCTACATAACTTACTTTCCCTCGTGGGTGGTCTTTTCAAGAAGGTTCACGTCTCTGAGACAGAACACACCTGTGCCCTCGAAGGCGGAGTGCATCAAAGCTCCTTCTTGCTCGCACTCGCCGCGGCGCTCTTGAAGCCCTCCAATGCGCGCAACCGCTCCGTGAGGGTCGGGTGCGAGTGGTGATACGCCGAGTACCTGCAGCGCGTCAGCATTTTCAGAGACAACACCGCGAGGTACTCACAGCCAGTCAACCCAGACGGTAGAGAGGTTCTTCACGTGGAGGGTGGTGAGCGCGCGGCCGAGGCGGTCGCCCATGTCGGCCATCTCCTCCGCCTTGAGCATGCTCTGGAGCTCGCACGCGAACCGGTCCGCCTCGTACTCGAACTTGCGGCTCACCGCGTTCAGCGCGATGCCCGCGATTGACTCGAGCGGCGAGATGATCATCTGCACGGCGTCAGCTCGCCCACTAAGAGAGCGGATGAGGGACGACGCACCTGGAAGAGGAGGAACGCGACGATGGTGGGCGGGCGCGCGGCGACCTGCGCGGGGAAGTCGAACGCGCGGAGCACGGGCGGCGCGTGCAGGAAGGCGGGGAAGAGCGCGAGGATGGAGAAGAGGTGCAGCTGCGAGACGAGCATCATCTTCGTCGGGTGGAGGTAGTACCAGTGCCCGAGCTCATGCGCTATCCGCCGAGATGTCAGTATGTCGTACTCGGGGAAAAGGTGCGCGAGGGGACGCACCGAGAACGGCCTCGACCTCGCCAGCCTTGCTCTGCTGGATGAGCGTGTCGAAGACGACGATGTGCTTACTCTGGGTTGATTCTAATGAGTTCCAAACCACACATGAGGTAACGCAGGACGGTACGCACCCACGGGAGACCGTAAAAGTACGCGTTGCTGTGCGAGCTGCGCTTCGAGCCGTCGATCTCGTACAGGTGCGTGAGCGGGAACTTAAGGCGCGCCGCGAGCGCCTCGATGCGTGTACGGAGCTCGCCGTCCGCGAGGGGCGAGAGCTTGTTGAACAGGGGCTGGATGAGCGTCGGGTAGATGACCACCATCGTCAGCTGGAACGCGATCCTGTCGGCCCGAGTTAGCACCCATCCGTCTGTCGAAAGACTCCTGGGCAACTGGGAACAGAAAGACGCACATGAAGGCCATGAGCCACGGCACGAAGCGGTCGCCGGCCCACTTGAAGATCCAGAGGAAGGCGGAGAGAAAGGGTGGCGCGAGGGCGAGGCCGACGGCCCAGCCCTTGAGCATGTCGGCGACGAAGAGCGCGGGTGTCGTCTTGTTGAAGCCGTGTTTCTCCTCGAGGACGAACGTCTGGTAGACCGAGAACGGCAGGCTGGGCAGCGAGGACACGAAGAACAGGACGATAGCGAAGACGTTGGATTGGATGATCTAGTAGTGAATGAGTGAGTTGACCGGTGTCGTGAGCTCTGCTCAAAGTCCTCGACTTACCTCGTACTCAGGCCCATAGCCGAACCTCGCGGTCAGACTCCCTGCTACGCCCCATGCCCATGCATATATGCCATAATGAAGCATGAAGGAGTCCACCGCTTGCTTGTACAAGCCTGTGACGAGCGAGAACTTGGCCTTGTCCTTGCCATACGCCTGCGATTTTGTGTACACTTCGCCGGTGAAGTGTTCTGCGAGCGCTGGTGGGGGTGTAGGCTTAGAGTACAGAGGATATTGCCGAAGTCTGGAGCACCTCTCAGGTCAAACCGCAATCTGAAAGGCGAAAGGCGTACATGAGGTAGGACTCGAACAAGCAGACGGCCCACGAGAACGCTTGCACATAGGTCTTCCAGTCTATCGAGTCGACGGCGACGAATGCCAGACGACGCTCGATTGCACCGAGTTGCGTGTGTAGGATGTCCATTTCGCACGTACCCTGGAGGCGGGAGGGAGTACGTGGGGAGGAGGAGGTCGTTGTAAAACCTGAGTGGCCGAGGCAATGCAGCACCGGCGCGTTCGTCCCAGACGCGCCCGTGGTGGTACGTGTCGCGCTTCACGTGCTTCGTGTACTTATTCGCTACTAACTTACTAGAGTCTATGAGTACTACTGTGAGCTCAAGTGTCATTCTGAGTCACTTGCCCAGCAAGACAGCAGTGATACGAGAAAATAGCCGACTGATGCCTAAACACTGGATAACAACCTAGAGACCCCCAAGCAGTATGCCTACCAGGTCGCGATTTAGCTCGTCACCACCAACGCCACTAAGGCTTCATTGCAACGGAGATCCCCTGAAGCACCTGTGCTGATTGTCAATCACACTGGCACAAGCAAGAACTCACGGGAGCTATACTTATAAGCAGCCCGAAGTTCCAATGATACAGAAAGAACAATACAATCAAGCATTACAAGGCATGACACAGTACATCATTGCGATTGCTCAGCATAAACCTGTCTCGGGGTCAGATAAACCGGCGAGGTGAGATGGGATAAACACACCTTAATGGTCTTATCCGCACCGCCGGTAATCAAGCGTGTACCGGTCATGTCGAATGTTGAGCAGAACACGCCAGCCTCCGCCTCGAGCGAGCCAGGTTGCGGGATATCGTCCATGTTTTGGAATGCTGTCCCAGTGTTGTAATCCCATAGCGTGAGGGCCCCATTGTCACCTGTGAATAACGCGCTTCAGGACAGCTCCTGGAAACAATCAGATCCATACACACCTCCAGAGAAGAACACGCCTTCCGAGTTAACAGACAATGTGTTGATAATGGCATTGTGCCCGCTGAAGTTGCACACAAACGTTCCCTCGGGACACTTCCACTTCTTGATGTTGTTGCCACCGGCTGATGCTGACGCGAAAGAGTACTCTGTTGGGTGGATCGCCAGGGCGCGAACAGACTTCTTATGATGCGTCAACGTGACCATGGTTTTTCCCGCTGCGAGGTCCCACAGCCTGCATACATGCATCAACATCTATCACACCAGCTAGACTAGACAGACACTCACCGGACTGTCGAGTCCATGCTACCTGTGATAACCTGCGGGTCCGACTCTTGACACTTCACATCCGCTACCGTCGCGGTATGTCCGCTCAATACGTGAATCTGCGCCTTCGTCCGCATATCCCAAACCCTCGCCGACGCGTCCCGCCCCGACGTCACGAGAACATCCAATGTCGGATGCAGCGACAGCGCATACACACCCGACAAGTGACCATGATAATGCCGGATGACCTTGTTCGCCTCCAGGTCCCAGCATTTCACCATCTTGTCCTCACCGCATGAAAACAGGTATGGATGACGTGAGGACACCGCCAGCCCGCGCACGGTCGAGATGTGGCCAGTGAGCGACAGGCGCAGCTCGCCAGAGGCGAGGTCCCAGATTTTAATGACCCGGTCGCCTGCGCCGGTCGCGAACCACTGGTTTCCGGGCTCGACGGCGACGCTGCGCACCCAGCCGAGGTGCCCTGATATGACGCGCATGAGCTTCCATGGCGGGTGGTACGTCGGTTGATCGTGCGCGTGGTTTTGTGCAGTTGAAGCGCGCGTGAAAGGTTGCTGGAGGAGGTGAATGTAGAGGGTTGTTGGACGGGTTTGTTGTCTATTGTGGCGATTATACGAGACGGGTCTGTTTCTTCTGAGGCTATGATGGGATATCAGAGGAACCTTCACGAGCTCTAAGAAGTGGACTTACGTCCTGCGGTGATGGCTTTCCGTTGCTCCTTTGGTCTTGACGGGCCGACAGCGCCTTGTTGTGCCAATAACGATGCAGGCAGCTCACGGACGTCCCGGTATTCGTCGTTCATCTTGACTGACAACCGTACCCGAGCGCTTTACACTCGTTCACATCTCCATCCACGGCGAAAGGCATAACGGCGCACCTTTTTGGTTCTCCTGTATGCTGTCGTCCGGACATGAAGCAAACACATCTCGCGTGCGCTTCCCGCACACTTTCAGCAACGGGTTGAGTGGAGGCAATGTCGAGGTAGACATTGTCGGAGTCGGTCAGAGAGATGCAAGAAATGGTGGACCGTAGCTGGCGCGGTCGGTGTTGAGAGCAAGTGGCTGTGGGCGCCTATGACTTGTGCGTATTTCCCGGTAAGTTAATTTGATGCTGACTAATCGCAGAGGGCGTGCTGTGTGCAGGCCCGCCCTCCGCCACCGTTACCACCATCATCCGAGTCCAGCAAAGCGTCTCGGAGGTGCCGTCAGAGTCGCAGAGAGCCCCAGAACCGGTGTAGGACGTCGAGTAGCCCGTGTACGTAGCGTAGCGAACACGTCGTCTGCGCCATGTCTGCCGCAGAGCTCAAGTCGCTAGTCAAAGCCCTGCACGGCGCCTCGACCGATGAGGTGCGTCCCATAATTCAGCCCTATGGCCTCCCCGTCACTCACGTCTCGTTTGCTGACTTTGATTTTGCCTTTTCTTCGCATGCCCTTCTTCGGCACCTCGTGGCGGGTGGCGGTCCGGTCATGTAGGAAGTCGTCGGTGTCCTCAAGACGCTCAAGCAGGAGGCGAAGATCACAGAGGCCGTTCTCAGGGTGAGTCTCTCCGTCGTGCACGTTCACCGTCGACAGAGAACAATGTCCTCGTCGGGGTTCGCACATGGGATGATACGGATGCTACAAAGCCGTATCGCCACAGAATCGTGGCGGGTGGTCTGTGCGCATGGGTGGGGCAGCACTGGAAATTTATCACAAAGTGGGACAGCGTTCGCAACTCCATTGCTGCCCCACTCATGTCGGTAACTGGCACCAGTCATTGCCATTGTCCGGTATAGTGTATCAGACTAACTCGTCATTAGGAAAGCAAAGCCGGTCTCGCTGTTGGCAAGCTTCGCTCGCATGCCTCTAAGGACGTAGCGGATCTCGCCAAAGAAATCGTTAAGAAATGGAAAACCGAGGTGGAAAAGGAGAAGCAAGCCAAAGGCGGCGACTCCAAGTCGTCTGCGAATGGCAAGCCTGTACCGCGTACGTAGGGACCCATCTCAGTTTTCACCGTGCCGACCATATCCTTTTCTCTAGCGTCACGAAAGGCGTCCACTGCGTCCACAACAGCTTCCTCCGCCCGCTCTGCCCCTTCGCGAACACCCTCAACGCCCATGACGCCAACAGCGTCCTTCAGCGGCAAGGGTGAGGTGCGCACTGCCAAGAGCGACGGCGTCAAAATCGACGTGTCGGGCGATAAGACGCGGGTCAAGTGCGTTGAAATTATCTACGATGCCCTGCCTCCGACTCGGGTGCCCGTGCGTCCTTCAATTTGTTATCCGTCATCCCGTGTCCTTATCTCGACGCCAGCGAGTGAACTCATTCTGTCAAGGGCGAAGGCAATCGAGGCGAACGTGCTTGCAGAGTTTGGTGGCACGACCGCGACATATAAGAGCAAGCTTCGATCGTTCTTCGTCAATCTGAAGGACAGAAACAACCCGACCTTGCGCGAGAGCGTCGTCAGTGGCGATCTTCCTGTACAGCGATTTTGCAAGATGACGAGCCAGGTATGATGACCCGTTCGTAGTGAGTGTGATTGTTGCCTGATTTAAGTGCTCCAGGACATGGCTTCGGAGGAACGAAAGGCGGCGGACAGCAAGATCAAGGAGGAGAACCTGTTCAAGGCACTCGGTGCCGAGGAAGTGCAGGCCGAAACAGATGCGTTCCAGTGTGGTCGATGCAAGCAGGTGTGTGATCTATTGACTGACGCACTGCGCCTGTTCGCTAAATTGATCCTACAGAGGAAATGTCGCTATCGTCAAGCACAAACGCGCAGTGCTGATGAACCGATGACTGTACGCATCCTTTTACCCAACGATGTTAGCAAATACTGACAATTCTATTATACTAGACCTTTGTAACGTGCGCACTTGTTTTTGCATGCAATTCAGATCGCGACCACTAACTGTTGTCTTCCCATCAGCTGTACTGTCTGTAATAATAGGTATGAGTTCGATCTATCATGTCGTACGTCTCTTCTGACACGTCCACACTTCAGGTGGAAGTTCTCGTAGAAGCCGCTTACAATATCCCGAGCCTAATGCCGTCGCAATGTTACCCATGCCGATGTTTATACTGGTGTATTATTGTCCCTGCTATCCGGCGATCACGCCCATTTGTCTGCCGCTGCCGTTCCGGCGGAGAACCTTGCCTTGCTAGACTTCGTTACCGTTTTGATTAGTACTGCTTTCCCGTGTATGTATCTTGTAGGCTGTTCACAGGCATGTCAAGTATATCAGACTGGCTGCCATTCACAAATGCCTCTCGTCGTGAGCTGCATGACATGGACAAGATGGCGCAACAGGAACGCTCCCGCTTCATCCATGTCCTTCAAAGCTTCAAACCTTTTCAGTATCCGGTAACTTATGCGTTCCGAGCTCCTGAGACTGCGTACATATTTGCCGGATAATCACAATCATACTCTGCCTGTGCACTCAGGTTACTTCTACCTACCTCCAATATGCGCTGCTACTGTCCCTCTCAGTGTCCGTGTGATTTTCTGCAGTGAGTCCGGGGCTTCTGAACTTCGGGGCAATGAGCTTCCTTGCTCGATGCCCCGGCATGATACTTCCGCTGAGTGCTGGACTTCCTCGAGTATTGGTACCAACGTCCAGAGCATGCGCTGATAATCCTGTGATGTAAGTAGAGCGTTTTATATAGTCGTATTTCCTCGGTAAGTAAGTACTTGTGTCAAGAGACAGAAAGACGAAGCTTATTAGTAATCAAGAAGCACGAGTACTTATGCATGTATGCAATTGCCGATTTTGGAATGCCCCCGCACGCCGAAGTGTTGATCAGTCACTATTGATCAAGCATGCGTTGCGAGAAGTCGCTACACGGGGAGAATGCATCGAGGAGATAATCTCGGGGAAGAACGAGTAAACGACAAGTATATGTACGTAGCTGGTGGGCGGTGTGGCTGAGAACTGAGCAGAGGCGAGTAGTACGGCGATGGCGGAGGCGCCGAATGCACCTCTCACGCTGACCACCACCGCGTCGCCGACATCTCCTCCCCACCGCCTCTGTTCATCATCGCTGGCAGTCAAGAGCAAGCTGCGGGTTGGCTAGGACGACGATAGGACTGCTCCCGGCGTGATAGGAACTTTGCTGCTCGATCTACGTGTCAAACGCAGTACATGGCAACATATCCCATGTCCCTGCCCCCTACCGCAGGCCAACCTTTGCCCCAAGTGACCGAAGAGGGCCAGTCAACACCGTCGCATGGCGGCATCGTGGTAGGCCACGAGTTCGAAGTACCAATCTCGCAGAAACCGTACCCATCACCCGTGACGCAGCAGCCGCCTGGAACGCGCGAACAGACCTATCTTCCGAACCCGAACCCTCCAAGCCAATCCCCACCACCCTCGCCGAGCCCAGCACCCAGTAGACGACCGTCTTCGTCGGCGCACAAGCCAAGACCGGTCTCGATGCCGCCCAACAATCATGCTACCCCGGAGCGCGATGCCCGCGACGACGGACGCAGTCGCGACCAGAGTTCGAGCAAGCCCCGCAGTACCAACCGCATCCTCGGAGACTACACGCTGAGCAAGACGCTAGGTGCCGGGAGTATGGGCAAGGTGAAGCTGGCGCATCACACTCTTACGGGCGAGAAGGTGAGTCTCTGTCTCGTCCAACACGAATGCATCTACAGCTTGCCCGCAGCTCGCAGTCAAAATTCTGCCTCGAGCGACCCCTCCGAGCGGCAGCACGAGCACCGCGGACGCGGCGGCGAAGCAGGCGTCCAAGGATGCCTCAAAAGAGATCCGAATCCTGCGCGAGGCCGCGTTGTCGATGCTGCTCCATCACCCGTACATCTGCGGCATGCGCGAGATGATCGTGCACGCTCACCACTACTACATGGTTCAGGAGTACGTCAACGGCGGCCAGATGCTCGACTACATCATCAGCCACGGCCGCCTGCGCGAGCGCGTTGCGCGCAAGTTCGCCCGCCAGATTGGCAGCGCGCTCGACTACTGCCACAAGAACAACGTCGTCCACCGTGACCTCAAGATCGAGAACATCCTCATCTCCCAGACCGGCAACATCAAGATCATCGACTTCGGTCTCTCGAACCTGTACGACCCAGTGCATCACTTATCGACCTTCTGCGGCTCGCTCTACTTTGCTGCCCCGGAGCTACTCAACGCGAAAGTGTATACTGGCCCCGAGGTGGACGTGTGGAGCTTTGGAGTCGTCATGTACGTACTCGTATGCGGTAAGGTTCCCTTCGACGACCAGAGTATGCCCGCTCTCCACGCAAAGATCAAACGCGGTCTTGTCGAGTATCCTGTCTGGCTGAGTGCAGGTGCGTGATTCTTTCGCTTCTCCGGCGTCTTGCCCCTAACTCCTCGCAGAGTGCAAGCACCTGTTGACGAGGATGCTCGTGACGAACCCGGGCGCCCGTGCGCCCCTCGCGGAGGTGCTCGCCCATCCGTGGATGGTGCGAGGTTTCTCGGGGCCGCCCGACTCCCACCTCGTCCATCGCGAGCCGTTACGTTCCGACGAGCTCGATCGGGCCGTCATCCGAGGAATGAAGGTTTCGAGTTTGGGACGGAGGATGAGATCGAGCAAAAGCTGGTCGAGATCCTCGAATCCGAGTTGTACTACCGCTCCGTGCAGCACTGGGAGCGCAAGCGCATGCTCCCGAACGGGCGCAACGGGAATGGGCGGCACTGGGAGTCGTTGTCGAACTCCTCGCTCGCGATCTCGGACGGCTCGTATACCGTGAACGGCAAGAACGACACGCCGTCCAAGGCGAAGCGGCGATTCTCAGGCTTTGACTTCTACCGCAAGAAGTTCTTTTCCCCCGCTTCATCGCCGCCAGGCTCGCCGTTCGCGGGCTCGCCTCCGACCTCCTCGTCCCACTTATCCAACTCATCCCTCACTGACTCCAGCCAGCGGGAGCCGCCCGACCCGACGTATGGCTTCCACCCACTCCTTTCGATTTACTTCCTCGCGCGGGAGAAGATGGAGCGCGAGAAGGTCTACGGCCCGGGAACCTTTGCCAACTCCAACCTCTCCCTCGAGGCTACGGCGCAGCCAGACGCCAACCCAGGCAGTGACGCACACCCTAACAACGCGAAGCAACTGTCGCAGCCTGCTATTCACAAGAAGGAGACGGTGAATGCGAAACCGGATTACAGCATGCCGCTGCCGCGCCTGCCCGCACCGGAGACGTTACACTACTCGGGGATGTCCTATGATGCTACATCGGGCCCTGCTCCCTCTCCGGTGTCTGCCACATTCGGCGCGCAGCCCCGTGCACGCGATGTCGCGTTCAATGTACCGCGTACAAACATCGTCCCGGCGTCCGCTCCGAACAGCCCAGCGAAAGGCACTACCCCTCTCCCCCGTGCTCCTGCAGCCTCCGCACATTCCGCACATCGCCGGAGTCACAGTCTCACTGGCCAGCGGCCCAACTCTGGTCGACCTCTGTTCAACGGTGGTGGTGTCGAGCCGGTCAACGAGAATGCGACCTCAGCATCCGTCCAGATCCGCAGGCGCTCGAGCCCCGCGCTCCGCAGGCCCGCAGCGCATGTCGTATGCCGAGCAGCAGGTGCGCGCGGCGCAGAATGACGACTATGAGCAGAAGGTGCCCATGTCCGCAGGCGCGACTCTCGTGCGCAGGTTCGGCAGCCTGATCACAGGCCGCATCGACGCGGATGGGACGCGGCGCTCCACCAGCGGCACGATCAAGCGCGGCAGCATCCTGAACACGCTGACACCGCGTCCGTCTGCGGAGGTGACCGAAAAGGTCGTGGACGACATGGCCTGCTCGTGGACGAGAGGCAGAGCGGGGAGGCGAGGCGGAGCGGCGAGTCGACCCCGGTGGGTACGGTGACGCAGAGCCAGAGCCAGCCGATTGGTACGCCCATCGGCGGGCTGCGACGATCCTCGATCCCCAGGGCCGTGCCGCGAGACACGAGCGGAGGAATAGCGCAGGACCTGCGTTGTTCGTGAACGCTGTTGGGTCCGTCGGGCGCCATCGCCGACCGTCCACTGGTACTCCACCGACTACAGGAAACCACTGGCGGACAGGTTATTCGGGCGCACTGACGAGGAGACGAGGGTGTCGATGACCAAGATGACCTCGCATCGCCGGGCGTCGGGACGCCGTCACTTAGGCCAGAGAGGGCACTGCAGACGAGAAGGACTTCAAGCCTGTGTATTGAAGGGTCTGTTCAGGTATGTCCCGACCTCTACTAGCGCGTCTCTGTCGCTCACGATGGTGCGCTTCTAGCGTGGCCACGACGTCTACGAAGTCGCCTGCCGCCATCAAGGCAGATATCAGGCGCGTGCTGGACAGGATGCAAGTACAGTACCGTGAGACGAAGACGGGCTTTGAGTGTATTCACATGCCCTCCATCGACATGACCTCAGTCCAGGCAACGCCGCGTTCGCCAGAGCAGAGACATCGAAAACGTGCATCGGCAGGCTCCGACGAGACGAGCATGACTCGGGGCTCGATCGCGAGGAAGACGTCGAAGCTCTCATTTGGCACGAACAGGAGTGTCAAGGAGAAGGAAAAGACGCCTGAGACGAAGGAGAAGGACCTGCCGAGCCGCCCTTCTGGTGGCACGACCCTCAGCGCTACGGCGAGCAGTGCTTCGTCGTCTTTCTTCCAAGTCTCCTCAGACGCGCATAAGAACGCTCCGCAGGAAGGTGTGCGTTCGGAGAACCCAGAGCTGAGTCCGTTGCCGACAGAGGATTCGACCCCACGGCCGACATCACCGACCAAGAGCAAGATCCTGCCTCCCATCCCCCGTGATTTCGCAGCGAGTCCCCAGCCTACGCTGAGTGCGCTGCCCACGGGTGAGGTGGCGCCGGATGTGTTCGAGAGCCTCGGTGCCAGCTCTCTCGCTGTGCGGTTCGAGATTAACATCGTGAAGGTTCGTGTTTTCATTCATCGCGGGGTCACACCGTTATTGACGTACTTGTCCAGGTGCCGTGGTTACCTCTGCATGGGATTCAATTCCGTCGCTCGGGTGGCGATGGGTGGCAATACGGGATGCTGGCTCGGCGGGTTTTGACCGAGCTGAAGCTATGACAGTGGCTACGACCGTGAAATTTCTCTGTGGATTCCTGGGTGATGCTATCACGATCTATACCTATGACCGTACTACATTCGACTAGTTTTCTGTTTCGCGTACCTACTTCCGCCGCGTTCTCGAGCCCCTACCGTACGAGTAGACCGACCATCGTTTCGCGTTTCTGACGTCCGCTCTGCATATGCTGGTTACTTATCGATACAAACTCTTACTTGTACCAATGCTATACCATCCGGAGCTCTCAGGTCAATGCAGTTCATGGGATTGCGCTCATTTGGAGCTATCAAATGTTCTCGGTTTTCAGGAACTTGATGAAAGTTGTGAGTTGTGAGGACTCGTTGTGACTGAGTATTGTGTTGAAGAAGTTGCAGGCGGAGAGATGCTCTCGTGTTTTGTAAAAGCTCATACGCCCACCACGCAAGTGCTGTTGAAATGTACAGCCCACAGACTGAGCGGACGAGGTATATATTTGGCTCACTTGCATGATAGCCTGCGCACATATACCGTCTTGAAGTTCAGTCAGAGAATCCGCCAGCAAGCTGTCAATCCCCCGAGAACGAAGCTGCCAACCACTCATTCTGGTGTCTGCGGTCACAATGACGTCACCTAAGGTCTACAAACCTCAGTCGTTGCTTCTCGACATGACAGCATGCGTTCATTGCCATTTGGGCCTGTCGTGCAGCTCCCCCTTCTTACCTCTTACCCACCACCTTCACGACTACCCACGGAGACGACACACGCAGACTCTATCCTCACTGACTAGACTTGTCAGCTATGAGTAGCTGGTCCCTCACTACGTGTGAGATTCAGCGCATATAGTCACGTTACAAGACGGTACAGCAAGAGGAACAGTCGAACATATCATATAGCACCACTCGGCAGCCATCTACTTCGTCTTTTCGTTCCACCTGACACCAATCCCATCAGTACACGAACTCAAGACGAGTGAGCGGATACTCACAGGTCCAGGAAGAGCTTCCAGAGGATCGAAAACATCAGTCCCTGCAAACCATTCGCCAGTATCCTCGTCTTCAAGCCGCGGCCGAACAGGCCCTTCAGCCCATCCGTGGCAATCACAGCGCGCGCCGACTCCATATAGCCCACGCGGGCGCGGTGCACCTGGCGGTACGTCTTCACCACACGGAGCGAGTTCGAGATCGTGTCGGACACGACCGACGCGCAGAAGCCGATGAACGCCTGGCGGGCGAGCTTTTCAAACAGCGTGTTCGGCTTCGGGAGCGCCTCATCCAGCCCGTTGTATGTACCGAACCACGGGTAGTGCCCGACGAACGTCGCCGCCGCGGTCGCCCATGCGCCATACCACAGCGCGCCGACGCCGTACCGCCGGATTTTGGCGCGGATGAGCGCGAGCCCAGGCTTGCCCTCCGTCTGGAGCGTCGTCTTGACGGTGTCGACGGGCGTGAGGATCATGCGGAAGAGCGCAGCGGCGATGCTCGCGAAGACCGTCTTCACGAGCGCGGGCAGACGCTTCATGAAGGAGTTGCTCTGCAGGAGCGCGAGGATGCCCGCGTTCGCGGCGGTGTCGCCGAAGCGCGAGACGGGGCCCTGGATGAGCGCGGCGGTGAGCCCCTGGTAGTAGCGCGTCCAGCCGCCGTCGGCGTACAAGGTCTTGATCGCCTCGGTCGTGGTCGCGCCGTAGCGGTATTGGTAGTTCATGACCGTGCGGAGGGGCATGAGCGTGAACACTTGCAGCACCATGGCTAATGGCGATTCGGAACGATCAGGTATATTCACCTACGATTGACTCTAACTTACCTGCAGCACCACTCAACCCGCCACCTAGTGCACTCTTCAGCGCCTTGCCTAGGTCAAACTATCATAGTCTCCTTCAGCACCAGATTCCACTCCTCCAACATAGCCAACGCACCTCGACATCGTCCGCATCTATGAAGCCCTTGATGAAGAAGCCCAGCGCGACTCCCACCAGCACTGTCAACACCGCATACCAGCTATACGTCCACAAGCTACTCTTCTTCTCAAGAGGAATGTCGACATCGTCCAGCTGCTCCTCGGGATCCTCCTCGACACTCGTGAGCAGCGGCTGCCGTTCGTCGACGGCCGGTGGTGGGACTGGCGACTCTACCGGGGCCTGCGACATGGGAGAACGGCGATAGTGAGCAGCAGGCGGCTGGCCGTGCGGCTCCCGGCCCTGCGAACATGGCGTTATAAATCCAGGAGCTGGCGAAGCTGCCTATCTTTGGATTCTCGGGTTGCTCACTTGGCGCTCCGGCATGCAAGATCTAATCTTATCAGCACACAGACATAACCAATGTCAAAATGGCCGTGATTGCGATCGGCGGGTCTAAACCAAACTTGCATGCTGGGATGAAGTCGAGCGAGTAGGGGAAAGGATCACAGAATGCCCATGCCTGCCGCAAGTTCAAACACGAAAACATGCTGGACATCCGTGACCAAATCCTGACACGGGATCCATAAACATTGGAAGCGCCCGTAGTCCGCCGCCTGTGCTGGAAACCAGGACATACCATTGTCAGACTCCAAACGAGGACGCCTGCATCAACTATAGGATAAAAACAAGGAGGAGGTCATTGATACATAACAAGAACAGGATTAGTGATAGCCTGCTCAACCACACTATATCACACCGTCGTACACATACTGTCTGGCATCCTCCCTCCCTCGCTCAACATCTACGCTCATCAATATTGGCACTGCGAGCCACACCATGAACACCAGGAAGAAGAACGCATAGCGGATATTCCCGGTTGTGTCCGCGATGAGGCCGACAAACAGCGGGCCCACGAACGAGCTCGACTGCCACACGGAACATCAGTCATGAACATGCGACTCCTCAGTCTGGTGCGTACCTTATCCGTTATTGAGAACAAGCCATACCTGGAGGAGTCAGTCGGGATGCTCGGCACAGGATGTAAATGAGAATCGCTCACCATCGTGCCTCTTCACCCAGAGGGATGAGCTCTGCGTAGAACGCACGAGCATAGCCTTGGAATGCCCCATATACCGAGCCCTGGAACGTTATTCGTCAGGATGTTCATCTACCAATACAATTTCCCGGAAAAGCTAGACGCGACTCACAAAGTACACTGCCAGAACATACATCTCGCCCCATGTCGTCAGGCCACCGAACCGCACTGCGCCACGTTGGAATACGGGCAAGAAGCCAAGGCACCCGTAGGCAGGAATGAGCGACGCCAGCACGAGGAGGAGAACGAGAATACGCTGGTTCGACCACGCTAGCCTGCGCTGGATGATCGGCCAGGCGAGCGAACCGAGGATACCGGCACATGGTGAGAGCACGCCGATGAGAATCAGCGCTGAGGGCGGCATGCCCAACGTTGTCTTCCCAAAGAGCAGTGCAGTGGACGTGATGGTCGTGAAGCCTAGTGAACACCTCAGTAAGACCATGCGAGGAGAATTGTCACTACGCTCACCATCCGAGAGCAAGAACCAAGCAGCAAGGTACACAAACGTGTTACGGAGTCGCTTAATCTCGCGCCATCTCAGCATCCCTCCAAGCCTCTTCCATGCTCCCACAATCTCCCTCCGGGCATTCCACTTCTCCTGGACAGCCTCGTCCTCGCCCTCACCGGGTTCCGCGGCCAACGCAATCCTTACGTCCGGCCGTGATGCCCCCGGTAACCACAGCACCGCAGGGAGCGAGAACAGCGCCCACCACACGCCGCTCAGGCCCACCGCGAGCCGGAGCGCGAACGTCGACCCTCCGAGGCGCGTCACAGGGATCAGCGCCAGGAGGAGCATGAAGATGCCCGCACCGTAGCCGAGCGCTATGCCGTGTGAGGAGATGCGCGCGGTGGCGGCGGAGAGCGCAGCGTCGTGGGCGAGCTTCGCGGCGAGCACGTCAGGGTGCACGGTGTCCGCTGTTGTATTTTGGAGGAGGGGCACTACGACATCATGACCCGGTGCGTTCTCTTCCGCTGTCGTCGGTTCCACCTCGGTCTCCGTTCCAGCTCGACGTGCGTGCAACTCGCGCAAGCGGACGAGCTCTGCCTGCGCAGCCACCACCTCTCGCGTGGAACGCGCCAAGAACGGGATGTACGCGTTCAGCGCTACTATGGACGCACCGAAGCCGATGTTGGCGCACATGGCAAGAAGGCCGACCACTGGCCATATGGGCGTAGAAGATGGTATTACGAGAAAGAGCATGGCGGAGAGCGAGCCGAGTGCGGCGAAGGCGAAGAGAAGGCGCTTGCGGTGGGGTGCTGGCGTGGCAAGACGAGGATAGATTCAGTTGGCGGATGAGTTCGAGGACTAGAGGATCCGGAGTTGAGACGTACGGTGGTCTGCGATTCCGCCCATCGAGATGACAGTGATGGCTTGAAGTGCAACGGAGATCGAGTACACGTATAGGCTGTTACGAATAGCGACATTAACGCAGGCATAGTCGGTTTGCACACGCGGAGACGCACCTGAAGCTAGCAGTGTCCATCCATGCCCAGCCCAACTTCACGACGCAGCGCGCTTCGCCTGGCTGTGCCATACCATGTTCAGCCGTCGTGTTCTGAGCTGCCGTGCATGGCTGGGTACGATCCGGGAGGAGGTACCCGTTGTCTCTAGGAGAACTGTGTCACTGCGTGGCGTAAGGTCCGCGATAGGTTTTGCCACTCACCTAGCAAACTGCTCAAGACAGATGGGCAAGAACAGTGTCAAGGATACGATCACAAAGACCTCGCTACAGACGAGGAAAAGGGCGGTATTCAATATTCGATCCCGACACCAACTGAGCGCAGGGTTGACGCAGAGCGTACCTGGCGAACGCATAACTCAACCACCCTCTGAGGTGCCGCTTGTATCTCCTGTGGTCGTACTTCGTGGTATCGTCGCCGTCTTCAGGGAGGAGGACGATGCTGGTCATCTTTGTAGCTCACTTCCCAGCCGAGATAGTACACGACCCTCCAATTGGCGATGTCGTTCGTCGAGACCGAAGTGCTCTTCAAGCCCGATACTGATAGATTCGGGCAAGCTCACTGAGAGTGACGATGCTGAGACACTCCACAGAGCAGCGGGGATAGGTCGTCGCATTTGTGAGTAGGACGCAGCCAGCGGTGCGAGGCGCCCAAGACTGATTGATTACAGGACCAAACAGCACGCTCACATCCCAGTTCTGAACTGAGAAAACGTTTGAGGAGCTCAATGATATCGCGTGAAACCCAAAATAAGGAGTCATAAGTGTAAAGAGTATACAGCCGAGGGCAAAAGTACGATAACGACAACGAGGCGAGGGACAGCCGGCGACACGAGCGATGGGCTATGTCGATGTAAATGAGAATTCAGCTTGGCCGCCGCCCAGCTGTAGCCAAAAACGATTAGCATCATAGAGGGAAGCATATACGGGAACTCACCTGCTCCAATTGAGCATCAATCGTGTCCCCATCCTCCATGTTCAACTGGGGCATTCAAGTCAACCTATTATGCTGAAGAACCGAAGTCTACAATCGGACACACCTCTGCTGGAGTCATCTGTTCGAGGACCCTCTGTCCTTCAAATACAAACCTGAGCGTTCCTGAAAAGAATAATATGAGCTTCGCGGGTCCAAAGGATCAACCACGGCCTCAACATGCCTGGCTCTTTGTTGAATCGTTTCTGACAAGTTGTGAGCGTTGGTCCTATAGGTCATGATGGTGCCCATTGAGAACTCACTTCGGCGGCGCTAAATACTTTCGCAAACGGTGTCACCGGCTTGACCTTCACTGTACATGCTGCACGACGCGCCGCAAATCAGTCATTGAAGAGTTTCTACCTTAGCGAGGGACGCATGCTTACTCTGGCCCTCATAGTCAATGACCACGTTGAGTTTCGGCTTTACATCTTCGCCCTCTTCGGCCATGTTTGACTCGACAATAGAGGTGGTTGTAGCGGTGGTACGTGGTCGTCGTTTGCAAGTCGATCCTAAGTACGGCGCGTCTGTGGCCAGGTCGCATCGATCACGTGACTTATGTGTGTCGCGTCGCGCGTCGCGCCTGGGCCTGAGCGTTGGTAGTTTACCGCAGCGGTCTTCGACACAACAGCACCGAGTTTCCGTCTCTAGCGGTCTGACTTCGATACAGTAATCCGCCACGGAAGTATACATCCGGTCCTGATTTACATGTAGCAGTATGAATTAAGAAATTTCCCACTGCAGATCCATGCAGAGCTCACTGGAGCCTGAGGCCTGAGGCCTGAGGATTAAGACCGCCAAAGCCAGACAGCCATCAAATCACAGCGTGCGTATCGCAGTGTTGCAAGACGCGTTTCACCAATGCTCACGAGGTGTGATGTTTTGCGCTCGACGTGCTTTCTGAGTCGTCTGCGGTAGTATCACCACGCGCAGGACACATGTTGACCTCATACCGTCACGCGAAATGAAACCCATGCGGCAGAGCGCAAATCCTCTCCCCTCACACAATAACGCATGCAGACACGCTAGACAACGACCTAGGCCAGGCCAGGCGCAATGCCGCTGCGGCGGTACGCCCTCGTGTAGCCAACCGATGGAGATGGTTAGCGGTGACGCGTTGACGCGCCGAGTCGAGGGTATCCCTGATCCTCACGTCCTGCCGGGCCCAACGTCCGCAAGCGTCCCACGCGACGTACACGCACAGAGCAGCACAAATACCACCCGGAACGCGCCACATTCCACTGTGCATCCTGACGCTCGCCATGCTGTCCCGCATCCTCACCAACAAGATAAAGCGCCCCAGCCGCTCTGCGAGTGACCACTCCCAACAGCCATCCCACTCCTCAGCACACGCACCCTTGACCAACTCCAAGATGGGCAACACACCGAGCGCGCAGAACTCGCCGAAGCGTAAGCCTGGCTCCATCGGCCGGTCGTCGACGCTCTCGTCGTCGGTGGGCATGCCGGGTGCAGAGCCGCCGAAGGTCGACTCTCCGCTGGAAGAGAGGATGGAGGAGGGCACGGAAACCACCGCGAACGAACCGCAAGCGGACACGCAAGAGTCGCAGAAGCACACCGACGAAGTGATTCTGCTGATACCTCCCGTGCCTCCAGAGACGGACGGACCTGCCAAAGCGGAGCAAGTGGAAGTGGGTGCGCCAAACCACAGCAGTGGAGAGTCGCAAAGCGAGGAACGCAGCACGGACTCGCCACGACATATTTGGCTACCCGGCACGCATGTCCTCCTCAATGCGCGCAGCGGGACTGCGCTCGATCTCTGCGGGGCCGACCAACGAAACTTGATCGGGTTCCCTGTAAATATGGGACCTAATCAACAGGTGAGCCTCTCTGCTCTTGTTGGGTAGTAAATCCCGTACTGACCTTCTGATAGTGGGAGTTCATCCCGAGCGGGAGAGGATACATGATCCGCAGCGCGTGTCCTTCGTCGTGCGGGCTCTACCTCACCGTCGAGGAGCTGCGCGACAATGCGCCAATCGTCGCGAGCTCCTATCCTGCCAGCTGGAACGTAGAATTCGATGAGGGCGCGGAGAATGCGATCCGGTGCGTGCTCTGCGCATAGCCCTCGAGGGTACCTGAAATTGTTCTGACATGTATCGCCATAAATGACAGGATATCCTGGCCGAATACCGACTTTGTCATGGATCTGGCAGACTGGGGAAACGCTACGCCCGGTACGAAGGTAAATGAGCACCCACCCTCCTGAGCTGTAACGAATCTGATGCCGTGTTCGCAGGTCCAGCTCATGCACGCGAAGGCAGGCGAGCTCTGCCAGCTGTGGCGCTTCACGCGCTGTGCACCCGCACAGGAGCAGGAAGAGAAGATCGCTCGTACCGCGACGAAACCTGTAATTGCGGAGACGATCATCGTTTCGGAAGGAAAGGATCATATCACCACGACACGAACGACTACGACAACCACTGTGGCGACGGTGACGACGGTGACGAGGACACCACGGCCAGGCAGCAGCTCGCTGTGATGAGATGACGCTGGGTCATCGGATGCTGACCGGTCGGGGATTCGGAAGTTTGTTCGGGGGATGCCATCCTAACTTATGACACTTTATACCCAGCATTGTATGTCGGCTGTAAATCCGTACTGTATTCTCCTGATGCATCTGTAATTGGTATCATGTGCGTACAATGTACGAGGCATGTTCACCATCTTGTCAGCATCTAGCTCGCAAAGCATCAGTACTAGTATAGCGAGGATGGAGAATAGCGGACACTGTCGAGACACAGCCGCCCAACAGTACGACTCAGCTCCGACAACATAAACGTTAACATATATTTGCAGTCTTGTCACCTACATAGAGGTATTCCGCTGCTATAGGAAGGTGAACGGTGAAAGGATGAGTCGTCCCGAGGCCAGTGAAGGAGGAGGAGGAGGCGGTGCATCAAAGCATGTGTTGCCATTTTGGGTAAGTAAGTTACTTGCTTTCCGCGTTGCCAATGCCACCGCTCGCGTCGCGGGTCTGCTTCAGCCACTCTGCTTCAGCCACCTCCTCCAGTCATGTCGGCGAACTTGAAGGACAGCCTGCTCGACTTCTTTGAAGGCAAGATAGTGAGTCAAACTGATTGTGATGTTAAAGCTGAACTTGACACAACATCGTTGCACAGGACTTCGAGGGGCAGAAATTCGTCGAGGACATCACCAAGTTCACCTTGATCGCAGCGGCGGTAAGTGGTTCGGTTCGATCCATTCTCGCCGTGAAGCTTGTAGCCTCATATCCTACTCTCAGGTGTTCGCGTTCATAGTTGGAGCTCTCTTCCAGTCTCTGCGCGTCACCCTCGGTATCTTCGGGGTCGCTTCGATTGTCCTCTGCCTGGTATGTTCATCATGAACTTGATTGGTATGTGCACACTCACAAGTCAAGCAGGTTGTCTTCCCTCCATGGCCCATGTACAATCGACACCCTGTACAATGGCTCCCAACGAAAGAGTCGAAACCTTCGTCATAATGCATGATATCGGTTCGCCTTGTCCGGTCTAGATGTGTGCGGTGTAGGTTGTAGGTCGCGTTGCGTGCCCGATAGCTGGGACTATACCCAAGAGAAAACGAGTGCATCGCGGTACGGTTTTTGACTTCCTGGTGTCTTCCTCGATGTCCCGCCCCCGTTGGACTGCCTGCATGTCGATGCATGCGCTGGCTACACGCTCTGGGAGCACCTCATCAGCATCGCCTATCCGCTCATTGGCGGGATGCAGAGGTGCAGTCACCTTTGCAACACTGTGCGTATATTCTGGAAGGCGATTTGTACACTCCTTCGGCCTTCTTCGCCATCCGTGATCCTGGTGACACCGCCACAGTCGTTCATGCAGGTGTCTGACATCGGTTCCTGCACAACAACGGCGACCGCCCTGGAAACGCATGCTTTCGTTGGTTCAAAAATAGCTTTCTGCTCCGTGTTTCACGTTTTTGACTTTGTGCCACTCAGTTAGTTCAACGTATCGTGCAGTTGACGTTGATGCCGATGGACTCAGACAACACGATTCGGCGGACTCTTTACGACCTCTCTTTCGTAATGCTTACCAGGGCTTTCCAGCTCGCTTTCTCTCTTCCCTTCAGCGCAGATACACAACGTAGCCGATGAGTCAAATGGTATGCATGTGTCACAGATCATCGAGAACTGACGAACTGATGTACGGTAGGCTGTTGATGGTATGCAGTCAAGATGGCGTATAGCGTGGACTTGTTGACTTTTACTGCATCAAGGACTCCAGCGCGACTCGGAGCCGATGCCATCTTTGAAACTCAGGCGGTCGGAAGACATGTCAGGTATTGTCAGCACTGCTTGACTACTGTTAGGAGAACTCCCTCTTCTGACGCTGCATACCCTTAGGGCTGAGTCCATTGCATTGAGTCGCTATGCAATCTGAGCAAGAGACGGACGTGAGTAATATTTACGGGTCACGTATGCTAGTTATATGTAGCTGCCTGTTGAACTGGTTGCGACGAGAAGCTGTGCAACGACTGGCATTTCTCACCATAGTATTGATACCCCTAGGTCAACAGATAGTCGGATTCTGTATGATCATGACAGTTCAGGGTATGGACGCCCGCGTTGACATTCCTACTGACTTGTGCACAGCGCCGTCAACGTGTTCAAGCTGAAAATAGACTGGGTTCGCGATGAACACGCTTCGGGAAACTGATGAAGAATTCTCCTGTGTACAGCATCGAGATCTGGCACTGGCTTAAATTCGGATGCATCGCAAACGAGGTTCTTTCAGCTCACCACATTCGTTCCTTCTCTTTTGAGCTCACTTTCCTTTGTGTAGGCGCTGGTCGGCAAGTTCATTCATTCGCTCTCATCGCAAATGCAAACTGATTCATGTCATTGGCAGCCCTCGTTCTATCTGCTCTCGTTGGCGTCATTAACGATCCCCATCCCATCCTAATTGTCGAAACCTTCTCGTAATCGCTCGACGTCAACATGCACGCCTCCGCTCTTCTCTACACGGTTCTTCTTGTCGCCTCTGCAGCGACTCTCTCTGCTCGCCCGATCTTCTCTGGTCCTGTCCCGTAAGCATCCATGTCTGACATCCTACAGACATGTTGACTCGTCTCACCGTCATCTCATTCATTTGCACAGGACAAACGCCGAGAGGATCGTGTCGCCTTCCCCGGCTGAAGATCATGACGCCAACGCGCATCTGTCTCACGCCCATAGCAGTGCCCACGAACGTCACCATGGACCGTACGCTCACGCTTATACGTTGCACCATAGTGTTGGTCCACACGGCGAGCGTCGTCGCCCCCTCGCACTTGCTGGACAATCGCATTCCAGCAGCGAAGACGTCGGACTGCACTTCCACGCGCCGGCTGTCCATGATGCCCTTAGCGCTGCCGTTCATCACGCTCGTGCTGTGGAAGACATGGATCTACTCCCCCGAAGACTCGAGGCGCGTAAGAAGGAGCCCAAGAAGGAGCCACCCAAAAAGGCCGCTCCTGCGAAACCGAAGCCCGCAAAGAAGAAGCACCACGTCAACTGGAAGAAGGTCGGCAGCACCGCCGCTACCGTTGCTGGAGATGTGGGCAAATTCTTCCTGCACTTGTTACGTCGCGAGGATCCGGAGCTCTTCGCACGTCTGCTCGATCACGATGAGGAGTTGATGGCAAGAGAGGATCTGGTGGAGCTCTTGAGACGCAGTGGTGGTGATATGGTTCTAGACCGCCTGTACTAGAGCATCTTGGGACTAGGATGTTGTTTCGTGGAGTCAGCTTTGTCTAGCCTCTTGAACAAATGGCGGTATGTTCCGCCCAATTTGCGTTTCTTGAGACTTAGTGACTTCAGAACACACGTTCACAGCTAAGTCCACAACGTTGGGCCCCGCACAAAAGGTGCGTATAGGAGCGGAGGTCATCAAACGTTGGCATTCGGTGATCCGGACACTGTGCCGCTCAACCTGGGCCGACGTACCTAAGGTCGCGGCTGCCTGGCTCAGCCTTGCCGTCGAATCCCGCCACGTCCGGGAGCCGCTTACTACACATAACTTGTCAATCGCCGCTCGTCGAGGGCGAGTTTGCGCGGCCTAATCCGACATTAGCGGAGGTCATCCAGGCATCCGTCATGCGAGCCATTAAACGTCTGCTTCGATGCGAAAGAAATCCCGAACCAATCCATATATACCTCGGAGACATGGACTCGCTCTTGCTCAACTAACTCGCTCTTGCTCCACCCCACCACCAAGACATGGCCCGAGTAAGACAATTCCGCATTCCCCAGTTCGAAAGCGCAGAGCGCAAGGGCCGTGACGCTGTGTTCGGTGCAGACTACGTCAGCGCAGTAACCGAGGAGGTCAACAAGCTGGGATGTTCCAAGGTGTACCTCGTCGCGTCGACGAGCTTGAACGCGCAGACGGATGCGGTCAAGAGACTGGAGGAGGCGCTTGGCAACAAACTGTGCGGAAAGAAGATCGGTGTGAAGAGCCACACGCCGTACGACGAGGTGCTCCAGATCGCGAAGGAGACGAAGGAGAAGGGCGCCGACATGATCGTGACGCTAGGAAGCAGCTCGTACAGTGATGCGGGGAAGGCCGCCCTAGTGAGTGTCGATTATGTGCGCGCGGACGAAACGCTCTCTGATTTACTTATATACATCGTTTCAGCTCATTCACGCCTCGCTTCCCGTTGACAAAATGGATGTTGACTCTATGGAGTCTCTCAACGCTGGACATGCAGACGACAAAACAGGCTGGGCAATGAGCTCGCCGGCGACCGTCAAAGAACCGACTCTCAAGCTCATATGCGTGCCTGCCTCTCTTTCGGCGGCGGAGTGGAACGAAATCAGCGGCTGTACGAACCCGATCACTCGCAAGAAACAGCACTTCTCCCACCCCGCCGGTGCACCGAACCTCATTGTGCTCGACCCGCAGCTCGCGCTCACGACCCCACTGCACCTCTGGCTTAGCACGGGCGTACGTGCGGTGGACCACTGCGTCGAGACGCTCTGCACGGACAGAAGCAGCGCCGAGGTCAAGGACGCCGCGGAGGAGGGCTTGAGGGCTCTCACGGAGGGGCTGTTGAAGTGTAAGGAGGACGAGAAAGATGTCGCCGCGCGTGCTGAATGCCAGATCGGCTCGTGGAAGGCGGCGCGGAATATCCTATCCAAAGTCCCACTGGGTGCGTCGCACGCGATAACGCATCAGGTAAGTTTGGGCTTGCATACTGCATGCGAGGTCCCTACTAAGCCATGCAATTGAATGTAGCTGGGCGCATTTTGCGGTATACCACACGGCATAACCTCCTGCATCATGCTCTCTCCGGTGCTGAAGTACAACGCGGCGCACTCTCCGTGGAACGCACAGCTGCAAAAGCGGGTCTCAGCGATCTTCTGGTCCGCTATACCGGACACCTTTGTCCGGGCAGGATTGGAAGAAGCTCAGGCTGACGCCGGAGACCTCGTAAAGGCCTTCGTGCAGGCTCTGCAGTTCCCGACGACATTGACGGAGGTGGGTGTCGGCGAAGATGTATGGGACAACGTTGCAAAGGCGTCCCTGGAAGATGCGTGGGGAAAGACGAACCCTGTGCCGCTTGAAAGTGTTGAGCAGGTGAAGGAGATCCTCGCGATGGCCAAATGATTGACGAGTCCTGGCCCGTCACCGCGTCATCATGATTACATACCCTTTATTCTTCTTTTTCTCGCCCGTTTCTCTGCATCGCTGAATGAGTCTCTCAACAGACTCTTACGATACGATACCCTACGCGCAAACTCGTCGACGTCCCGCCCGCGCTCTTCTGCTATCTCTCTCGCTCTGCTGTGCTTTCAGAATCTCGCGTGTGTATTTGTACTGGGCCGCGTCGCCCTGCTCTCTGTTGAATTGCCTCTCCCCGAGTTCTCTCCTCTCGCGTCTTTGACTCCGGCACTTTTGCGCGACAAGAGGGTTCGTGTGTGCAAGATGAGTCGAGTAGAGCGTGGACGTGCTTCAATACGAGTACGTTTTTATATTAGCATCCGGCGGCCTAACTACTCTATCTAGACCTTGCCGAACCCTACGTCCACCTCGACTCCCGACCTCCCTGCGTCAAGGACGAGCGCACGTGCATTGGGTTTGTCGTCGCGTACATCCTGTCAGAAAATTTCGCTTGAAGCGCAGTAAACTGTGCTCTGAGGACACGCGTGCGGGTGCTCAGAGCATAAACACTCGTGAGCCAGGCGATCAACGTCCTTGGTGGTATTACGGGTGCATAACGCGGTCATTTGTGCTGCCTACTTTTTACTCGTATTTTGTTGCGCGGTGTTTGAACCCGAAGATTGTCGCTGCGCCATCCCCCCAAACAACTCGCCGCCTGCGCGGTGATCCTCCACACCCCCACCCCGACACCGAGCAGCACCGCAACGTCAACAGCAACCAAAGTCACCGCCGCGTTCATGAACCTCGGCGCGAACACCTTCCACACCATCAGATGCCTCCGCAGCCACGCAGAGCTCGCCGCGCTTCCCAGGAGGAGCACCGAATGGTACAGCATCACGCCCAGCGCGGCGCGCACCGCGCCCCCGGTCACGAACGTACCAGCGGCAGGGTGGGGCAGTGGCTCGATGTTCCAGAGCGCGACGAGCGGCACCGCGAGCGCGAGGAGGAACTGCGGGCCGAGCGTGTTCATGATGACCGTCGCGGGCGACCACACGAAGCTCAGCGTCGGCGTCAGCACGAACGCGGCCTTCCACTGGATCGACGCGATCGCGGACTGGTGGCCCGTCGCGTAGAACGCGTGCAGGCGAGCAGCGCGAGCGGGGCGACCTCCGAGAACGCGACCGTCGCGGTGGGCCGCGCGTCCGCGTCGAGCGCGGCGGAGGGTGTCTTGGACGCGAACGCGGCTTCGAGCGCGCGCACGTCGCGCACGCTATCGACGACCTCGACGTGCGCGAGGACAGCGAGGGCCGCCAGCGCGAGTACGAGCTGGCCCGTCAGCTGCGTCACGGTGTATATCAGCCCGAGATCCCGCACCACAGGACGAGGTACGAGGCGCCGAAGGCGTTGCCGAAGCCGAGGATCGTGACCTGCGTCCTGGTCTTGCTTCTCTTGCCAGCGGCCTGACTGCGCTCCTTGTTCCGTGCACTGACGACAGGCAGAGCGGGTGGTACCACCACACGAAAGACCGAAGATGACATGCTGCCCATCGCGCCCTGAGCCATCAGCGTGCGGCCGGTACGCAGAACCCAATGCCACTCCGAACCGAGCACGTCTGCCGTGTCCAGCCACTCCGCGATCCAGTGCGCCGCGCCTTGTAGAAGCGCGACAGGGAGGAGCCACGGGAGCACAATCTCCGCAACGCCATTGTCCGACTTGGACATCTGCAGAACCAGCGTACAGCCCAGGGCAGCCCCAGCGCGACGGGCACGGCGAGGACGAGGACGAGCAGCGGCGGCTCGGGGAGCGAGGACGACGCGAAGAACGTGACGTGGCAGTACGGGTGCTGCTCTTCCCTGCAGACCGTGCTCGCCGCCATCGCGCGCACGCAGAAGGCGAACAGCGCGGAGAACCCGAGGATGCGGTACCGCAGGCGCGCGGTGGGCGCGGAGAGTCCGGCCAGGACCGAGGGTGCGACGGAGGAGAGGAGCAGGTAGGTGATGATGCGGTCCTCCCAGATCGTGAATGAGTTCGAGGCGAAGGCGAGCGCGTGGAGGATAAGTGGGATGAGCGACGCCGTGGGGCGGAGGCTGGATAGTGAGGGCCGGGCGGTGGCAATGACGACGAGCGACGAGACTAACGGGGCGCCAAATAAGACGCAGTGAAGGGCGTCGAGTCCCTTTACGAAGGACCGCAGCGGGAGATAAGCCAGGACACCGAGGATTGACCCTGCAGCCATCCCGCGCACGCACAACCAGCGTGCCTTCGCAGCCCAGTCCACCCAGTCTTCCTTGAGCTCGCCCAACTTTGCGTAGAGCACAACGGAGGCGAAAGTGCCCACCGCCAGCACCGTCAGCCCCAGGCCGATGAGCGTGACGTTGAACTGGGCCCAGAGCTCACGACACACCGCGAGCGCGAAGCGCGTGTAAGCTTCCATGGCGATCCACTGAGTCTCGTCGCCCCTCGTGTTCTGTACAGCGGTCCATCGCTCTTGTAAGTCGCCCCAGGCACCATCGAGCTCGCCGCCGGATGCGCTTGCGCGGTAAGTATCGAGGTACTGCTTCACTTGCTGACTGTTAAGCTCGAGCGCGCGTTCGAGCTGCCCATCGCGGCCGAAGAGCTCAGGGATGACGGTCCCGAGGTTGTTATAGGGGATGGGGATCCCGAGAAGCAGTGCTAAGGAAGGAACGAGGTCGATCTGCTGGACGGACCTGTGGGGTACCGTAGCACCGGGGAAGAGCCGGGTGGGGAGCAGGGACAGCGGGGCGGAGTTCGTCCGCGGAGCAGAGGAGTCTTGCTGTAGATCCACAGCGCGGCGGACGTCTCGAGCACGCCGTCGCCTCCGTGGTCGCCCCGTCTGTCCATGCCGTGGTCGCCCAGGACGACCAGCAGCGTGTCATCCTCCATCTCGCGCACGACGCGCCGGAGCACGTCATCCATCTGCGTGAGCTTCGCGTGCATCTTTGGGTGGTCCGGCCCGACGCGGTGCCCGACGTGGTCCACGCCGAGGAAGTGGCCTATGACGACGTCCCACTGCGCCGTCCGGTTGCCATGAGCGGGAACAGGTGCCGGACGACGCCCTCGTCGACGGTGTGGAGGTCCTCCACATTGAAGGAATCGTACGGGAAGACATCTCCGGCGCGAACACGTCCGTGAAGACGGTCGTCCAGGTGTCGTCGCCCATGAACGCTACCTGGGCTGCACGTTATAAGACGCCTGGAACGCGATGGGAGGCATGCGACGCACTTTCTTCCCTGCATCTCGCAGCTGGCTAATGAGAGTGTCCTCCGCGACGGACGCGCCCCCGAAATTTGCGCCCATGTCGATGAATGTGGGCAGAGAGCCCGTGGTGAGACCCTTGATGCGTGCGAAGTTGTCGTGGGCGGGTCCGCGAAGGAGTCGAAGAGGAACGAGCGCGAGGGTGTGCGGTGGTGAGTTCGTGCGCGATACAAGACATTGTGATGGTAAAGTGAGGCCGGCTGTGGTGGACTGGGACTGACGAAGTCGAACGCAATGCGTCGATGATCAGGACGATCGCTCGCTTGTGCGTCGGCGCCAGCGTGCACAAGCCGTCATGACAGGTAGTCCTTTCTGAAAGCGCAAGCCGAGTTAAAAGGAATCCGCGCGTGTAGAGATAGAGCCCGGCGAGATGAACGAAGAATACCCAGACTAGCAGGAAGAGACCTTTGCGTGAAGACATAGGTTGGTGACTTGGTCGTGGTGTTTTGCGAATTCCGTTCACTGTAACGTCCAGCGACGACGAATCGTCGCAATGAAGTCTTCCGAAGTGAAGTCCTCCACGACTGTAGCGAAGCAATAAGCTATCGTAGGCACTCTGGCATGAACGCTGACTGACACAACTCACCCCGGGCCTGCCCCAATATCCTCCTCCAATTTACGACACCACAGCAACTCTTCTGTGAACCTCAGTGAAGAATGTCCAATTTATCGAGAGCTATGCACAGTTCAGCGTTGAAGAACAATGGGAGAATACTGGGTACCTACTCTGCTGTCCCTGTTGTGAATCGTGGTGGCAGACGATGCATTTCACCAGCCTATGTGGCGGCTCCAGGCACGTGCTGTCTGTGCTGGGGTCCTGCTAGAGCAGCATGGTAGTACTTAGATATATACATACCAGCTTTGCTTGGTGCACATATCTCAGGTATTGAGGTGTCTGAGTGCGTGTACTACCTGCTGCGGGTATAGATATGTTGTCACTACTTCTCAGATTAAAGTCTGGTACGTGCGATGGGTGGCCAGGATGTACCGGGACCCCGACAGCACAGCCTCGGCGATGCGCCGGTGATGACTCGGCGACAGGTCTTCCTGTTCGCTGTTGGCGACAACGGCGACTTTGCGGCGACGACACGCTCCCCCGATGCCGAAGGCACCCTCGACCACCTTCACCCATGTCCGCGCAGGCGATTGGCAGTCGCCGAATAACCCACACGCTCTCAGACGGAACCAGGTGCGCATGCCGCCTCTCGCTGGGCGGCGGGCAGATATATTGACTCGGAATGAATGTGCCACTGCAGGCGTGCCACCAGTGTCGGAAGCGGAAACTGGTAAGCACACACCCGGCGTACGTATTCGTGAGTACGGACTGAAGTGCTACGGCGTAGAAATGGTAGGTGTCAAATTGGGTGTCTCAACCACTCAAGCACTGCCGATCGAGATATGTGCGTTCGTCTGGGCGGTGCCCACCAATCTACTCGGGAGAATCCTGGTTATATGCGGGAAGGCCTGGTCCTCAACTCAACACAAAACTCCGATATCGAGGATAGAAGGCCGGAAGTACACCTATATCGTCACTGGACGTCAACTACTTCCGTGGTGACAAGGTGAATGGACATGCCACATCGGCTGACCTTTTCTGCTGGGCCTTCAGACAAAGATGCGCATTCCGCGTGTCCGATGGCCCTTCCTATTATGCCCAAAGGTATGCTCATGGCTCTGTTTTGCCGCAGTATCTGAAGTTGTGACCCTGATCTTAGTCGACAGACGCCGGAGGCACTGCTACAGTGGCATCTTCACGGTCCCACCAATTCTGAAACCGGGCCTTCCGCATATAACCAGGTTTTTTCGGTCACGGAGCATTTCAGTTATCGCCTGTAAAAGCAGCGTGGCATATAGCTGCCTCTTCGCAAAGATCTGGCCAGTCCATGGACAGAATGACCTGTGTTTCAGGCTGCTTTGTTTATTGAACAAGGCAGCCTATTATACACTCAGCGGGCCAGCAGTTGAGGGTGCTTATGTCCATGGCAATGTCCTACTTCAACGCATGTCAGGCGAAACTATGCGAGGAGTATCATGCAGAGTAACATGAACTATTGTCAATCCGCTCAGGAGGGATCATGAAATAATTGGTCCGCTCGGGCGGAATCTAGGCAGTCAGCACGACGGTACCCCATTTCATCTAACTACCGTCACCGTTGGACATATAATACAAGCACCGTCATCCCCAATGGTGCTGGTGCACTGCGGAGCTACCCCCGACGCCTTCTCCGGAAGTGCTGTCGGAATACCGAGGCTTATGGGCAGTGTCAAGAGTCTTGACAGACTAGTGGTCCGCACGATTCTCACTGTCAGACCGGTCAGACGCTGATGCATGAGCGCACATGCTTCTCATTGCCTGACTTCGCGTCTCTTCCCGAGCTAGTCTGAATGCTCATGCACTTGTTCCTCCCTGCAGTGACGCAAAACGACCATGCACGACATGCATCCGATCGCATGCATACGCACTCTCGCACGCGCCTCCAGGCGCGCAGATGCCGCGGGCCCGGACTGCACATATGATATGGGTGAGTCGTCCTCTCGGTCCAACTGTCAGTTCGCCGTACCTACGCCGATGCAGTCCCCGATCTCTCCGGCCTACAGCAGCAAGATCCGCCTGAAGGTCGGCTCGAAAAGCTCGAAAATAGAATAGGTAATCTGCCCATCTCCCCAGCGTGCTGTTCTCGCCACTCACGCCCATCCGTTCATCTAGCGGAACTCGAGACGCTCCTCGCTGAATCGGCCGCGCAAGGCAGTCCGCCCAACTTCCCGGGCCATCCCACTTCGGCGGCCCCCAGCACCTGGGCGGTCACCCCCAGCTCGGCGTGCCAGGACCCTCACACATCCCCATCGACCCGTCCCTCTTGCCCGACTCCGGCCATAATGTCCAGCAGATGCGCACATGTCCTCCATTACGGCCCGTTCTCATCGACGCCGGACAGCATGATTGACCCGCTCCTCACCGGGGCTATGGCATGCCCCAGCACGCGCAGACGGGTGCGCTGAATAGTCTTGCAGAGGCCGCCGCACTGTCGGTGAACTCGCACCAGATGCAGATTGAAGAGGAGATTCCCCTGCACGTCCCGAGGCCGCATCCTATCGAAGAGGTGCTCCCGTGGGCTGGCCGGAGAACATGCCTGGCCCCGAGCTGTTGAGGCATCTGTGAGTGCGACTTTGTTCTCGAGATATATTAGTGGCGTGGACTCACGAGGCCGTCAGAGTGGAGGCATACTTCTCGTTCAATGCGGATGCCAACAGGCTCCTCCACCGCCCCACTTTCATGGCCAACCTTTCGCTCCCGCCGACGCACCCGCGCTTCCCGGTGGCCCCGTTGCTCCATGCTATATGCGCGGTTGGCAGCTTCTACACTGCGGCAGTCGATCCTGCTCCGAAACCGATGAGGTCGCCCTTCCCCATGGGTAAGTCCCCCTCACAATGTCGCGCCACGCAACTCATATCAATGCTTTCCAGATGACCCCTTCGATGGCAGACATTGGATGCATGCACGAAAACCGTATTCTTTCGCGGAAGCGCAAGTGAAGTATGCGCAAGAGACGATCTTGGGTTTTGGGCATGTCGGGTCAGAGATTTTCCAGGCGGTGCAAGGTCTGACTGCGTTGTGGTTCTACTATAACCGCTTTGGCTGATAGGTCTTCGTGTAGCTGAGATCCTGCTAAGCACGTGGTATTGGGCATCAGCAAAGTGTGTTTGTTCTCCTTTCCGCCACCCATATGATACTGACGATGCATTGGACTAGGTGGGCATCGGTACGCATTTGCTTCAGACAATTGATCTAGTGATTTACGTGTAACATAGGCGTATATGACAATATCGCGCTCGCTGCGCTCATGTACACCAATGGGCTTGAATGTCGCCGCGCCTTTTCAAGCACTCTCCGGAAGCTCCAGACCGCCGTCACTGTTGTCCCCTCCGAAGACCGCGCTGGAGGAAGAGTTGAGGCGAAATGCATTTTGGCTAGGTGCGGGAATCGGACACCGGCCTAGGATCACGTACTGACATTTGCGAAGCTTATGCCTCGGAGCGTACCATGGGGGCCGGTCATGGTTGGGCTCTCATGCTCGACGACGAGGATGTTTCTCAACTGCTCCCTGTTTGTGGCGATGACTTCGACGAGGAGGTGCGTTCTTTATCCGCCAGCTCCAGAACATGAGCTGACTTCCCGTGACAGAGGTCCGTCCCCTCCCACGAACGGCAGTGGTCGCACGACCACGACATCCTCATCCGACACCCTCCCCGGCAGACGGACCCGTTCATCCTCTACATCAAGTCGTGCATCCTTATCTCTCGGGTCAAAAACTTCAACTCCCGTTTCCGCGCGAAGTATTACGCTGGCGACCCGGCGACCTTGCCAGTGGGCCCGAATGGCGAACGTACGCCGATCAAGGACATCCGGACGGCCCCTGCGTTCACTGAGCTCAACCAGCTCATTAACGACTTCCAGAGCTCGATACCGCCGCATTGGAAGCGCCCGGTGCAGAATGGGGTCGTGAACGCGCATTTGTTCGCGGCGGTCACGACGCCGCACCTGTATGTCACCCTGCATCATTGTATGGTGGTCAGCTGACGAGAATTCCCACGGCTAGCGCAATCATTCTCCTCCACGAGGCGCATGCCCACATCGAGTCGGAGACGTGTCCATCGTCGCTGCGGATCCTGACTGCTGCGCGAGGTATCTTGAACCTCATGTACGATGTCTGCGCGACAAGCTATAACCTGTCGTTGCTGGGGCAGTTTGTTGTGGTAAGTTGTTATCGGTTCAGAAGTTGGGCTCTGGCTAAACTGGGCTGTGCAGGCGGCATGGTTCATGGCCGGTCGAGTACTCATTCGCTTCTTGCGCATCGCCGTCCCGTCGAACGCGACACAACACACAGCGACACTGATAGCAGAGCTGGACTTCATACGGTAAGGATCCGACTCCGAGCCCACGGTCTCAGTGCTCACACCATTCGTCCACGAACAGGACAGCTATGTCGCAAATTGGAGAGCGTATGCCCATTGCTTGTGTGTATTCGGTGTATACGTGCATGTCGAACTCAGCTTAGGGTGTTACATCTTTAGATCGCTACGCCAAGATGATGCAAGACTTAATTCAAGAATGTTCGGGAGGGGCTGCCGCTGGTCTGGCTTCCATCAGCACTCCGTCTTCAACAGGCATGGGCAATAATGGCGTCCAGATGTCCTTCAGTTAGCGGTATCTTGTGAGGCGACGTCGTGTTCTGAGTTTGAGATGGATTCAGTATGTTATCACTACTGGTACCGTTGCCTGTTGTTTTTGCTTTCGACGTCTGTAATGAGTATGAGCGTGCGGAGTACGCAATGTGACATTTGCTGATTCATTCTCTCGTCGATGATTCGTGTGCAACATTGAAACTATGTAAGTATATCAGAGGCCATAAGTCACAAGGTAACGTTACCCATAAACCCGAGGTATTGGGCCAATCAAACTAGCCAGTGGTGAGTCCTGCAAACTAACATCGCCGCCCAGTCCTCTTATGTTGAAGTCTTGAGCAGCTCAGCTGCCTTTTCAGCCATTGCAATGACAACAGCACATGGATGACCAGAAACCTGCGTGGGGAAGGCAGAGGCGTCGACCACTCGCAGTCCATCAACACCGTGGACCCGTAACTGAGGATCGACAACGCTGGTTTGTGCATCCTGCCCCATTCGTGCGGTCGCAACCTGTCGGAGAGCACTGAGTACACATGGATATCTATGCTGTCGTGCATACTCACGGGATGGAAGATCGGGTTCGCATTTCGTCTGATCCACTGCTTGAGTAGATCGTCTGTCAGCTATGGATGACATGTTAGGGAAGGCAAGCATAGCAGTCTCTTCGTGATACACAGACCTTCTCAGGGTCGGCGTTCCCCGGCCAGAAGTAGTCTGTCTCTGCAGCTGGTGTCCAGTCGAGTAAGGAGGCTAGGGGCTCAGAACGGGCCATGCGTAACAGCAGTCTGGTGCACGTAAGGCTGCGTTGATATCGTTCTCGGATTCGAGATAGCTACGAGCGCTCGTCAGAAACCCGCGGATGGCCAGCCCCTTCCACTCACTGTGCGTCAATGATCGGCTTGTCCCATATACTACGAGATGCCAGAGTGATTTCGCCAGTACTCTCAGGCCTGAGCAAGGACGCAGCCTGTCGATGCCGTCTTCAAATTGGATCTAGACCACACAATCGGGTTCATGTGAGACTTACCGTGGTGATACCGTATAATCCAGACGCGGGTATGGCAACCCCATCATTGTCTACGTCGAAAAGTAGCGGGAACCAGAGGAGCTCCAAGTCCGGGGCACCAGGACCTGATGTCATATCCCGGACAGTAGTGTTCGTCGGTTCTTCCCAGTATGGAGAGAGACTGAAAATATCAGTCAAGACCGCGCTGTGTTCGCCGATGGGTTGAGTACACGTACTTGGGATCATCGGAGCGTATGAATGCGGCAATGGACATCCCAGAGCAGATATAGGGCTTTGCCTGTGGTGAGCCATCTGAGAAAGGCGATAGCTCCATGTAAGGGCTGGTTGTATCGATCCCACGTAATGTCGGTTTTGGCGCGAAATCTGAGTGGTCCGGTGGTCAAGTGCTGCGAAAGGTGAATTCTTGTCAACAGCTGCATGTAACACATTGATTGCGCACATCCATGAGATTCTTCCCTACGGCGGGAAGATCCTGCACGACATCAATGCCCAGCTTATGAAGGTCGTCTGAGGGTCCGATGCCTGAAACAAGTAGCAGCTGCGGGGTCATGACAGCTCCAGCACACAGGATGACCTCCCGCCGCGCGTGTGCGCGATATCGAGGGGAGGTGCGACTCTTTGAAACCTCGACGCCCGTGGCGCGGGGCTTCGCACCTACATCTCGTGCGAAGAGAATATTCTCTACGATCGTATAGACGGCGACAGTCAAATTATGTCTTCTCAGAACGTCAGCTGTTAGGTATGCGGTCGCAGCAGAGCTTCCTACATCATCCTCAGTGGATGTTTGTGCATGACGGAGGAAGGTGCTTACGTTGACCGCTGTCGTCGATGCAACCCACGAGACGAGTGGCACCTATCGTGCCTCTGGGCGAGTTGATGTCGCTGGATACAAGATTCAGTGAAACGGAAACACGGTGGTTGATGCGTAACGTACTCGTTATACGATATACCCATGCCCTCACAGGTATCAAGGACCGGGTCCGAGATGGCTGCACACGTATTATGCGGTGGAGGAGCTATCCATTTATTTTTACCCACTGCGAATTCTGTGGTGTGGTTCGTTAGCCACGGGCCATCCAAACCATGTCTTCCGTCCGTACTTGCGGAAACGATGGACTCGGGGCGTAGCGTTCTGCTTTGTCGAAGTACCTGGAAGGCCATCTCGGTTATGCATACCCTGTAATCGGATGGCCTCGCACGCACGGTCGAAGATGCGCGTAGTCCCACCCGGTCGCTCCGAGTCTTTCCCATTCATCAAAGTCTGACGGCAATCTTAGCTCGTGGTATGAGGAACAATGTCGAGTGATAAACCTTCCGGTGCACAGCGATGATAAATCATGGCATTAATCGTGCTATTTTCATGAGTGTGTGCGGTAAGTGCTGATACACCGATCTCACCTTGTGCCGCCTAAGATCTTTCCGCGAGGCCAATGTACTTTCCGGCCATTCATGCCTTCTTGAGGCCTGCATATCATTGAGTTCATTGGACAGTACGTATTATGACGCATACGTAGTCACATAATCCCAGTCAACATCGGACTTTGCCAACTTGCCAAACGCAAGAGGGACGCGTGTCAGTAGGTCTCTTTCGTGGCTAATCATCATTGATCAGCACCTCACGGAGTGTTGCGACCCGCATAGATTGCCACGCACCTTTTTCCCGCCTCAATGAGCAACACGGTTACATTAATTCTTCGGAGAGGCGCGAAGCAACCACGCAACCCGCAGTACCTAACAAACCTCTTCAGCGAGGCGATCGACATTCTCACCTATTCGCTCACCTCCCCCTACGATGATGTAGTCGTATTCCCGCAAGGTATCCTTGTTCTTGACGACGTCGACCGGAGAGGCGAAAGAAACAGGGTCAGACACTGTCGCACTCGAGTGAGTGAGTCCCATTGTGCAGTCAGGCGACGAATAGAAGTGTCAGGGCGGATGAGGACGGGTCCAACAAAACAGTCAAAGGCAGACATCATTTATACTCTGCATATCCGCGTACGCGAGACATGATCCCGACTCCCGAGGCATGAACCCGCAAGCTGACACCAGTAGCGCGACGGCTGGAGACGGCTGGACATGCATCCGTAAGCCTGAGCTGCGTGTCTGCTTGGTTAGCGACGTGCAATGTAACAGGTCCCGCTCGCCAGAGTAACCAGTGGGACCGGCTGACAAGTTATCTGTTGGTGATTCCTGACTGGAAGGTGAGTGTATGGTCCCAGCGTAGATGCAATTGATGCTTGCCCGGGACCCATCCCGATCAGTGCACCGCTTGCACTTCAATGGACGAATGACCGACAAGGCATCTGCGGATCTCCTCGCAAGTACTTATACACGGCTGTTCAGGGACGCCAGAAGGAACGATGGTCCAAATGACTCGGACGTGGCGAGTAACATGAGACAGCCACCCTTAGTGTTGTGTCGAAAGAATTGAGCCATGCGGATCAGCCGCCCTTCAATTCCAATTTTCACGAGCGTTTGTACTCCCCGATCATGTCGAGCCCAGTTAACGGAGGTCAGCAGCGGCCAACAGTCTGAGGGGTCACCATTACCAGGCGTCGTCACTTCGGTGTAGAAGCACGATCTAGATATACAACACTGCGAATAATGAGCCAAGGACGACGTCAAGATGTCACAACGGAGATTTCTCACAGCAGTTCACAACCTGTTCATCACTCGCCGTCATCAGTGTCATCTAATCCTCTCGCGTCTCGTTGAACCTCCTCGTCATCGACAGCCATTGAGTCGTCCGGATCCTCGTCGTCTGCTTCGTCGTCTTCCATCTCTTCTTCAGCCTCTTCCTCCACTCCCTCCTCGTCTTCCGCCATCTCCTCGTCTTCATCTCCATGGAGGCCCCCATTCACCTCCGCTTCGGGCTCCTCTGCCTCCGGCTCCTCGCGTCATCCTCTGGCCCAGCTCCTCGCGGTGGCGGCTTCGTCGATGGGCGAGTGATCAATATCTTGGGGCCCTTCTCCTTTGCCTTCTGTTTGGACTTCGACGCGGACGCAGCCGAAATGGACTGTGGCTCGCCCTGCGATTCGCGCGCCTTGCCCTTCGCGCCGCCCGTGCTCTTACGGCCCTTGTCCGACTTTTGGATGTCGCGGTAGACTATAGGGCCATTAGACAGGTGTGGAGTGAATGTCGAACAGTACGGACCTTGTAGTTCCTGTTGAAGCCGGGGTACCATGTCGCCCATCTCAACCAACTCGAGTGCCTTGAGAACGTCTGACGCGGATATGCTCTTGTGCTGCTTGGACGCGGCGACTTCGTGGGCCGTGGCAGCTGTGTTCCACAGCAGAGAGACTCAGGGTGGGACTGAGCTGAACATGGCACGAAACGTACCCAGGTAATTGATGAAGACGGTGGACGCCTTTTGGAAGGACAGCACAACATCCTTGGACATCTTGGTGTTTTCTGACATCTGCGAGCCGTCAACAACGCCGTCAGTGCTTGAGAATATGTTCTCACCGCCGCTCGCGCGAGTTTCGTGATGATACTGCGTGGCAACTCGAAAGTCTCGATGCCTTCCGACACGGCCTCTTGCTGTGCCTGTGCACTCACGGCCGACGTGGCCACCTCTTTGGTACCTCCAGCCATTGTTCTGTAGTCACTTTGTATGGTTGAGAGTCGTGCGCGTATAGCTGAAGACAGAAGGTACGGAAGGTATGATATGGGCGAGAATTCTACGAGAGGTCGTGGTCAAAGCCAGTGAGCCTGCGAGCAAACGCGCTCACGCGCCACAGGGAGTGCCACAAGCGCGTCCGACGCGATCATTGAGATTCTCACGGTCTACAGTAGTTCAATCGCATCATAACTTTAAGTACCTGCCTAGTACGAGGTACAATACATAGCCCGTGCGATTCTGCGCGTACTCAAGTACTCACTGCTCGCGTCGTCGCGTGCCGCATCGTGCATAGACTGACGTAGCAGCGCCCTTACTATTCACACCGTCAGCTCGCCATCCAATCCCCGTACCGCCGTCGGTGCAGAGTCGCCTTCGCAGAACTGCCGGGAGGTGAGGCACCCGTAATACGACCAAGGACAGTTGATTGTTGTGAGTGTAGCACCGACCATCATAGCAACTGGCGACGAACCAGCAGGACACCCTAGTCAAGCTCATCCAGCTCCATGCCCCTTTCCACCATCACTGGATTACCATCGTACTCGCGCTCGAACAACTCGGGATTCTCGTTCCGGACGTGTATACGCCAGGTGAAGAAATCCTTCCGAACGTTGTTCGCACCGTGGCAGAGCTCCTTGGCTCCGACCTTGCAGCTGGTCTTCCAGTTGGGCTCCTTCTTGACCTCCGCAGGCTTCCGCTTGTCCTCCTCCTTCGTGACCGCCTTCTGGTCGCCAGAGCGATTGACGAGCTCGTCCACGATGGCGCGGGCGAGCAGCTCCTCGTCGGAGTCGAATCCTCGGGCACGCCGCTCGTGGTAGGCCCCCCGTGACGTCTCTGCAGGGACAGTGAATGGAGGAGTCCCCTGCCGATGCGCAGCGGAGCCCTGCTTCTGGAAGCCCTCGTGGGCCTGGAGGCCAGGGTGGCGGTGTTCTGCCGTGCCGTGCTGAGCCTGCGGGTGCGTGCCGTGGGGTCGGGCATCGTACGAGTCGTGAGCGACGTGAATATGAGCACCCTCAGGGTGGTGAGCGTGCGGGGCCTGGCCGTCGGTGTGGTGGTGTGCAACGTGAGAGTGAGGAACATAGCCCTCTCTGTTGGTCGCGGCGGGAACCTGAGTTCTATGGCAGGAAAGATGTATTGAGATCTGACGTCTCGCCATTCAGGAAGTTGACACTCACCGAGCACCTTCGCCCAAAGGACGGGCGAGTGCAGGAGTCGTGATCGCGATGGTAAGTATTAAGGAGACAACGGTAGAAGTGCGCATCTCGACTTGGAGTTGGTTAGGTGGTGGTGTCGTTAGGAGATCGTGAGTCGATGGTCGTAAAGAATTATGGATCAAAATCAAGCAAGACTAGAATAGTGACTTCGGTGAGCTATCGCAATAGAGGTTCAAAAATTGAGAATACTGACCAACCAGTGTCTATACTCGAAGGTGAGCTGCGAAAGCGAAGTAAAGAGAGGAGGTGAGCTCAGGCTGAGGGTCCAAACGTTCAGTGTACCTTTTAAGTACGGAAAGCAACAGTGAACAGCCCCGCTTCCCTGACCCATCTGGTGATCCGTGGCCTCGGCTATCTATGGCTCTTGCGTGCAGACGAAGGCCGGCTTTGCGAAGACTCACCGACTTGTTTGACGCATTGCTGCATGTCGTTCTGTAATAAACGACCACTGGAACTGGGCTCAGCGCTCAGGTCTCACTGGAGACCTACATACTGTACTGTCAACAGCGACTCTGACGTGTACGCTCAATGTTCTCACTTTGGACATTCTGGATCTGCAATGCATACATATGCTGGTGTGCCACACGGGTTTCTGTGCCCATATTGACAAGTGGAGGTCAATGACAGGTCTATGGTTGATTGCCCGATGCGGCCGCGGCGTGTTGACCTGCCGCCGGCCCGCGGCTGCCCGCATCTCTTGCGCACTAGATTAAAATCACCATCTAAGTAAATATGTAGTAGTTTATTCTTACGTTATACGCCACTGGAATAGGCAAGTCGCGTCGGATGCAGGGAAGGGCGTCCGAACAATAACAGCGCGGACGTAAACATGGCTCGAGCCACGAAGACGCTGCGAGGCCTGTCCTTGCGTCTGTTCTCCATTTTAATCCCTTATAATTCTTCTTCGCCTGTCTCCCTGACCCGTCTGTCAGCGGCGCCCCGAACAATAGCTGGCGGCAGCTGCGCCTCCGAGTTTCAGGCCGCTCCTTTCCATGCCTTCGTCCAACCTACAGCTCCCGCACCTCGTTTCGTTTTGCGACGCCTTCGAGCTCAGGACGAACCGACATTGTCGCGCAGTCACAATCGCTTCCAAGAAGTGGGCCGCGCAGTGCCCGTATCTCGACCACGAAGAACGCCAGGCAGTCGCGGGGCTGCAGCCAGGCCTCCTCGCCTCGCTCTGTTACCCGACCTGCGATGTCGCACAGCTTCAGTTCATCACGGAAGTCCTGATCGTCGTGGTGCATTGGCTGGACAAGCCACATGCAGCCGGGGACGAGAGATTCATCGACCAGTACGTACTCCGGTCCGTCGTTCTCTGGTGCTGGACGTTTAGTCGCCGTCTACTGTGTGGGTATGGTCTGGTAGCGTGCTCTATCCGTGAACAGGACCATGTCTATCCGACGCATCCCGACTTGAGGCTGACAGTCCTCCGCTTCAAACCGTTCGATGTGGCGGGAAACCGGCGACCGTCTTGCTGTTCGTCCATCCGTGTTTAGGGATGATCCCGACACGCATGGCCCCTCTGCTGTTCTCCAAGGACAGGCGATACACGTCCATATCGTCAGGCCACACGTGAAGTGCGCATACAGGCGGGCCACGCCGGCTGTAGGGCCTTCGTCCTCTGCGCCACGCAGCCCACGCATTGACGTCCGCTGCGTTCGGTGTGCTCAGGCATTGACCCTGACCAGCTGGCGAGCCGTGGCGACGTGGTCCTGGTTGTCGCGTGCCTATGCCTGGAAGACTTCCGACGCAGTTTCGTGTGCTGCAGCTGCCAATGCGCATATTCTTTGCCAGTCGATGGTCGCGTTGCACAGTAGGCGGAAACTAGACGACCCGCATCATGGACAGATCTGCCTATCCTGAATAATTCATGCTGATGCCTCGCTGCGCAGAACCTGTACCAAAGTCTCGCGGGACTGGCTGAAGACGTGGCAGCCGCGCTTTCGGCGGCACCTGCAAGCCTTTCGTGACGCTCGGGTACTGGTACAAACGGACAACGAGCGTGCCGTCGTGCCTGACTTGGAGTCGTATGTTCCCCTCCGCCAGGAATCCTCGTGCGCCAAGATCCTCCTGGACATGATCGAGTACGCCGTGGGGTTGCACATCCCCGACACGGTCTACGCGGACCCCGTCCTCAAGCAGCTCCGGAAGAACGCGTGCGACATCATAGCCTGGTCCATCGTACGTCCCCGCCGCCCCGTCGTCACGTTCCCGTCGCTCACGCCCGCAGGACATCGCCTCCGTCGCGCGCAAGCAGGCGACGAGCGACAAGCACAACCTCGTCCTCGTGCTCATGGCGAGCGCCGTCTCACCTGCAGAGCGCCGTCCACGCCGCGGGCGCGCTCGTCAAGAAGACCGTCGGCGCGTTCCTCGAGAACGAGCGCCTCCTCGCGCAGGCGCACGCGTTCGGCCCGTGCGTCGACGCGGACGTGCGGCGGTACGTGCGCGGCGTGCGCGACTGCATCGTCGGCCTCACGCACTGGCTCTACGAGACGGACCGCTTCTTCGGCGAGGCGGGCGACGACGTGCGCGACCTCGGCTGGGTCTTCCTGCCGTCGCGGTAGCCGCATCCGGCATCCGCCGGCTGCGCAGCCGCTGTACAGTATGCTCTCGAGTTTACCGCTATCGTCGCTTCTCGCTTTTCATGCTCTCTCGTACACGCACGGACTCGTCTAGACTTACAGCGCCACTATCTCCATACCCAGACTCGGCAGGAGGACGGGCCCCTTCGTTCCACCGCCCGCTCCTTAATTCTTGAATAACCCCGCATTAATCACAGATCGCACCGTATGTACGTAGCACCCACGCCGCCTGATGGACCGGGCGAGGAATAGGATCCCCGATTATCGTAAGTGCTTGCGGACGACGCCCTGGCTCGCGGCGAGGCGCGCGAACCGGCCGTCTCGGCGTGCGAGGAGCTCATCGGGGGCGCCGTGCTCGACGAGCGCGCCGTCGTCCATGACGAGGATCAGATCGAAGTCGACTATGGTAGCTGGGGGCGGCCGGCGTCAGCGTGATGATGAGTCCCCATGATGCACGCTGGGCGGTGGGACCCACCGATACGATGCGCGACGGCTATGACAGTGCACTCGGAAAGTTCTGTCCGGATGACGGCGCGTATCTTCTCGTCCGTGCGGAGGTCCAGGCTGGGGCGCTGAATTCAGCGGCGGCGCTCGCGGTGACACCAGGGTCAGTGAAACGAAACGCCCACCTGCTGCTCGCTTCGTCGAGCACGACGATCTTCCTCCGGCGGAGGAGCACCCTGGACAGGCAGAGCAGCTGCAGCTGCGGGCGTAGCGGTAGTCAGCTGTGCTGAGGTATCGCTGGCGCGGTCGGGGTCCCACGCACCTGCCCCTTGGACAACGAGCCGCCGTCCTCGAGCACCGTGTCCAGCTTCTCCGGGAGCTCCGCCACCGCGTCGCCCATCCCGACTCGGTCGAGGGCGGCCCAGATGTCCGCGTCTTCGTGCGCTTCCTCTGGGTCGAGGTTCGAGCGGATCGACGCGTGCCAGACGAACGGGTCTTGGGCGACGAGACTGCGGAGCGATACGTGAGAGGTGCAATACGGATATGGTGAAGGGACACTAGGAGCGCACCTGAGGGCTTTGCGCAGGCGGGCGCGCGGCAGGGTGTGGATGTCAACGCCGTCGATGGTGACCTGGCCGGAGACGAGCGCGTCGTCGAGGCCTCGGAAGAGGGCGAGGATCATGCTGCTCTTTCCCGAGCTACATCATCGTATAATGCGTCAGTTACCGCCACGCCTCTCGCGAGAAATATCAGTAACGCACCCAGATCTCCCGCAGATGCCTATTTTCATCCCAGCAGATGCGCGGAACGATACGTCGGAGACGGCAGGTTGCAGGTCCGGTCTGAAAACAGGACTTGAAGTCAACACCCTCCATAGCAGGCGCGCATCGTCGGCCACTTACTGGTACCGCATACTGACGCCCTTGAACTCGACGCTGCCCGCGGACGGCCAATTCTCGTCAAAAGCAACGTAGGCAGCGGAATCTTCTTCGGGAGGCAGCGTCACGATCTCGTGTATCCTGGAAATGGAGACGGAGCCGTTCTCGACTTCGGCGAGACACTGCGCGGCTTCAGTGTATGTATGAGTCGGGCGGCGCGGTGACTGACCATCAATAAAGCCGAAAGCCAATTCGAAAGGCCCGTGAGGTTGGAGAGCGCCAAACCCAGCCTAGAAATACATGAGATGCAGCCATGCGGATATGCCCAGGCGAGACGTACGAGGAGGGGTTGATCGTCCGACGGAGACCAATTGTCAGTGCAGCGAGACTGACGGCGATGGCGAACGAGATGAACGCCAGCACGGTTCGACTGTGAAATGCGACATGAGGCGCATGAAGGCTGACATGGCTGGCTGGCTGACTTACAGGAACCTTATGCCTCCGAAACGATAGTAGTATGGCGTCTAGAAACCAATTGTGAATAATGATATTGGTCTCGGGGGCTGTCGACTTACCTGGCTTCGATTGAGATACACATCGTTTTGTTTTTGGAGATGCCCTTCGACGCGGAGAGCCCTGTTTGACGTGGGTGAGGGTCCGCAGTTACGATAAGATGCGGGACATACCGAATCGTTTCAATGCCGCTTAGGGTTGTAGCAAAGACAGAGTACAAGGGCGATTTGCTGGAAGCCTCGAGGTGTTGAAGCTGCTTCGATGTGCGCTACGACAGAAAAACCAGACGTTGGAGTTGGTCCGCCTTGACCACGGATTTAGCTTACCAGGTAGAAGGTCGTTGTCAGATAGTAGAATGCTCCGAGAGGGATTACAGACAGAGTGAGCAACGGGGTCTAACGCCGACGTTGAGTGAGTGCGGTTTGAGAAGGTCAGATATGGATCACGTACGGGAATAAATATGAATATTAAGGTTCCAACTAGTAGACGCAAAAGGATCAGTACGCGGTCACGACAGCTATGGCGGCAACACACTCAACAGCAATACGATCGCTAGAGCATCAAGGAGATTCACAGGCCACTCAAAGTCGATCAGGAAGATATCCTATGCAGATCTGTTCAAGGTGGGCCTTAGATGGCAGCGAGCGTTTGCCACGCACCTGAGAAAATCGGTTGATGATCCTGCCGGCAGGTGTGGACATGAAGAAGGAAGGCGCGGCATGAACCAAGCCTTTCAGTTCCTCCGCGTGCACCGCTAAACCGCCACGACTGGAATGCAGAGGTTAAATCAAGACGCGCAGTCGGTAGATAGTCTTCGACACGCACTATGCCACGAGCACCGAAAATTGCCAAAACGTGAACGCGCTATTGAGGATTGTCAGTTGCTTGTCCTTACGGATGATAACAACGATGGTAATGCCTACAGGCCAATGAGCGTTAAGATTGAGAACCCTGCATAACCACCAGCCCAAGCTCCAGGACGTGCGCCATTGCTGTCCGCCCATTGCTGGAGATACACCTTTCGAAATATGGGTCAGTTTCGAGACCTGAAGATCATACGCAGAATCGCTACCTGTAGCCCAAGTCTCATACAAGTATATAGTGCAATCCCGGACTAAACATCTGATCAGTATCAATACCTCAAGTAAGAAGTCAAATGGCAGACCATGGCGATGATGAAATTCAGTCGCCCGATCATACGAATGTAAAATCGGTACGGAGAGAGCCCCAAAGACTCCTTTTTGAGAGCTGCTTCCCCGATTTCCTCCTCACGAGCGTCCTCTGCAGATGGGTCTGCAGCCGGCTGGGGCAACTGCGCTGTCTGCACCTCGTACCGTGGCGATCTCAACTAATGCTTCGTAGCCTTGCTTGATGAAATCTTGTAAGGAGCCCTGATGCTGGATGCGACCCGCGCCGAGGACAACGGTGCTATGTGCAGCATGCATGTGCTTGACTGAAAAAAAGGTTTGTCAGTGCTGAAAACCGACGATGTGAGATCGATTTAACAACTGACCGCTATGCGTGACTAACACAACAGCTTTATGCACCAACATGCCGTCAGGACCGAAGAGAGAGCTAAAGACTGGTGCAGGATGAGTAACTTGGCTGAACAGCTCCGCCCATACTTACTGTGCGATTCGCTCTCTGCGTCCAAAGCGCTCAGTGGATCGTCCAAGAGCGTCCAAGGAGCGTCGGCATAGACAGCCCGCGCGAGTGCCTGTGAGCTCATTAGTAAGTTATACTGATCCACAGTCGTTGGTAGGTACATACAATACGCTGTTTCTGGCCTCCGCTGAGCCTACGCCCTCTTTCACCCAACCATGTACCGTCTCCCGCTGGCATCTTGCGTACGTCCGCAGTGAGAGCGCAGGCATCGATTACTCGAGAGTAGCGTTCAGCTTGGAAGGCCCGCCCGAACAGGATATTTTCTCGAATGGTCCCAGGTATAATCAGAGCGTCCTGCGACGCATACGCAAAGCGTGTCGAAGGCTTGCTATACTGTCCAGCCGTGCATGTGGTTTCGCCGAGAATTGACAGAAGTAGCAGAGACTTGCCCTATCACGACCAATAGTAGAAAGATATCAGTACTAATCAAGTGGACATGCATCGCGGAACGTGCATACCGACGCAACAGGTCCAACACACATGTAAAGCCTCGGTTCGTCGCACCGGAGCGTGATGTCCTTCAAGAATGGCTCACCGTCAGGCGCCCAGCGAAAGAGGCCTGGGTCATAGTGATCGCCGGGGGTGTGCAAGTCTCCAACTCGACGCCATCGGTGGCCTCGTACAGATTTTCAAACTTCTCATTGCTTCCGAGCTGATCACCTGGACACTCATCCAGGAGCAAGAACGTCTGTATCCGCTTGAGAGACGCCCAAGATGCTGCGAGGATGGGGAAATGCTGGCCTGCACAAGACGCTTAGCCTCGGCGCAAAATCACTACATGTTAATGAGAACTAACCTAAGAAGCTGAGTGGCTGCGAGACAAGGTTCAGCGTCGTAACGATTGTGAAGAGACGGTTGACGTCGAGAGGCGCCCTGCCATTACGCGCAGCAAGGAGAACGTACGGGCCGAGCACAGACAGAATGCAGAGCGTTCCAGCTGTGTTGGCCAGTGCAGCCGAGAGAGCGATACCATTGCTGATCGGTCGCGTGAGCTAGGCACCATACAAACAGAGGCGAACAGAGGCGATATAGAGGCACTCACTAAAATTTACGAGCTTCGTCCATCTCCTCCTGTCGCAGCCTTCCAGCTTTTGCGGCGAGGACCTCTTCGTAGCAGGACCACTTGATAGACAGGGAGTTGCTGATCATCGAAGATATAAACTTGACACGTCGATCGGTAGCAGCAAGCCACGCAGACTGTTGTCGGCCAACATATCGCCCGACAAATGACGTGGCTATCAACAGCAGAGCTGTAACGGCTATCGGCAAGAATGCAGGCCAGGTGGCCTATAATAATCAAGAAGTGAGCATGAGAGTAGAGGAACATGACGATGAAACCTACTTGATGGTATACGATAGCAATCGTCATTCCGACGGAAGCTAGACAAGCCCAGATCTCATGAAAGCTTTGAGCTCCTTCGCAGACCCGCTCGACGTCGACAGACCTGAAAGAAAATGTTACTATGACAGTGTCTGTGGAAGTAGCTTCGCTTGCTACTGACATATAGGTGCTCGCCACACCACCCCCAAGGGATCGGCTTGCGGCAGAGGAAAGTTTGAGGCTCTTCGAGTAGATGACACCGACAAGGGCGCCCCTCAGTCCCACAGTCGCATCGTACACCTGCCATCGACCATCAATGAGGATGCAGATATACGGACTGAGGTTCGTACAGACCTTTTCCCAGTACAAAGAAGTGGTGATCGCAATCAGAGCGTACACACAGACGAACGCTCCAACGAGTGCCCAGCCCTGAGTGTCTGAATTTTCGGAGGTGACGAAGCTGATCGTTCGATTGACGAGCAATGGTTGAGCGAACGTCACGAGAAGTAAAGCTAGACGTGGACCCGCGGGAGCGAGGAATTTCATCGCAAATGCCTTTACTGTAGCTCGGACCAAGTAATTGCTCCGCTGCCTATCATATACATGTTAATAACGCTCCCCACAAGGAAGTCGGGATGACACAACTCACCCTGTCGTTGAGAGAGCATTCTGCAAAGCTGAGCGTGTACTGAGCGCCGACAGGCCATCCGGAATCATGCCACAATCGTCGATGGTGAGGACCTTCTTACGACCGTTCCACAAGAGTGGGAACAGCCAGAAGTACAACGAACGAGAGAAAAAGCTCGATGTCGATACAGGAGCCAGGACCTGCTCGGAGAATGTCAATGTCTATATAGGCCTTCCAAACCCAGCATTGTCTGACCTTGTGACGGAGCAGCCTTCGCTTCTCCACTAGCTCTGCACAGAGGACCAGCATGTACGACGCGGTTACCAAGGTCAATGCCACAGCGCCAGAACGCGCGGTGCTGAACAAACCAATCTTCAGATAACTGCGTAGTAACACAGAGCAGAAGAGACTCTTGAGAAGCGTGTAGCATATGATCAACATGCTTGGTGCGGGCGACCGGAAGTGTTCGACAAGAACTAGGAAAGCCAATGGAATCTGATGCCGTGAGCTCCAGTGATACCGTGACGTCTCGTAGTGCGAATGCACACTTACAGACGAAACCAGTTGAAGTGCCGGGGAAGCTACCCAGATTGGTATCAAGTCTTGCTCCTTCAATCGAAGAGCGAAGAACAGGTTCGCAGCGGTACTAGCTGTGGTCAAGAGCACAGAAATAAGCTTTGCGAGTACGAGCGGCCATCCTGGAGTACCCAGAAGGCTTTTCGTCCTGGCACATGCGGCAAGTCGTAATGCAGCGAATGCGACGAAAATGACGTCAGGCGTAAATGACAGGATCCTATGGAGCCAGCCCGTGATTCTCAGTTTCTGTACAGGATAAGACACTGGCGAGTACTAACATTTGTTCAAATTGCAGGGTGAAGTCGAGATCTCTGCATGTCGATGCAGGACCAAAGGAAGTGTCTTGCGGACAAGCGAGCATGATCGCCCCGAGCTTGTCAAGACCCACCGGTGCAGATATGATACTACGGAACAAGCGAGGGGGAAGGTCTGGACTGAAGGCAGTAGTAGCTCCCGCTGGTGCGGAGGTTGACGCTTGGGTTGGTGTTGCTGGTCTCCCTACTTATATTGTGGGCACAGCGACTGCGGCAGCGTTATTCTCCTCCTCCTCATGTCATGAGCAGGCCTAGGGGTTGAATTTCGAGTCAACGAGTTATGTGTAGACTGCGCCGCGGCTTATCGGACCTTGGCGCGATACTGCGCAATAGAGTGGTCCTGTATGCGCCATTCGGAATTGCGCCTACAGTGAATCTGAAACCCATCGCACATGCTGTAGGTTTCCTGTATAAGTTGGCTGCATCGATTACTTCGTTCATAACAACTGTAGGCCAAGACAACTTGAACGGGCTGGTCAACTCTGCAAATAAATATGCAGTCAGATGCCATCTTGCAAACTGCTACTTAAACGAATGATCAGTACATGGCTTTCTGCAGCTGGATCCAAAGGTCACTCAACTCGCTTGAAGGTAGAATTGACTGTTGTTGTATTGTCAGAAGCCCTCACCCGGATAGTGTTCCCCGTCGCTCGTCATGCGGCCGGCGTCACTGGCAGGCCACGGCGGCACGGTCATATACAATGATTTAATTTACTGTCAGTATACTAATCAAGTGTCAGTACGCCGCTCAGTATGATACTTACCTACTTACTAATTACATACTTAAACACTGAGTAACCTAAGGATGTAACTCAGTATATTAATTTATATAAGTCCGGTATGTTCCATCGCAAACACAGGCAAGCAAGTACAGTCACAAAGCAGCCACAGCAGACGGCTTTGTGGCGCTCAGTAACGGCAGTGATCGTCTCAATTCAATTTGGCATGACTCTCATTTATGTAACGAATTCGGATGGCTGCACCCTGGCTGCACGGGCGCAATCATGGAGGAGTGTCCAGCTGTGCGTTGCATCTTTCCAGTCTCGGTGCTGAGTTTATTGACTGACTACGTTTCTGTAGGACGCTGCTGGTGCTGCAAGACGCAGGTATAGCGAAGCAGGCAGGACGCCGCCACGTAATTTGGATTGAACCCAGCGAAGCTTTCGTCTGTGGTCTCGCATCGATTCGACGACACGCAATCTAGCGACTATAGCCGCCTGCGTATTCGGAAGCTTAACCCTGGTGCGAGTTGCCGACGCATTGATCGCCCATCCCGAGGACATTGCTAACATCCTAAAGGCACGTTTATGGCCTGCCGATGAGGTCTCCACATAGATGTGTGAGTCCTCACACACTCGACTGGGAACCTGCTGGGTTCAGTGGAGTCGAACGCACAACGTATGAGAAGCTGTCGGGGCATCCCTTCTCACGCCAGGTGCGGCGCATTTCCAACGACCTAACAGGGCCATGTAACGTACTTCTTGGGACGTACAGCGGTACGAAGGCAGCAATACGAACTCGCGGCAACAGTGGCAACGCGTGGCGGGCGACAACGTTGATGATGTGAATCCGCGCTCCGTCGTTGGGCGACGCATTCGGGTCATTGCACCGGATTCTCATCAATGAACAGAACATGGTAGGATGGAGAAGCAACTGCTGGCACAGGCTTCTCCTGGCATGCGTGCCTTTCATTCTCTTAGCGTCGCATCGGTGGGAGAATTTCAGCGCTTTCCCTCACCCTGTTAAAAGACGAGTGCAACTTGAACCTACGCAAGGACCCTCTTCTCGTCTTGACACTCGACCCTAGGCATAGGCATTGGTACGTGTACTCCTCTTGAGCTGTGTATACACGCAACAGTCACTCAATGGGCTGACTGACCAGCGAGCGAATCCCTAACTCTGAACGAAGGTGAATGTCCTCCGGAGGCGCTCCAGAGGGCCACGAGCTGATGATCACCTACAGCTTGGACATATCGAATCTCGCGCTGGGCTCATTCAGCGCATTGACACTACACCGTGAGTGACTGTTGGCGACAGAGGTGCGAGAGCTAATGGAGACATACATATATCGCAGCTTGCAATCATGTTAGCATTGATAGGTCCGACATTCCCAGCTTCCCCGCTTCACGCGTGGCAGCGTTTTCAGCCTCGCGAATACGATCAGCTGCCAACATCCGTGCATCTTGCTGATGGGGAACGACGCGAAGAGCAGCATGCGCAGCAATCGCTTCTGACAGAAGGATACGCCCCTGTTGACAACATCCCGACAGAGCTGCTGGTCCACGTGTTCCTCCTCGTCCGCGATTCTACTACGACGCTCTCCTGGATCAGCCTCACGCACGTCTGTCGACACTGGCGAAACGTCGCGCTAGGGACTCCTCTGCTGTGGGCATCTATCCCAGTGGGAAGAAGGCCTTCCTTCTTGCGCGCCTGTCTCGCGCGCTCGAGCGATGTTCTGGTCGATGTTATCTTTCGCCATTCACTCAGTCACATCGACCGCCTGCTTGGCGATCTACGTTCACACGCAGGTCGCGTACGAATGCTGAAAGTCCTTCTACTTTCCAATGACGCAGCAGAGCAACTGCTTCAGGACGTCGTTGCTCCGGCGCTTCGACTCGAGGACCTCTCTTTCCAGAGACAGACCCCATCCCTTAACTCCACCATCCCTCCGCTCGCACTCCCTGACCGTGACTGGTCTAGTCTTCGGAGACTGCAACTCAAAGGTATCGCTCTACCCAAGCACGCGTCGCCCTTGATGAGCCTCACCTCTTTGGTCTTGTCCAACGTAATTGCCGGAGCGCGCGTAGCACTGGAAGAACTGCTGGACAAGTTGGGCAATTGTCCACGCCTCGAGCATCTCTCAATATCTGACAGTTGCCCGTCCGCACTGAAGGGCGACGACAACAAGGGTTCCACAAGGACACATACGATTCCCCTACAAACGCTTCAGACGCTGAAGCTGTCGATGCATGCTTCTGTCGCGTCCGAGATACTCGCATCCATTTCTGTGCCCGCCCACACAGTCACCGATATCAAATGTGTCTTGGATCCGCGCCAACATCCATAACCTCATCTCTTCCATCCTCCTCCGACAGCCATCCGACTCCGCGAACATCGCCCAAGCGCGCACCCTCTACCTCTTCGTCGCCTCCAATATATTCCGAGTGCGCGTGTCCGATGCAAGTGGCCCAGCGAGCACCAAGCTTCTCGACATGGACATAGAATGCAATCCCCCGATGGACATGTCCTACCTCCTCCCCGACGCCCTCCGCGATCTCACGGACATATTCTCTTCTTCACCAGTCACCGACTTGCAAGTCTTCGGCGACCAGCGGCTCATCGACCAGGACGATTGGCGGGTTTCCCTCACCCGATTACCTGCGCTGGAGATGCTGGAGGTTGGGTCTCGAGGTCACGTAGACTCGTTATTCCAAGCTCTGAGTTGCTCCGACGTCACTATCTCATCGCCGATATGTCCTCTTCTAAAGAAGATATGCGTAGGAGGAGCAGACATCGACGAGGAAGCAGCATACATCATGCTGACGTGCCTGGATGATCGTGCAGCGCACGATATGCGCCTTGACGTTCTGGCTATGAAGAAGCGCACTGAACGGGCACCACTTAGCGCCTGCACTGTGCAGTCGATATTGACGACGGTTGGTGTTTTCGATTACAGGTGACACCCGTCCACTCAGTTCCCTCTATCCGCTGCTGCACTCCGATTCGAATGATCGTATCGCAATGTACATACTATCTATTCAATACCTTGTAGCTTAGTCGGTCATACAAATGCTACGTGAGCGAGTTGTATGTTAAACAGCCATCGATACAAGTTGTAAGTGGTCTAGTACTCTTCGCTTGGGTGTATGACTCGGCAGGAGGGACCGGGGATATTTCCATTGGTAAACCAGCCTCTATCCACGCAGTGTAACCGCCGATGATGTCCGTCGCATGCAGCATTCCCAGGTCATGCAGCGATATCGCGGCAAAGGATGATGAGTCGCCTTCGTGGTCGAATATGATGATTCGGAGGTCATAACGGTTGGCGATGGGGAGCCGTTGAGGGGACTGCAGATCGAGGCGCCACTCGAGCAGGCCACGCTCGATGATCATGGATCCATTGATGCCTCCTTCTTGCGCGCGCTGTCTCTCCGGGCGGATGTCGACGAGGACGACGGGCCAAGGGCGGTGCGCACTATGAAGGTCTTCATACGCTTGCTGCGGCGTCAGCCTCTCAAGGCGCGCGCGAGCCTGCGACAAGAGCTGTTGGACACTACGAGACCCAGGCGGCGGCACGAGAGGGTCCATCGGATCGCGAACGGCCTTGCGAATAGAGTCCCACAGTGCCAACTCATCGTAGGATGTAGCACCCAGGTTGCGCACGGAGCCGACCCATAGCCCTTGGGCTGCTGAGGAGCCTTCCATGATGCGTCCCAGGAACTTCGAGCTGCTGAGTATCCCGGCTCTGCGAACTAGCTCATCCGTAGTACCGCAGAACAAGAGCGGGCTGCGCTCTTCCGGGGACGCGCTCGGACATCCTACGGCAAAGAGGAAGTTCTGCCTGAAAAGGACGCGGCTGATGGACGATGCGATGAGAACCAGGAAGTGCTCCTCCGCAGAGCGCGAGAGAGTGAAGACAACGCCGACCGTCGCGCCATCCACTTTTTCAGCCTGCCGAACCGCTCTGACAGCCATGCTATCAGCAGTTCGCTGCCGCACGTCCTGAAGCGTGCGCATCGGGGGGTTGATTATGACCTCGGAAGATGCGACGCTCGCCGTGCGTCGGCCAGATGCGCTTCCAGTATCAGTGCCAGTGGTGAGCGGCGCTTCCACATGTCCGTCTGCTGGGACAACCTCCCCGTAGCTAGTACTTGAGGAATACGACGCGGGGTAGTCATGGATGCTTGACATTAGAAGTTCTTCACGATGGTCAGTCGATGTGGATAACTAGTATCGGCGGCTCAGCAGTCCTACCTCCTCTAGATCTGAGTCCGACACCAGTAGATGGTGAGGTCTCTGGGCGCTGCTAGTCAATGTCAATGTCGTCGTGTGTGTTGTAGGGACTAGATGGAGAGACTTGACAATGCGTTCCGATCCTCGAGTACGGTACTAGGTCAGCTTGAGGGCGCACGCCGCGGCCGCGTCGGGCAATTGCAGTGATCACATCGGAACTCCACGCCTCAAAATGGGCGCAGAAGTCCAGACGCTCCTCCTCGTGGCACACCAGCACATGCATCTTCACATTCAATGGGATTGAAGATAGATCAATGCAGATCTAGCTTGAACTAGGATGTCGAAAGTGAGAACATAAGCGTACGCGTCAGAGTCGCTGTTGACATTGGCGCGCATCATTAACGTTTGGAATTTGGACGCCAACGTAGCCCTGTCCGCATTGCGAAGACCATGTAGGCCATTCACACCTTTCATTACGACGTCGACGGTGGTACACTGATAAAGTAGCCGTGCACCAGGTAATAAGAAAAGAGTAGCGCAACTGATCATGAACGCAGAAACGGGCTCATGTATGTGTAGATATCACTGCAGGTCGATACTTGCGGACTCTGATGCTCTCAACAGCCCTAGTCTCTGCTCAATGCCATGGCCCGTCGCAGCCGAAACACCATCACGAGTGTCCATCCCAGCAACGCGATCTTCAGTGAGACCAGGTAGTGGCTCCACCTTGCGATCACTGTTCCCGGGGACGTTCGCGAGATCCCTCTGGCTGAGGCCACGAGAGACAATTTCGCCCACCTTGTCGAGCGCTGACTGTCGACTGATGAGCATTTCCGCGTAGACCCTCTGATCGAGAGCCGGGCTTGCAGGGAAGTCTAGGACGTGCTGGGGATGGTAGAGAGCGACCACTTTAGGGGACGACGGCATGGGAGGACTCATCGGGACAGCGTGGTACTTCTTGAGCTTCCCGCGGTATGGGAGGAGGCGCTGGTCGACGGGAATGGAAGCGTGTCTGGCTCCCTCTTCGTGTGCAGTTTGTTAACACGCCTTTCCGGAGTCGATGCTGGCCATCTAGCCGTGCTGTGATGCTCCTTGGGCACATGCAGGTCTAGGGATGGCGGCGACCCGAAGTCGCTGAAGAATAGCTTCGAGTGCAGCGGCGGCGACATCACTTGCGGAGGGCTGGACGGCAGGATGGACGAGTCGACCCTACTCAAGGCAGGCGCGACTGAAGGATACTCATCTGTGCGTGGGAGACTAGGCGTGGCAGCGACAGGGCCCGCTCTCTTCGTCGGGCTCCTTCTCACAGGTAGGGCAGTGTAAGAGTCCTCGGTGCGAATCGACGGCGAGGGTGACCAGGAGGCGATCCATTTCCAGGCAGGGTTCTCGTGCGCAGGCGTGCCGACTTCGGACGCCTCCTCGAGGCGGTTTGTGTCCAACAGGCGACCGTGTTCAGCGAAGCGCAGATCGGCTCCGTGTCCTCTTCGATGAGCCTGAATCCAGGTGGCGAGAGGACGGGCGCACGACCGGCGACCTCGTGCATCACGGAGTCAGTCCTGTTCAAGTTGTCCGAAGAGCTTTCTTGCTGTAAATCCTCAACGTTCAAGTCCGAATCATTTCGCCTGTGTCCCCTTCGTGTGCTGACACGGCGCACAGGCGAGTTCTGCACGCGACCGCTTTCGACGTCAGAATGTCCTCCGTCTTGACTTTAGCGGGCCGACGTAGAGTTCCGAACTTCAGCCGTTCGATGATCGCGCGCCTGATAGATTTCTGTCGCAGCGTTTCGTAAGGGACGTCGTCGGAACCGGGGCTGAGCAGTTCAGGCGAGGCAACTCTAGCATCCAAACGCGTCCCTGAGCGTTGACGTTCATGGCTGTCCACGAGCATAGCCCCTGAGTCCTCGATATGGTCATCATCGACCGCAGAGTATGCATTGTTCATCGGCGTGTTGGGAACGCGTGCAGAGCGTTGACGTCCAACAGCAGTGACCGGGGTGATCGGGGCGGACCCTGGCATAGCCTGAGACTGGCGGCTCGAGCGGGAGAAAGCGCGCGCGACCCAGCCGCCTTTCTTGGAATCCGTGCGTCCGTGCAAAAGGTTTGAGCTCTCGTTGGCGGTAGACTCAGAATTGCTACTGCCTTGCGGCACACCCTCGGACAACCCGGGAGGAGCGTACCGCGGACCAGTGTGCAAGCCCGACGACCCAAGCCCTTCCTTGTCACGGCGCCGTGCTTGCCAGCGGAGCAAGGACCATGTGAACAGAGCACCAGCTATGGCCGCTAGTACAGCAAACAGGGGAGCCAGATACGCTATGTCGAACCCCGAGTGCGTGTAAACAGAGGATTTCTGCGAAGATGTGCCGTTCGAAGGTGGGAGCGCCGTGATCCTGATTGTCGAAACTGATGAGGTGGTCGAGGTTGCACTTGTCGCAACAGGATGAACAGCAGATGACAAGGAAGAACCAGTTGCGGAGATGGTGACCAGAGATGGAGCCAGGGTTGTCGCAGATGAACTTGGCGCGGTCGATACAGGAGGTGGTACTGTAGTCGCGCCCCATGCTGGGTAAGGCCACCAGTAGTCGTAGCTGGTTGTAGACGCCATGGTTGACGCGTACCTCAACCCTTGGCTCAGGACACCTGCAGAACGTAAGGTGGGATGTGGGTGCATCTGTAGCTGGGGCACATTGATATCTCGGCTGACATTGCGAACTGGGCCGTTGCACAATCGCGCGGCTGACGAACGCCTTCACGCAACATATTCGACCTGTTACTCTTGTAGAGTCCTCTCCCGTATAACACTACAGCGTGAGTATATTTTACAGAGGTGCTGTAAGTACTTGCCATTCTGGTTGTTGGTAGGGGCAATAGTTGGACAGTGCAAGGCAGCACAGATGGCGTCGGTGTCGACGTTGTGTCGACGTACTGGTTCGGACAAGAACCGGTTTGGAACCGGTGGTGTGGCGTGGGACCGACGACTCACAGCCTGATCAGGAAATCTGTGAAGTCGGATGAGGGACATCACCTCCGCTGAATGTTCGTTTGAATCAGATCGAACCAACTTGTTATGATGCCTCAAAGGTGGCTCGGACAACTCGTCAATGCCACATGTGATGGTCAACAGTAGAAAGTGTCAAATCAAATGGCCTGAGCCTGTGCGGCTTCGACAACATGTCGACCGTAGTGCACTTGCTGTGGGCTTTCATCTTGATCCCAACCTCCCGGACCACTCGGCTCCAGGAGCCGCCACGACGAAACTCGGAGTCCAATGTCACAGTTATACGAGACGTTTGCCCGGTTGCAACCACATGACACGGTGAGTTTCATAGATGTGGCTGATTATATGACCTCTGAAATTTGAACGGTCAGTTTTGGCAGTGGACGTTTATGACAGACCCTGACAGACCCACGCGGCAATGGTAGATGATGTGTCAAACAAATATGTGAGCCTCCGTCTGTACGCATGGCCTTCTGAATAAACCGTCAGTCGCTGCTACGTCACAAGCCGTATCCAGGAGATGGCACATAATGGATAGTGAGTCAAGTCCAGAGTCGGACCGAGGAAACAGGTTGACTCCCTGATGCCGACGTTGGGCGCGCGCTCGTCAGCCTGCGACTCGGTACTAATCTACGTGCAGTGCGTTCTCACTAGTGTGCGCTATTGCCCTTCTATCATGCTTTTCCGACTAAAAATAGACTCATCTCTCCGTACACCGGAGCGTCGGTGTCCTCCTAGCGTCTCATGCCATCTTTGCTTCAGGAACTCTATGTGTAGGCTGTGCTCAAATGACATATCCCACCGGTCATGACGGAGAAGCTATCATGATGGATGCCATTGTGTGCGACGTTGTCAGAGATTCCTATTGGCGCTCGCTTTGAGTGTACATAAAGCTGGGCATTAGGCCATGAACCCTCAGCCTGAGCTCACCTCCTCTCTTTACTTCGCTTTCTTAGCTCACCTCCGAGTACAGACACTGGTTGGTCAGTATTCTCGATCTTTGAACCTCTGTTGCGATAGCTCACCGAAATCGCTATTCCAGTCTTGCTTGATTTTAATCTATAATTCTTTACGACCATCGACTCACGATCTTCTAACGACACCACCACCTAACCAACCTCTAGTCAAGATGCGCACTTCTACCGTCCTCTCTTTGATCCTTGCCACCGCGGTCGCGACTCCTGCCCTCGCCCGTCCTTTGGGCGAAGAAGGTGTTCAGTGAGTATTCTCTTTGAACCTGAATGGCGAGACGTCAGATCTTAATACATCTTTCCCCATAGATCTCAGGCTCCCGTCACGACCAACAGAGAGGGCTATGTTCCGCACCCTCACGTCCCCCACCACCCTACTGAAGGTCAGGCCCACCACCCCACTGAAGGCCAGGCCCACCGCCACCCCAGTGGCCCGGCCCACCGCCACATCGACGGCCGGCTCACCACCACACCGGCGGCCAGGCCCCGCACATTCCTCAGGCTGGTCGCGTCCACTTGGGCCACCCTGAGGTCGCTCATACCCACGTCGCTCACGCACGTGCCGTCGATTCCAACGATGCTCAACCCCACGGCATGCACCCGCACGTTCACCAGGGCGCGCCGGACCACCGCCGCATTGGCCTCCAAACCCACAAGGGATTCCGGACGCAGGGCCCTGCCAACCACTGGCACGCTGCGCGTCCGCAGGAGATGACTCCGTCTACTGCTCCTGCACAGACGTCACGGGTGGGCAAGAGCAGCGGCCACCACGCCGATCACGAGTTGCTCGCCCGAGGATTCGACTCAGACGAGGAGCTGCTCGCCCGCGCCATTGGGGACGAGCTCGTCGCTCGCAAGGTCAACTGGAAGAAAGTCGGCAGCACTGCCGCCACCGTTGCCGGAGATGTTGGCAAGTTCTTGCTGCACTGCGCCGGAGCGAGGATCCCGATTGTTCGCCCGCGACTTCGACGAGGCTACTTTCCCAACGGTGTTGGAAAATTCATGCAGCGCCTGCCCCGGAGCGAGGACCCCGAATTGTTCTCCCGCGAGTTCGACGAAGAGCTGTTTGCCCGCGCGCTTAACGACGAGCTCGTCGCTCGCAAGGTGAATTGGAAAAGGTCGGCAGTACTGCGGCTACCGTCGCCGGCGATGTTGGCAAATTCCTGCTGCACCTGCGCCGGAGCGAGGACCCCGAATTGTTCTCCCGCGAGTTCGACGAAGAGCTGTTCGCCCGTGCGCTGAACGACGAGCTCGTCGCCCGCAAAGTCAACTGGAAGAAGGTCGGCAGCACTGCCGCCACAGTTGCCGGCGACGTCGGCAAACTGTTCTTCCATCTGCGCCGGGACGAAGACCCTGAGTTGTTCGAGCGTGGATATGATGATTATTCAATGATGATGGAGAGGGGCATGGAGTTGGATGAGCTTGATTAGGGTATCTCGCTGTTCCATCGTCGAGAGAGGGAGTAGGCGTTAGACTCACAGCAATCAATTGTCATTGGTCGTAGTACTGAGCTGAAGGCTGCCACTGTGAGACAAGACTCTTAGACGTTGAGGCTGTTCATCATTATGCAAGCTACGCCATAATAATGAGCCGGCAGTACGGCATGTGTAGAGCAAGTCAAGGAATGACAACACGGGCGACTATGTGATGTGAAGTTAACGCGCACCAATATGGCCTACGTTCAAGTTGTCGTCTTCTCCGGACTCTGCTGACCCCAATCCGACGGCATCTCGCCCTTCAGATTTTCGAAGAACTCCCTCGTCATACCTGCCTTCTCTCTATCCTCGACATTGAACGGACCCTTGACCTCGCCCCGCCAGCAGCGCTTACCTCGTCCCGGAACGTCTGTACCGGATCAACGCCCTGCTTTGCACATATCCACGTGAACCACCGGTGGCCGTCGTGACATGTGTCACCTCGTCCCGGTGGACTATGTTTAGCACGTCGACGCTGTCTGAGTCGCCCGCACGGCGGAACTTCTCAATTGTCCCGGGGTTGACGTCGAGTCCGCGTGCCTCGTGTACTAGGTGGATGATGGCAAGCCGCGCGCGCAGAGAATTGGATGTGACACGAGCCGATTCCCACAGGGAGGCGTGTACGGGTAGTGAGCCGTACGGTGTAGTGGGAGAGAGGGCGGCGAGACGGGATGTCAAAAGGGAGAAGTGCTTTGATTCGTCGAGCGCCATTTTGGCGAAGTCGGAGAAGAACGCAGGCGGTAGATCGGGATGTTCTGGCCCATATCTGGCCATAATGTCCCAGCTTCGCGACGAAAACGTCAGAGATGGCTTGAAGACATGACTCGTGTACTTACGCAAGATCGATGCTGACGAGGTAAGGTCATTAGTGTTCTTGGAGGTAATGTGGCGGTACGTCAGAGCACTCACGCCCACTGTTCAATATTTGCAAGTGCATGTAGCATCACTGCCCGGTTCTTGCGTTTGCCTACCTTGCCTGGATCAACTGTATTGCGTGCAAAGGCGTCCTCTCGTGGCGGAATGTCTGGCGGTCTGGGCGCACTGGATGACCGGTGGCCGATGGTCTTCAGTTGGCCAGTACGGAAGAGGTGTACAGCGTGCCGAGTGCGCTCGACCTACGACGTCATGAGTACGAGGCTTTTACGTAGTGAGTGCGACAACATCGATCATACCTTGAGCTTCGGGTTCGGCGTGTTCAGGATGAGAACCGCCCATTGCATCAGCGTGGACGGGGCACCTTCACCCGGCACTACGCTGTCTTCGATCACCGGACTGTTGTCCGATATAGTCATGTGTGAAATATCCGGTGGCGGAGGCGGATCCGCAAATTCTGTGTTGCAAGCACTTAGTTGAAGATATGTTCACACAAAAAGAGTACTACCTTCTGAGACGGGCCTCAGCTCAACGAGCCGCCACTTTGTACCATTTTCAGGAGTTTCGACCCAAACGGCCTCGTCCCCGCTGTCGTCTCGGCGCACATTGACTGCGTAGGTGCACGCCTTCAGGCCTGTCTCGCTGGCGCCGGTGCGAAGATCGAAATCGTATCTGACGTCGTGTGAACTGTGCACCAATCTCAACCACTTCATTTGATGAATTATTACCTATGCCACGGGCAAACAGCGACTAGTCCGGTATCGCACTCCTCTATCTCCGCGTGTGACATGTCTGCGCCGAGGTGAGGGCATGTCGCCTCCATGGCGTAGATCTGCTGTTTGCAGTCGATTGCTTTCGGTTGTGCAATTTCATTTTCCTGAGCAGAGTTGTCGGAAAGTCGGAATAGTATCAATGAATGGTATTCTCCTTCGGCGGAACGGAGATTGAGGAAAAATCTTGAGTGCGATAGGAGTTGGTCTAGGGAAGACACCCTTCAATCGTCGTTCAATCAGGAAGTCTGAGTTGATGGGCATACGACGTACAGAATTTCTTTGTCGGACTCGGATCGCATGCTGCGAGTTTATCACCACGCTAAGGATAAACTGAGGATGGGTTTTCAGTATCCTGCCCTGACTTCGTATATCTGTCGGGGAATCACTTAGTTACAGAACTGTTCACGATAAATGTACTTGATTCACCTCAATAATTCTCAGGGGCAAGGAGAGATGGAGTTATTACGAAAGGGTCTGCCGCGCTACTGGAAAGGAACTTGGATATCGTTGAGCGTTCCTGCACATGATCGAGGATGTATAGGTTTGTATAGGGCGCTTACGTAATCTCTTTAGTAGTAAGTAAACAGCGTCTACGTGGCAATAAGCGCCCGGTAATTGCCGAGAGACATTTTCCGATTTTGCATGCATTTGCGCCGTTGCGAAGACATTCACCTACTTACCAGCATCCTACCTCAGAGCGCTATTGGCAGCAGCATTGCTTCCGTTCGCAATCCTTAGCATGTCTGACAAGCAGCATTTTGAGCAGAAAAGGTGCGGAACGGCCCGATTTTTTTCTGTCTCAGTGTCAAGGTGTGAGCAGGATCACATCTTTACGTCTCAAGCACCTCATCGCGATTGTCTCTCGGTTCCGAAGACTGACCACGACAAGCTTCACTTCTGTCTTGTGCAAGAGACATGTTGAAGGAGCCGGCATGCATTCCTTCGATCCAGCAGGAAGCCTTTTGGAAACCGGAAGACTATCGTTCCCGCTCTTTTAAATGATCTCACCACAACAGCCGGCACAGGCTTGGACGTCTGGAGGCGGCCGCTCTTCGGTATATACGCAGACAGACATACCTCAACCCGCCACAAACTAACCAACTGTCCGTTACTTCTGGGCCGTCGCATGGGTGCTGCGAGCTTGGATCGACGCCAGCCGGTTTTCTGGCGCTGGCCTCTGTATAGCTATTATCCGCGGAAGCTACTAGTGGATGAAGTGTTCTTGGTAGGTTGTGGAACGGAACGCATCGACGTAGGCGTTATTCGATCATCTGGCTGGCGACATCCTCAAGAGGCTCGAACGCCGTGCCTCCTGGTGGCCGTTACGCTACGTGCCGTGCGCGTTTGGGATCGGACGTTCAGCGAACCTTGTCAAGCGCGACCACCGCGGACCGCCCTGCTTGATGAATGGTCGATGATACCACCGTATCTCGCTGTGCCACTCGGCTAGTTTCGGATAACGGAGTGGGACAAGGTAAGCCTTTGGTGGCTTGCTAGTTCTGTGGTGCAGGCGTACGGCCGGTTTCAACGTAGCGCTGGGGCTTCGCGCGACCTTCTCGGACGGCCGCACCGACCGCTCGGAATGAATGCAGTAGGTGATAAATTGGGAAGATCTGATGCCCCCACAGAGTTCCCCGCGGACCATATATTACGACACGCCAGTAGAGCCTCATTGGTGCTTCGTCGACGGCCTCAGAACCAACTCAGAACCCTCTTCCCGGGCCCGGGCCCCGTCGGAGACTTGCGATCTTGTACGCATGCCGTGTGCTGTGGATTCCGTGGAGTGTGGACCATTTGAAGAGTCGACATCTTTATGTCATGCAGTGTTAGGATGGCCTGTGTATGATCCGGCGACTACATTGTAAGCCTTATCGTCTATTCGTGGTCATGCTGCTAATACACCTGCGTTAGCGTGCCGGCGTGTGGGGCTACCTTCAAGCTGTGAGTGAGATCTAACTTGGGACAGTAGTGTGGTAGTTGCACAGTGACATCGTGCGTTGTCCGCGGACTGCTGACTTTACTATCTCTGGAGGCCCGATATGACACCACGTGCCATTAATCCAAGTCAGAATCAATGTTGCTGTGCGGGTAAGTTTCGATGTTGTGTCCGTTGCGGCTGTGCTCAAGGATACGAGTGAATACCAGGTGTAACCATGTTACAGAAATCTCGCCGGATGCGACCACTTGCCGCGCTGTGAATCACATTGAACCGCTTGCAGTTTCGTTGGTCCCTGACATGCTATCCGTAAGTCGAGAGTGTCGAGTATTTGTTTGAAGCCCGAATGTCACTCAAAACATAGGCGAGCTACGAGATTATCTCAAGGAGCGTGCATCCCAGTGATCCAGCAGCGGCCCCGACATGGCGATTAGGATTGCGTCCGGATGTCCGCAGCGTTCCCGCGAGCGAGATCGTCGCCCGTGGATTGTTTAACCATGTCGCCTGTCACGTATTCTGATATTCATCCCGCTATATATTGGTGTCAATGCATTACCGTCTATTAGAACTCACACTCCATCTCGCTGAGCGTGTGTTGTGGGTGCAGCTGCGGCCAAGAGAAAGATCGCTCGGAGTAGAGTTGATAGGCGGCTAAGCAGACAGGCGCCAGCGCTGGCGACCATATGGAGGAAAGATCAGAGACAGTTGACGAGGAAGTCGACCTTCTAAGACAATTGTCAGCCATGAACAGCATTAGCTTCTCACATCTTCTGTGTTTGTCTGGACACTGCCAGGGAAATCGACGAACTTGGGGCGAGTAGAAGTATCCGGCGGCTGTACAGCCAACTTTCGCTCTCTTGCCATCTCCTGTCATACTCTCCGGCGAAATTGGATATTCGCATCGCAGTTCTTGAGCGAAGACGACGTTAACGATCAGCATCGACCGCAGACGACCCATTCTTGATTTCGCTCGAGCTTGTGCGGTGCGGAGCAGCACCCTCGATGTCGCAGGGCCACCACCGACCACCTCTCCTCGTTCGTGCGTTTCCCCGCAGGTTTGATCTCAACTGACACCCGCATCGCATCAGAACCAGTCTCAGGAAGGTAATCTGTCTATCGGAGGTGAAAAACCCCGGACGCAGACCAGCCCAGGTGTGTGCCTTTTGACTTTGCCTCCGCCCGGTGAACTCATCGCTCCCGCCTCGTCTGCGTCCGCTACCATCCCACTCGACCTCGCCACGACCACGTCGTCGACTGGTATCGCACCCTCCATTGCCTACGATACCACCAGACAACCAGAATATCGCGCAGTGGGCGGCTGCAAGCAGTACGTCGTCCTCGTCTCATCCGACACCCGAGTCCCAGATGTTCGGCGCACCGCCCATGTTCTACGATCCCGCGCAAGCAGCGCAAGAGCACGACCAGCGTGGCATGTCCGACTACAACGCATGGGCACAGAACTTCGCGCAAGGCGGGCAGTACGCGAACGCGGCTGCCACTGGCTACGCGCAGGCGCCTCAGCTCAACTACGGCCACCAGCAGCAGCCGATGCAGGACGTGTCGGTCACGATGACCAAGGCCACGGCCAGTATCCGTATCAGCAGCCATACGTGCCAGCAGAGACCCACGACCCATTTAACCAAATGTATCCGCAACAAACACCCATGAACACGACTTCCGATCGCCCGCAACGCAGCCTCCCGCGGTCGTCGCGGGGTGGCTACTCAAACGCCGCTCTACCGAACATGTCCGAGGGCGCAGCGTTCTCCCAGCAGCAACAGCAGCAGCAGCAGCAGTTCAGCTTCCCTACGCAGGACGAGTACGGCTACCAGCCGCAGCCACAGGCGCAGGCGCGCCCGGGCGCGCGGACGCGATCGTCTACGGAGTCCGTGCCAGCCGCAGACGCGATCCCGCAGCAGCGCTTCCAATTCGCAGAGTACCGCCATCCCGACCAGCTCGTCGCGCCCGCACCTGTGCCGTCGGCGTACACCGGCCCGGGCAGCACGCCGACGAGCAGCTTCTCGTCCTCGCCGGTCTCGTGGGCGGACCAGAGCCAGAGCGAGCACACTGCGACGCAGCCGGCGGGCTCGGGGCGCAAGCAGGGCGGCGCGGCGAAGCAGACAGCTGGCCAGAAGCAGACAGTTGCTGGCCAGAAACAGTCAGCCGGCCAGAGCAGGCGGCGACGGACAAGGGCAAGAAGCGTGCGCGTGCGCCGCGGGACAGCGACAGCGACAGCGAGGACGACGAGATGGGCAGCTTCGCCATCAATATGAGCATGCCGCCATCAGGGCACGGTGGCCCGACGCGACTGTAGGTGTCTCTATCTCCATTCCTGAATGTCGCTGACTCTGCTCGCTCCCGTTGCTGCCTCATCATATGAACGCGTGCTCATACATCCCACGTCGCCGTGCGTCCGCCTCAAACAATCCCCGGCGCCGCAATTCCCCACGTCTGGCCACCCTGGCGTCCGCTGCCGCCTTCGCTGCGATGCGCTGCTGCGAACTAGTCCCGGAGCATGCAAACATTGCAAGAAGCTCAAGGTACGTCCCTTTGCCGTGTCCCTCGCACTTCACTAACTCGGGTTGCTCCTCTTCATCCACTGTTTTTTTTTACGACGTGCGGCATGCACTGGACATTTCTAGATGAAATGTGACTTCCCCAAGGGCGAGAACATGTGTCGGCGGTGCAAGTCCGGTGGGATCCCCTGCATTGTCGAGGGTCGCAAGCCCCGGAATGCACCCAAGTGAGTACTTGACTTCAGTCATGTTATCTCCCCCTACCCCAAGCTCGCTGGCATGCTTGCCGGGTTCGCGCGATTAGTCAACGCGATGCATGGACAGCCATCGCACAACTGTAACGCCGAACATTCCGTGTCCCGTTGGGCACCGGGAAAGGCGCGAATCATTCCAGCGCTGTGCTAATGTGTTCAGTCGCGTCTGCCTTTGGCTCGTTTTCACCTATTCTGCTTTGGGTCTGTTCGGCGTTTGTCTCGCCCGTATGGCTGGATGACTATGACGGTGGATGAATGGGTGCACTGAGGAGGCGGCCAACGTCCGGATGTGCCTCAGTCTCGGGGATCGTTTTTGCGTACAGCAATGATTGTATCAGGCGCGGTTTTGAGAGGTTAAGTATCGGAGGGCTTTGGCTGCCGAGATACTTCGCGCTTGGCGGTGGACTCCTGGAGCTGTTATCATCCTGATAGCATCCGAGTATTAGGCCATCGCTAACGCAATGGAGCCTCCGTCTTCTCTGTCTGCTTGTGACCCCCCTTGCGACAGCAGCTCATCGACCCCTTCTTCACCCAGCAAACGCGAGTACCTGCTCGCGCAGATTCGCCAGAAGGACATCATCATCGAGAAGCTGCTCCGTGAGGTAAGTACTGCCGCCTGTCGTACTAGACATCCGAACATTTGCTGACCGGGCGCTGTTGCCCCGCGCATCCCGGTCGTTGTGTAGCTGCACAACCCCTATGCCGCGACCCCGCTCTCCATCGCGTCCTACCGCCTGGCAACGTCACCTTCCGATCAGCAAAACCGCAATGTCATGGCGTGGTTAGACCGCCTCGAGGAGAGTGTGCAGGCTGCAGGCAGGTCAGGCGGCGTGGAGGCGTTCAAGATCGAGTCTCGCCAGCGCGCTGCTGCGGGCGATCACGACGATGAGTCTGACGAAGAAGGAGACACCGAGCGTGGCAGTGCGAAGGAGGGCGACGATGATTTGGATGCGGAGGCCAAGCTTCAGTCCTTGCCAGATGCGACAGTCCCCCTCGGCTTGCTCGCTCACCTCTCGTTGGATAACCCGAGGGCGAAGAAAGGGAAGAAGCGAACGGGTGCTGACGACAGCGAGAACGAGGACGTGGGCGTCGCCAGCAAGTCATACTTTTTGCCAGGTGGGCTACTGCGTGAAGCTAAACTAATATGCCCGGCGAGCTGATGGTTATTCCCACAGGACCTGCATTTGATCTCTCCATCCGCGCGTCGTTGATTGAGAACCACAGCCCGCCCGAAATCCTGGTCCATGGTCTGGTCACACCAGACGACGTCGACAAGCTGTTTGACATGTACGTAGCAGCGCCCATTGGCCTTTCGTGTACTGACTCTGACTTATCTGCAGTTTCTACACCCGTTTGAATGTAAGTATTGGCTACTGACCATTGTATAGCGAAGCCTTAACACCGCGTAGGTCCATGTTACGTTGCTTGATCGGGAAATCCACACCGTCCAATCCACCTTCGCCCGCTGCCCCTTCCTGTTTACCGTTGGTATGCACATTTCTATTTTTGGTATACCACTTGCCATTTATGCACTTATCCCCAGTTTGCGCCATTTCCTCCCGCTATTACAAGGATAAGTCCGAAATCTATCCCATTGCGATGCACTTCGCTCGGCGTGCGGCGGCGGACGGCCTGCTGAACGGTTGGAAGTCGGTCGAGCTTGCGCAGGCGTACATCCTCCTCAGTACCTATGCCGTCCCCGCACGAAGGTGGGAAGAGGACCGAAGCTGGCTATACATTGGCCTGGCAATTCGGTGAGCAGCAGCGTTATTCTATACATGAGCCATACTCATTTGTCACTTAGAATTGCGACAGACTTGAACCTTCATCAACTGTCGACTGTGAAGCCAAGGAACGACCAACACAGGCGTGAGATACTCAACCAAGAGCGACTTTGGTTGATATGCCACAACCTCGATCGCTCAATGGCCACACAGTTTGGAAAGCCGTCGACGATTAGAGAGGACTAGTAAGTGTTGTGCTTGACGCAAGATGGGCTTCGTGCTGATCAACGCAGTATCATCCGGACCTCCGAGAACTGGTACAAGAAATCACCGCTGAATCACCCAGTAAGTGCCGGTGGATGTGTGGGGTACGTGGTACTGATGTACAAGTAGTGGGACTGCGGCCAGTCATCTTATACGCAGCTTCTCCGGATAATGACTCGCTTCCACGAGGAAATATACTCGGATCCGACTACGCCCACTGGACTGAATACGGTATATGTCGCCGGTAACGGAGTGGTTAGTGATGCAGAAGCTGACCTCTGCCGCAGAGCCTCGACCTCCGCGAAGTGTCCGTTCGGCATGACGAAAGTCTCACTCGTTACTTCGAAGAATGGACTCGGCGATTCAAAGAAGACACTGACCTGCAAGGTAAGTGGTTGCGGTATGCTTCCGTATTGTTCATAGCCCTGATCTCATGGTCAGATCCCGCCTGTGCCTTCCGAGCGTCGTTGCTCCCGTTGTATGTTGATAGATTGCGTGAGATTCAGCCGACTGTGACTAATGACCTGCATAGCCTCACGAGCTACTCGCGACTGGTCATGTACTCATTTGGCTTCCAACAAGCGTTCAAGCGCGGCATTCGGCCTGAGGACCAGATGTTCCTAGATAATGTTCGCGTCCTTTTACTGCTGAGCGTGAAGAATCGTCGAGTGTTCATTTTCATTCGCGTCAACAGTGTTTCCAGGCCGCGAAATCTGTGATCTTGTGTATGATCGATACACTATGCCCGAGCGGGTACATGCGCTTCTCGCCGGATGGTATGCTATCCGTTCATATGGCTCGAATCCCCGATGCCGGTCAACGCCTCTCACAGCGCTAACCAAACCCGTACAGGTCATTTTATTTTCGCGTCATTTGCATCCGCCTTCCTTCTCAAGGTACGTTCTACAGACCCATAGCCACGCCGCATGACTTACAAGTGGCCGGCTCCGTTCCTTCGCCGATCTGTGAATATAGTTGATGCGTCCCGAGTTCAAGTCGCTCGTCACATCCGCTCAAGAGTCAGAGATCTTCGATTTGATTGGCCGGCTTATCCAGACCCTGAACAGCCCTGAAATCTCCATCGACGAGCGCCACACGCCCAAGCTGCATGCGCGCTTCCTCGCGGGACTGCTCACCAAGCACCGGAGGGATGTTGCAACAGCCGGTCGCATCCAAACGCAGCAGCAGCCGCCTAATGCACAAGTCTCGCCGCAGGGTCAACCCAGCTCATCTGGGAGCACCCACACCTTCTCGACCAGTGGGAGTGCGGCGGGAAGCCCCGGCGAGACTGTGTTCTCCGGTGGTGGCATGGGCTACGCTGGAGAGGGGCATCTCATTCTTGGCGCAGGGCAAGGAGAGCCCGTATACCAGGAGGACACTGCGTACGCTGTGGGGACGGGCCCGATGGAGGTGTTCGACTTCGCGGGTGTGGCAGGACAGGGCATCGAAACTCTGGGTGCTCTAGCGGCTCTGCAGAATCCGTCGTATTGGCGGGATATGATGATGCCTGGGTGAGTGAAGTAGTCCGAGGTGGTGAAGTCAAGAAGCTGATGTGGGGGAGTTGCAGGTACACCTGGTCCGAGAACAACGACTCTTATGGTCTGAATGGGAACGTAGGCGGATTCGGGCAGAATTTCGGGGCGCTCCAGACGGAGGTCGGTCTCTTCGGGTAGGTCTTCACGAACAGTGCCCGAGTCATGTCCGAGTCGTTTCGGAGAGAAGGTTTCTGCCCTCCGGTCACTTTGCCCAGATTCATGCATCAATCACACGAAATAACGTCACGCACATATCATCCACATTTCTCTATGGTTCGTAAGATCTTCTTGTCTTTCTTGTAGATGAATTGGCGAGCGTCGCGCGTCTCTGCGTGCAGCGTTCGTCAATTCAAGATTTGTGACTCGTCTAGCATCGTACATTGTAGCTACTATTCCATACTATCGTCATCGTCGGCTGTAAAGTAAAGCTTCTCGTGTATTCAATGTCGCAAATGTTTCTTCTCATGGTATGCTCCTACGGCGTTATCAGCATGTGAGGGTAAACGGGCAGTTTCCAGCGTATGTACCGCCCCCTTCATTACGTTAGGGACTTTGGTAGTACAGGACCCTCATAATTGAACACCTGGGAGTGGCCGTGACACCTCGCGCTCCGACGACGACGTACTAGCGGAACTCAATGTCTCATCCTTTTGCAATGGCTCAGCTAAGACCCTTTCGGCATTCGGCCTTATGAACCTGTAACAGAATCGGAACCACCGAGGCGACAGTCTGCGCGGTCCATGGTCGGTGCGAGACAATCAACAACGATCTGAGCGGTATGCCTCTTTGCAGCCTGGAGCGGCTTGAGTATTTGTAGCATAATCTGCTCCTCGTGTTGCATCGAAAACGACTTGGCCCATGCGCCAGGTGCGATATCCCTGTCAGCACTATGATGCATCGCATAGGCGTGAACGTATGGTCCACTGTGCCGGTCGTGGGTACCACTATTGGGGATGTGAGACAGATGCGTGCTGATGTCACGAGCTTCTTCCAGCGATGGCGATGGCGACTGCCTGGTGTATGTCATATCGGTCAAAGGCATGACACCGATATCAGATGCAGATGCTTACTGGACAGGACCAGAAAGGATTGGTCGAGCGGAGATTGTCGCTGCGGAGGCGACAAGAAGGGCGGGATAGAGGAGAATGGAGACGCGCATGATTGCACTTATGCGAAAGTGAGTTTGGACAGCTATTGGTTGTTGAGGTTATCGAGAACAGACAAGAAGGAAGAAAGGCTGCCAGCGAGAAGAGTCAACTCCGGTTCAATCGAGAGCGGGTCGGGCCCGGGAATGCACTTACCAACCAGTGCTTATAAACTCGGAAGTGAGCTCAGAAAGAGAAGCAATGAGTGCGGTGAGCTGGGGAAACGTCGCCCAACATGCACTTTAATTTAAGCCCAACAGCAGCGCTCAAAGCTGTACATGGAGAAATCACACAACCGACCCGTACAGTACTCTTTGTCAGCGTGTTTGTCTCAACGTGGATACGTTTGACGGTATCGTCAATATTTGTGAAGGGATGTCCATACGCACGTCCACGTCGCCAAATATCATGATCGAAGCTAACCTAAGTTTGTCTTCTGAACAGTGGCGTCAATGTATATATAGTCGGAAGTGCCATTCATGGCAATGCAGACCATTGCAGCCTCCACCACTGGAGGACGACTGAACCCTGTTAGCAGCATGCGTCATTGTTCATCAGATTGGGCAGCGACATACCATGACACAGTCGGTCATACAATTCCTGCCGCAGCGAGCAGTGACAATGCCCCGCTCAGTGCCGCCTGAGGCTGCAGTACGACGCTGCAGCGAGCTATAGCATTCCGAAGCAGCTGCAAGACATATAACAATGTCCTTGTGCATCTCAGCTCATGTGCGGGGATACAGTCCAGCGGCAATCCAGAAGCTGCATCTTCCAGCGATACCAGGTCCGGTTTACCTCATAGCCCTTGCGCCCGGACATTTCACCGCAGATAATGTTCTCTGAAAAGGAATCTGTACCGTAGTATCGCGGCACGTGAGACATGTACTGACCGACGCCATGCTTGCCTGTTAATCATTTGTCAACCGCTGCGGATAGTGAGCACTCTGCCATCTTGTAGCGAAACAGTACTCACCGAGATGCCCATCGTCGAACAGCGCGTTTTCCGTTATCTGTAGCGCCCACAGTATAGGAGGGTGCTGAATGACTATCCTGTCATGCTGCATGATCGCGAAGTACATTCGTCTGCGAGCGCGCGCTTCTTGTAGTTCCACTTCTTCCTGACGACGCGCGGGTCCCTACCAAGTTCCGCCATGACTCCTGGCCTAGTCTACTTTCGAGAAGATCTTGAGCGCGCACAGTCTGCTGGAGATCGGTCCGAGTGTGTAGAGTGAGGCCTCCTGACCGGAGATAAGTATTTGCGCCTTCAGCTTCAGCTTACTCTGCGTTCATGGTCACTGAGATCCTGCCCGACATGGCCGGTCCCAACTTCAACACGCTACTGTGCAAGGCGATGTCCGCAATTTCCCAGCCGGGCTGCTCCTGCGGTGAGTAATCTAATACAAAGGTCGACAGCCCGACCTAAGATTAGATTTATAGATTCGACTCGCAATGCTGTGAACGAACCTTCGCACGTAATGAGCACACGCGGCTCATTAGGTGTGTCTGAAGAACATTGGTCTTGACATACGGGATTGCACTGCCTCCGCCTGCCATTTGGCATGGTACATTCTCAAATGTTACGCGTGAAATCCTGACTTGCCGCTCGTCTTCCCGTCCCGCTGCGCGAACAAGAGCTGTGAACGAATTTCAGGTCGACAACTATACCCACGAGGTCATCGTAGTATCTGACCCATAACCTTTCTGTCATCTGTAGCTCGCTCGTGGTCAATAGCTCGCGACGCGCGGTATTCCAGTCATATCAAGAGCCTGCTTGTCAGTGACCGATATGATCCACTCCTTGGAAACCACTGTCGGTGTTTCTTGTCTGCGACGAGGTCCCGGCAGCCTGAGGGTGCCACCACATGCGGGAGCTAACGCACCGGGAGTCTGTAACGGTCATTTTAGCCGGTTACGGGCGTATCAGCAAAGATGGACTGAACTTTGTGGCAATGGGCGTGCGAACGGGATGTCCACGGGGTTCCAGCGTCTCGCCACGAAGGTTCTCCGGGGTGAACTTGGGGAATCATGTTCCGCGGGCTGAGGCGAGTAGCTGCAAGATCAAGGGACATGCGATTTCCCCATGGCGGATGTCGTTACAAGGCTTGTCGAGATGCTATAGCGGCCGGATAAGCAAGGGCACGCACTGGACGCACTGGCAGCCTAGTAGGTATCTGTATAGGATTGTTCCTGGTACCTGATCTGCACATCCCACATAGCCAAGATAATATGAGCATGCGTTGACTATGCAAAACTTTCGCAACGCCTGCCTACACTGTAATCTCACACGGGCTGAGAGGAGGAGGAGGAGGAGGAGGAGGAGGAGAAGGGTTCCAAATTTGGTAACACCGTCCATCAACGCTCAACGCCGAATCTGAGATCCATGGTGGCTGGAGGTGTCACTGTCACGGTTGAGCGCCACTGCCAGGCGGCAACTTGGACGTCGACACTCGACGTGCAATTCCCACTGGACGGGTTCTCCACGTCGCTGAACATAATATACTATGCTACACACAACGACGAACGAAGCGGACTACTGAGGACCTCTGGTATGCTGTACAAGCCTGGCTATGAATCGGCATCTAGAGCTATACAGTCAACGTCGAGGCGCATACAACTAGTCCGATGCGAAGGATGGCGTACAGGTATCCTTCTCAGGATCACTGCTGATCTACCGGTGAGCAGTCCTATCTGTCATACTGAAGGCCGACATCCTCAATTGGAGCACAGCCTTAGTGCCTGACGAGCTCAGTAAGTGCTACCTTCACCTCGCCATTCAGAGGGCCGGGCCTGTCCTTGACTCATATTCAGGGACTATCCGGTTTGGTCTGTCAACTTACCCCGAGAGGCAGCAATGTCCTGTCAGGAATGGAAAGACAGACTTACCTGTACCAGGTTGCGTATTAGGCTACCTCCGTGTCGGAGGCTCGTCCTCGAACGTCGATGATCTCACTTTGTGGCGCAGCTAGTGAAATCTCTGCTGCAACACCATACTACCGTCGTTTCTTCCATCATACATATGTCGGACACCGTTCCGAGGCTCTCCAATTCGCTGCTGAGCGTGAGTTTGGACATGCGCCTCTCGACAGCGCTCAAAGTGTCTTCTCATGATACCAGCAGACCCGCGCCAGTCGAACCAGCAGCAGGCGCCAACCACACTGGCGATATCACTGCTTCCTCTCCCATGTCAATATGCTCTTATTAGTTCTGCTTGTTCCGATTCTCGAAGTGTCGAGCCACGGATGGTTTCCAGGAGAAAAGGCACTTCAGTTACTTCAAAAGATTCGTACCTATCATGTCGTTCGCTCTTGACGTGCCGCCCGTTGTCTTCGCAGCAGGCCAGATATAACATCTCAAATAACGCTCCTCGCGCTCAGCACGCTGGATACGCCTCCGTCCACGTTCAGAGCCCGAGCACCATTGCGCACGTCGACCCGCCCCCATGTCGAACTTCGGCATCGATGAAGCGCAGCTCGTCGCTCTCTTCATGGAGAGCGCAGCCTGGGGCATGCAGTTCGTGACCACCGCCATCTGTATCTACACGCTCGTGAGCACGTCGCGGATGTCCAAGCGCCCACTCAACATCCCGCTCCTCGTCTACGCGATTATGCTGTTCAGCTTCGGGACATTGGATGTCGCGTTCGCTCTCCACCGCAACATCCAAGCCTTCGTGTCTTACAAGGGGCAAGGTGGTCCGGATATCGTGTTCAACCAAATATCTGACTACGTGACTGTCCTGCGGGTGAGCTCAGTCTTCGTGACCTTGACAGATTACTGTATAGCTAAACCATTCGATAGAGCGTATGGAACTTCCTGGCCGTTCTCGTTGCGGACTCCGCTCTGGTAGGCCGTCTAATCGGCATACCTGTCTTCAAGATGCTCACTAGTAGTAGATCCACCGCTGCTGGATCATCTACGGCCGGAGATGGATCTACGTCATTCCTTCAATACTCATCTGGCTCGGAGGCTTCGCGTGCGCCTGCGCGGAGACATATTACACCTCAACGTTGGACAAGTCAACCAACTTGGCTGGGGCGACGAAGATTGAGCCTTTCCTCAACGCCTTCATCGTGTGCGGGGTCAGTCTGAATATCGTCACGACTTGTGAGTCCTTGTTGCAGTCGAATGACGATGTCGAACTCATCCTGTTTGCCAGCACTGATTCTCTACCGCATCAACCTCATTCACCGCGCTTCCGCTCGCTACTTCTCGAAGAACTCAGGGGGGACAACCGTGAGCAGCCGGCTGCAGTGGCCCGAGCTGACTCGGATCCTCGTCGAGTCCGCGATCGTATACACGTTGTCTGGAATCGTCCTTCTCATCGTGAACTTCGCCGGTAGCAACGCTGTATACCCCACTTCCGACATTGTACGTCGTCTTCAACCCACCTACGCGCTTGCCACTGATGCTCGTCTCTGCAGAACTTACAGATCGCTGGTATCCAGTTCGACCTGATCCTCATCCGGGTGAACCGGGGCATCGCCGCGGAGCACGTCGAGGCGCAGACAAGCATGCAGACGATGCAGTTCAACCTCCGTGCGCTCGACCGCTCCGCGCAACCCCCGGGATGCAGATCACCGTCACACACGATACGAGCATGTCGACCGGCCTCCGCTCGTTCTCCGACATCGAGAGCAAAAAGGGCGGGCAGCACGACTTCGTGCAGACCGTCAGGGTTACGGACATTGACAATGACTACGTTTAGTAGTTCTGTGCTGCGTGGGACTGAGATTTACGTTCTTTTGTTGGGTAGTCGGGTGTATTGGACACTGTTATTGCTAGTGTGTTACTGTATTCTGCTACTACGTACTGAGAGAGAGACGTGATGTTGGACCTGTTTGATGTACTATTGTCTTCAAGTTGTAGTACTACTGTGGCTGATAGACCACATATTCACACTCGTGCGACGACCAGCAGTTCGGCTCGATGGTGCCTTTCGCGATTACAGTACTGGTCTGCGAGCTCAAGTACAGCTACGTAGCTACAGCCTACTAAGCCACTGGCACCTGGCCTCCGAGGCCGGACGATGCCGAGAACGATCTACAGTACGCTCAGCACGTTGGCCTTCTCACTAGACTCACTATAGTCCACTGGCACCATTTACATATCCTCGCTGTCTCTTGTCAGTGTCTGGCGTGCTGCCGTGTGCGTAGTCTTTTCTTGTCTGGTCTATACACGACAGCATCGCCTCAACGACCTCACCATTCGCTGGGCATTGCAACTCCCAACGGAAGCCGTGGCTATGCACAGGCAGTTCGCCATGCTCAATACATCAATTTGAAACGCGGTCTTTACCTGTCCAAGTTGCTGTACGAGGCTGTCCCCCATCGCTGATCGTCGTCGCTGCTCACACTAATTGTGTTCATGACTCCTCAGGCCATGTTCAAGTTGCGAATTGTGGCACTTGCCAGACGTCGGCGGACTCGGAACTTTGCACTGCACTGCCGTGCCCGACAAGTTGACAACGATGTGTCTATGCACTCAATATTCAATACTTGTCTGATCTACTGGGTCGTCGGTCCAAGTCGTTCGTGTTCCTGCGAACGCACCAGAGGTCGACGGCAAGAGACGTCTGGTGTCGCACAGCAGACATCCGGTGGGAGCTACTTCGGCGTGCCCTCAGAGATCCCCGAGCCGGACTGTACTTATCGAGAAGCCACGACCTGCAGATGGGCCATTAATTTGTGCCTTGACTTCTATCAGGTCCGGATGTTTGTCAGCTTTGGCATGTCCTCGAAGGAACCCTCATGTTGACGGTGGCCCACCACCGGCTTCCTCTGTCATTATGTATCAGGTCCTGGTGTCAGTTGCTTGTCGACCGCATTCGAGCAGCGATTCTATGGGCATTCAGTCGCCAGGCAGGACGGTAATACCCAGACAGAAGCCTGAAGCCCGTTGCGCCGGACACTGACAGTTTCCTCCCGGTGGAAGTACGGTTTGACGCTGACCGGCGTGCCTCATGCCCCTTCTTCGCTCATTGGCCCTATTCATTCAACGGGTGAGGCAAGACCATATATACCTTGACTCGTAGCACGACCGACCCTCCAGCGCGCCGTCACCGGTACCTCGCAGCGGTCCCCCACAATGTCCTCCTTCCCTATCAGCGAGGCCGAGCTCGTGGCCTTCTTCATGGAGAGCGTCACCTGGGGCATACAGATCGTCACATTCACACAGTGTGTGTGGGCCCTGTTCGAGACGGCGAAAGGTGGACCGCGGCGGGTCAACATAATACTGCTCACCTGGGCAATCGCGCTGTTCGTCTGGGGGACGTTGGACATCTCGTTCGCCGTGTACCGGAACCTCACCGCGTTCATCTACTATACCGGTCCTGGTGGCTCGAGTGAGATCTTCGACGAGATTCGGACTACGTTACTGTCCTACGGGTGGGTGTCGGTCTGTTTACATCGGCTACGCCGAATGCTAACGGAACTCACAGAGTGTATGGAACTTTCTGGCTATCCTGACAGCGGACATGGCACTGGTACGTGTCTTCAACGCGCATTGCCTTGCCACAATGCCGACCCGTGCACCTCCAGATCCACCGGTGCTTTGTGATCTACAACCGCAATTGGCTGGTCATCGTCTTCCCCTCCCTCATCTGGGCAGCCGGCCTGGCATCTGCAGCCGCCGAGATCTATTACACCTCTACATTCAACGCCTGACTAACCTCGCGGGTGCGGCGAAGATCGAGGCATTCTTGAACGCGTTCATCGCGCTCGGCGTTTCTTTGAACATCATCACGACAGGTAAGGCGCCATACGGATCCTTTCGATATGCGCTACTCACCAGCATTATTTACCATAGCAATCATCCTGTATCGCGTCGGTCAACTGCAAAACGCATCTGCCAGGATGCTTGCTGCGAAGGCAGGGAAGCACGATCACATCCCGAGCAGTGGCCACATGCGGTGGTCGCAGCTCAGCCAGATCCTGGTGGAGTCCGCGGTGGTGTACACCCTCGCCGGTATAATCCTGCTCGTCGTGAACTTCGTCGGGAGCAACGCGGTCTATCCCATGTCCGACCTCGTAAGCCGTGCCCATCTGTCAGGTATTGACATTCTGTGCCATGCTGAATTGGATCATGGCAGACCCTCCAAATCGCCGGAATCCAATACGACCTCATCATCACCCGCATCTGCCGTGGGGTCGCGGTGGAGCAAGTGCATTCGACAGTGCAGTATCCTTTGCGGGACACGACCTACGGTATGCGCTCGGAATTGCCTCATGTAGAAGGCGCTCCGTCGAATGCCGACACGAAGAGCGCGAAAGATTCTGGGACTGACTCGAACCAAGTTAACGTTCACGATTACGTCGCGACGCAGGTGTAGAATTGACTCAATGACTGTTACTTACGTGCTTAACGTTTGGTACCTGATGATCTCTTCGGACTGTTGCAGTAGTATATGGCACCTATAATAGACATGATTTCCGATTCCGGTGACAGGTGTGGCCACCCCGGAGTCTGCGTACTGTGTGGCACGTCCGACGCCACCGCAGCAGTACGATTCCAGAATTTGCTGGCCTATGCTATTCGATTTTGAGCCTGAGCTGTCAAGACATGTGAACCTGCATCACCACGTTCCATAGCTTCATCAACATCCCTCGGATATGTTTAGTCTTGACGTTCACCGAATTTCTCTGTGATCTCCTTGCAGACAACCACCAACGCCTTTCCTAACCTCTCGAAATCCTCCAGCTACGGGGCAGATTGAGATGATGATCCAACGGGACAGACAGAAAGAATTTACCTCGTTGAATACTTGAGCGCACGGCCTCGTCCACCACTTGTTGTTATGGTAGAACTGCGTCGAGTACGTATTGTGCTCGTTGATGAGCTTGTCTTGGAACGCGACCATGAGTTCCCACGACATGTGTATCGCCGAGGGTATCGGGAGTTCGACATTGACCTATCGAACAATTACGCGCAGTAATATCTGACAATAGATTAGTACATACCATGTTGAGATTGTACTCTTCCTCGTCCTTGGCTGAGTACAACATGCTCGTCCCGAGGATCTCGGCCATGCGTCTGCCCCCGGCAAGCGCGAGATGGTGGCAGTAGGCATTGATTTCTCTTCGCCCCCAGGAAGGCCCGGAAGGCAAGGCTATGCCGTTCGTAGCAGATGAGGCGGTGTGTCCCCCATCGCATTAGATACGTACCAGATTTGATACTGAGCGGCGTCAGCATATCCGATGTGCCAGGCCCTGAGAGAAGCCTATGTTAGCAACGCCCGTGTCGCGTAGTGAAGTGCGACCTACACTTGAACGTATCTACGAGGGTGCGCGTCTGGGTCAGCTTCATTCTCTGGTAGTTGAGGCCTGTGGGATCGCTGTTTTGATTATGTGGTGATTCCTAGCTTGCATCCCGGTGAGCGGCGAGGTCCTAGTGGATCCAGCACACGCACCGCTTGGGAACGTACAAGACCGCGCAAGCACGTTTAGCGTACAGCCATTTGGAGCAGCTCTGAGGATGCCAGGTCAACATATACCGCTTGAATCACCTACTGGCCTACCGAAATCCAGAAGTCTGGTGCAGCCTTCGTCAAGTCGAGGTTCATCTCTTGTCCGATGGAGTGAGCGGCATCACGAGGCTCCATGCGCCTTCCTCCTTGCATATCGCCACCATCTCTTCCAGGCATCAGAACAGCCGGAGTAGGGAGCACACTATCCATAACGACGACAATCTTGTTCTTCGAACATCTTTGCACCTTCGACTTGCTTCGCTTTCAGTGACTTCAGATGTTCGCGGAAGCGTGATAACAACGATGGTATGACTCGGGGAAGTGCAAAGGAAACTCGGAGACGGCTGGGTGAGGCGGCATGTCGGACATGTTGTGCGCTATGCCATTGATCGTGTTGAAGCTACAATGGCTGTCACGTAAGTCAGTACCTGGCACGTCCGGAGTCCCACTAGCGGCGAAACACACTGATCACGACGACGTCACCTTCGCACCACTCGAAGTTCCTCAGCACGGTGCTGACGCCATGCGAGACATTCGGGACGAACACGCACTCGTCCGGACGCGCGCCGATAAGCTCCGCCACGGACGCACGGACCTCGTCCAATGCGGGCCAGTACGTGAACCACATGAAGCGATCTGGGTTCGCCTCCACCTGCGTGGACAGTCTCTCGCACGCCTGGGCGACTGGGCGCGGCACGGATCCAAGGGCACCTGACGGATGAATATCAGTACTGATGTTCAGAGTTTGAGCAGTGGTGATAGTTACCGTGGTTGAGGTTCGCAAATCCCGGTTCGAGTCCAAATAGGAGCGCATCGCGCGGCCGAACTGTGGACACTCTCGTTGGTACTCCATGGTGCGCGTATCTCGTGAGGGTTGGACGACCTTGGCTGAAGAAGGAGGCTGAGGATCTGTCGAGCATAATAGGCAGGTCAGCTCTGTGGTCCGCGTCTCGATCGGACCTACGATGCACATCCGTCCCTGGCGCCTCTGGAGGACCGCCACGGCAGCTCATGGACCTGTTCTGGCAGACTTTGCGCAATCACATCTGACCTGGTGACGGTCTATACAAAGCGAGAAGCGTTATGGTTCATCTACGAACTATCGGTGCCTAGCATGCCTCTTGGGGTGGAAATTAAGCTTCCACTTCTCACACACTGAAGCCGTGTTCACATTGAGTTCACACCGACATGGCATGTACGTCACCCATGCGTACGAGCCGACTACGAGCCGCTTGCGCTGCTAGCCGGCAACGGGGCGTGAGCATGTACGGTGTTGTTGACTGGCATACGACGCCACATTATGAGACACGTACCAGCTTCCCAACGTGTCTGTATCAAATATTTGGAGCTCGCATCCATAGCCCATAAGATCACTTAACGGAGCGGCAGACACACGAGACATGTCGTCTCCATGCACGACGGCACCGGCTCTTGCGACATCATGTTGTCAACCGACATCGTGGGGAAGACATCCATGTGCACTGTGCAACCAAGTGACAATATCAGGTCTCTGAGGCTACATCCAGAAGAAGCACTTGCCACGTTTGTTCATCGCTGAATCTTGCGTCAAACGTAGTCTGGTCTGCCTGGTCCGACGAGACATTTTTGACAAACATATCGGTCTGCAGCACACATTCGTTGCACACTCGTCCCAGCTTCGTGTCAAAGCATTATTTGTATCTTTGTTGAGCCGTCGCCGACTGTAGAGAAGTAGTACCAGTGTCATGCATCAAGTCGTGATGTAAAACTTGACTGTGCAACTGACGGAACGCGGCTGGTGTGTGTTTTGCTGTATTTGGTTCAGTGGGCCGTTACGAAACTCCGTAGCTGGATATTGCTCATCCGTAGTCCTACCATCATCTGGACACTGGTGCTGTGATTTTGCTGTTTCTTTTCAAGTTCAGCTCGGGTGGGAGGAGGGGCTGGGGCTGACGGTACTTGTCATAACATCCAGCTGGCCGTGATCACAGTCGATCTCTACCTCGAGTAACAGGGAAACCTGGCAAATCCAGTTGATTTGCATTGCCGGATCCGGACCGGGGTCTACTACTACTGACAGCGATCCGAGTAGGAGTGAACTGTAAGTGCTATAGCCCGAACGCTGAGTGGGAATGACGCCAGTCTACAGCGCCTTCTGTTTAGGAGCGCAGCCTTCGCGTGACGCAATTGACCGGGCATGTGAACATATAGGCTCGCGGCAAAAGTCATTGGTCGGTCTATCATCTCGGAACTTACATGCGAGGTACTTTTGTACCGTGCTCGTACAACATCCCACCCGCTCCGACTCTCACCCACCCCGCCTTGCTCTCTGCCACCATGATGCTCCCTTCGCTCTACCCAACGTCTCGGATATTCTGCTTGCCAGTGGAAATCGTAATCCCCATCCTCAGAAACCTCGACTGCAAGGACTTGCTGGCCTGCAGGGTGGTAAGCAGTTGGAGTGCACTCCCGCCTGTTCGAATTTGACCCCCTCCGAAGGTTTGCAGGGCGTTCAGCGACGTGATCAAACATTCCCTCGAGCTGCAGTACAAGATCGAACTGGCCGCAGACGGGCTCGTGGACGGCATAGGTGTCAACCTCACTACAGCTGAACGCCTTGCGCTCCTACTCGACCGGAGAAAGCGATGGCGGATGTTGGACTGGACAAGCCGTCTTGCGGTCTCGGTCCCAGGTGCTTGTCAAGCATACGAGCTTGTCGACGGCGTGTTCGCCAAGTCGATGATGAGCGGAGGGCCGCTCTATGGACCCGGCTCTCACCACCTCAACGCGACGTGGCTCCCAACGCGTTCCCAGCGTGCACGGAGCTTGGTTCGGGAGGACATCGGAGTAGCGACGAGGGACTTCGCAATAGACCCCTCACAGGACCTCATAGCGTTCGTAGACGCGGAGAACGGGTGAGTGTTCGGTCGCTGCGTAAGGTTTCGGAACCATGCCCATAGCTGCTCATGTGTCGCGCGCACTCGGACCTTGTGCACCGCATTCCAGAGCGACCGGCGTCCATGGCCGCCGAGCTCGGGCTTTATACCCAGCGGCCGCTGGCTGTTGCTAGAGGTCTTCGTGACGTCTCAATGATGATCCGCTGACACTGTGCCATAGTGAAAACTCTCAGACCCGGATTAAGGTGTACCTCCGTACGATCAGCACGAATGCACGACACCCGCACGCTGCGCTGCCGGAGCTCGTGTCGCCGATACCATCCGACCTGGGAAGTTCATTCATCCAGATCGTCGACGATGTCGTCGGGATGTTCTTCTGGATGCACGGGCCGGGGCTGATCATCTGGAACTGGCACACTGCCGAGATGATCGTCGTACGTCGCGTTCTACTCTCTTCCTGCATGCCTATCTCACGCTCCGCAGAGACACACCAGCGACAGTATGCCTGCGAGCACCTGGGACTTCTCCTTCCTCTCAAACCGCACCTACATGATAACGGCGACGTCCGGCGCGGGCACGATCGAGCTATACAGCTTCAATGGGCGGCCGGACCCTGCGTCGCCCTCGGGCGACACGTCCGTGCACGTCGCGACGCTGCGGCTGCCCCCTCTCCGGGTCGGGCACGAGCCGCACCACTTCGCGACGCACTCGGGCCCATTCGTGCGGTACCAGACGCCGGGGCGTGCGTTCGGCACCGCGCGCGAGAGCCGGGTGCATCTGATGTCGCTCCACTACGGCGAGCGTGGGCCCCGGTTCCACATGTTTGTGCTGAACAGGTTCTTGCTGTCGTTCTTCCCGCGGGAGGGAGAGGTGCGCCCGTGGAGCGTGCATGGCTGGGATGCGTGGGGGCCGAAGAACACGCGGTTCCTGGAGCATAACGTGAACTTCCAGTGGCTCAGGTGCGTGTGCGGTGTTGCACGCGATGCGGTCATCACTGAACGGGCGTCGCTATAGATACGTGCACGGGTCTCGCGTCGCGCTTCCGCCATTTTTCAACACGTGGCCGGTGCTGGAGTCGACGATCTGCGTACTCGACTTCAACGTCCATCCCAAGCGGATCGACCACACCGTTATGTCGGACGGAGACCGAAACCAGTACCAGCTCGTCACCGACTCCTCGTGTGTCCCGGCTGGTGCGGTCTTTGAAGAGGACGTGGTTACGTCCCTGCCCTACGCAGCGTCGACACGGTCAGGCAAGTTCCAGTACTCTGGATTCATGATCGATGATGAAAGGATCATTGGGATGAAGGTCCGTTCTCCGCTGGCCAATCATTCTATTCCTTTGCTGATGATCACATTTCAAGTCAATGGCATTCGCAGAGGGGGATATGAGCGATGTAGACGTATACACGTTCTAGGAGGCTCCCAGTTCGGACAAAAGGCCTGTGGAGCATACTAATGTACGGTCGCACTTCGCCTCCACCTGTCACTCGACTCGGGTTGCGTCAAACGGGAAGCGCTCGGCCGAGCGCTACCCACGTGCGATGTATCGCTGGCGCGAGAGGATGTAGCCTACTGTACAAAAGAATACGGAAAAGCAGTCTACAATAGTAGTACAGATCGGACATGATAAGAAACAATGAAAACAAGGAGAGAGGGGGCAGATGCGAAGCTTCGAAGTCTGACAGACTTCTAGTGAAATATAATGTGTCAGCTACTAAACAGCAGCATGGAGGACCCGCGTACGTGAGATATAGTGTGCCTTTGTTTGCGCGATACGCTAAAATATACGAGGCGTACTATATCTGTTCACGGCGGGTGAGCTTCGCGATCAGCGGCGAGGCGGCTGAATCGGACGTACCTGCGGGCGGCAGCGAGAATGATCTTCGCTCGGTACGGGTTAACTGTTTAGGATAAGCCATTGACTCACTTCGATTAATTATCAGAGCGACTATTTGAACGGCCTTCGAGTTTCAGCGGCCGTTGAGATTTTTGTACCCAAAACCTACCTTGATTCCGAGAAGGTATCTCTTACTTTCTCACTCCTGAACTAGGGTTAGGACGTTATGACGACAAAATCCTTAATTTAGGGTTTCGATGTGAGTGGAGCAAGCACTTGCACCGCGTTCGCTTCGTGTTCCCGGTATTCCACGCTCTCTTCTCTACCACCATCTTCAACCATCTTGTCGACAAAATACTACGTAAGAGCATATACAACGCAGGCGATATGTCTGGAGCAACAGACAAGTCAGCCGAAATCCTAGTTTCCGTCCCTGACTGCGTCGCCACTCACGTCCTCGGCGAAACGACTGCGGAACTGGCTCATGGCGACCTCATCCTCATGCTGACGAAGTCGTCGGATGTCTCTGCGCCGGCAGCACCGTCTGCGAACGGAACCAGCCAGCAGCCGTTGCTGACGCTAACGGTCGGGGGCGCTGCATTCCCTTTGTTCAAGACGACGACTTTCGGGACAATAAATGATGACGAGAGGGTGTATGTGTTCACGCCCGAGATTGGAGGAGAAGTCGGAGGGTGAGCTGCTCGACTTTCATCGCGCACCGTCTTCTGACTGAGGCCCCACGCCGTGATAGCTACGTGAGGATCACCCTGCCGGAAGGTGTCACAGTGCAAGGGTCGCCTTTCGAGAAACTGCAGACGCAGTTTGAAGAGATCCTCGTACACCACGGCTTGTTGAAGGAGGGTATAGAGGCTGTGGCGGACGAGCTCGGAAAGAGCATGCGAGAGGACTCGGCAAACGTAGCGCAGAGCGTTCGGAAGTCTACATCCGAGTGCGTACCCAATTCGCCAGCGTCTACGGGGGCTAACCTCACAAGACAGCTACTCAGCGGGCAATCCGCCGACGGACGCCCCCCTTCCAATTCCTGACGCGTTACATTCAGCAGCGTCCACTAGCGCGGCAGGCACAGGCACACTCGCTTCCGCCGTCGGGGGCGTCACAGGGGCGGTGACCTCCGCAGCGGGACTCGCGGGCGCATGGATCGCCTCGCACGTCGTACCGACGACCACGCCCGCAACGCAGACGCTGAGCTCCATGTCGAACGCCTGGGACACCGCCTCCGACGGTTACGTCGCGGGCACCACGGAGGTCAAGTCGGCGGTGGCGGATTCGGCTGGTGTGCGCGTGGAGAACGAGTTCGGGCCGGACACCAGATCAGTGGCGGAGGACACAGGCGCGAGCGTGGAGAACGTGGGCGCGGCGGTCGGGGATGTGCTCGTGACGGCTAGCGGGCCTGGGTTGGCGACCGCCGGGCTGAAGGGCGCGGCAGGGACACAGCTGAAGGAACAGGAGGAGAAGGACCTGAGAGAGGGCCAGGAGGAGGAGGACGGTAAGCTTGAAGACGTATCGTTTTGAGCGGAAGCTCAGCTTTTGGCAGACATCAAAGTATATTAGTAGTGCGGAACTGTGTCCTTAGTCTTATGCATGTAATCGTAGCCTGCCTTGGATTCAAGTTGGTACTACGTGAATTGTACTTGGGATGGTATTGAGCGAAGGCTGAGGTCAGGATGATTAGGGACCGTCGACAAGTGGTCCGTGTCTCGCTGTGGCATGCTCCGTGCAATACATGGCCGAGAAACAGGTGCAGGATGTGAAGGCACGACGACGGCGAGGTCAAACTCAAGATCGCCCGGAGCGTGAATCTCGGTCACATGACATGGATGTCGCGTCGTGTCGCGTCAAGTCGCGTCATGGTCGCCGGCTTCGTAACTTACCTCTTACCTTCATCACAGCTTTATCCAACCTTTGTCGTCTCTGCACCGAAGTGGGCTCAAAATTATACAAATAAAATGCAATCTCCAACAAGATCTGGAGTGAGAGGCAAGCCCAAATCACTGCCATCACAACCCTAATCGCCGACTTCAGAGTCCACTGGCAAACACTTACATAGGCCTAGGGCCCCCAAATCTGAGGCTCATGGATAGCTGAGCTTTGCATGAGTACTGGTTGCAAGTATCTACCTTCCAAGTGAGTCTATTGTAACACACCATATCTTCGCCGCGTTGTCCATAAGTATATGCTATCTAGCGCATATACATTACACCAAGTGCGTATATGCACTGCATGCCTGCGTATCTTTACCTTACTGTGGTGTTAATACTCACGGACGTATCTATGTAGTGAGAAAAGCGAACTACGACACTTGCTGGATATGTACGAGGAACTGCTAGCCAGCCCTCTGTCCGACTCTCAAGCTGCTGATTCATGACGGCGCATACACAGGGTCTGAATCCTTAATGATACTCTGCTGTCTCTCCGAGGACAAGAAATGGCGCAAAGACACCCTTGCACGATGGAGCACGTACGTGATTTCTTATTGTGCACGACTTCAATAGTCGCACCACCAGCTGTAGGTCTAGGCTTTGCCCCAGACAAGTGTTCGGAACTAAAGCCCTTGATAGCAAGTCGAGCTCATCAACTGTCCACGTCGATCCATTTTCCGTGGCGCGTCTCAAGGAACAACGCGCAGCGCGTGCTCGCCAACTCCGAGTCCAGCGTCGAAGCTCAACTGCGAGAAACGATTAAAGGTAAGTACATGTTTCTCACAGTAGCTACGTTTATGAGCTGATGCCTTGATAGTCAAGCAATGCACCCCGAGCTATTCAGAGTCAACAAGCTAATAATCGTTCCTTGTTACCTTTCAGTACGCACTATCATATAAATCGACTTCGGAGGTGAGCTGGATAGCTCACTTGCCGTCATGATTGTCACTCCCTCGCTCTCTCAACATATCTTGACGCTATATTAAGCACTTGATCATCTCGCGGATTCGACTCGCTATGCCATGGCTCATCTGTCTGCTGCTGGCTGTCACCTATCAGCACTCAGTGCCATGCTGGCATAGTCGTATGGCTCACTCAAGTGTTCTCGGGCTCGACGGACGGACTCTGCCACTTCGCTGTTTCGGTTCTGTCGCCATCTCTGCCTTGCCTGACGAACCGGCTTTCATCGGAGTCCACTGTACCCTCGCTGCCCTTGTTCAAGTTCACTCCGAGTCGTCGCCTTCAAGCCTATCTTCTTTCAACTCAGTCGTTCCCCAGCCTCCGTCCCTCTTCGCTTCCATTCTCTCATGCACGAATATACCCCTAAACTACATTGCATCGATGCAATGTTTTGCTTATAATTCCCTACTGGCTTTGGTACGTATTATCGAACCTGAACATTGTCTGACCCTCGCTGACAATTGTCTGCCTTTTCGATGTTATGTCATAGTCACATTATATTGGGCATCAATAGCCCGACCGGCCGGTATGTTGGCGGCTCTGAATCGCACAGACGGTCCCAAAGGCTGCAGAATGAATGCACATCGGTGCGATAGGTATCAAATGCTCAGATATGAATGATGAACATGGAATACTACAGATCGGCTACCTTGACGTTCGAGTAAGTGATGGATTGCTAAAGACGCCATAATATTGTCTTGGAGACATGCGCAGCGTGTTTCTCCGCAGTGATACAAGCCTGTAGAGGCGGAGCGGCCGTCTCAACTACTTAAGTTCTTTTAGTGTAGCAAGTCGTTGTCAATGCGGCTTCCTTCTCGTCGCTGCGGAGGCCTTAGAACGGTACGCGAGGCATTAATATTTGATGCGTGCGAGAAACCAATACTTATAGTGTAGGAGGTTGGACACCAGTGACCGCACATATCCTACTTACAATGTCGAGCCGCCGGAATCCAACTATACCCGCTGACAGTGGACCATGCTGTATGGCCTATTCGCTTGCCCCCATCCCCGATAAGCCACCATTGATAGGACGCCGCCTCACGAAAGATTTACAGCGTTAACGATGACTAGAGCCGCTGCCCTTCGCAGTGAGCTCGAACTTACTGCCAGGCAGCCGCAGACTAATACCTGCAGGCTGTCCTCCTGATCGTCGCGGACTTGGTTCAACTTGAGCAGGCCGGCCGCGGCACGGGACGGATGAGAAGGAAACGGGCGCCTGCACGATCGCTCCTCGGCTCTTCCCAGCGGCTATCTCGATTCCTACGTCCGCGCTGCCTTATCTTCCGCCAAGGTTCCACGGGCGCGATGGCTCTTCCCAATCCCAGCAGCAGACGGGGCGCTGCGCTTCTTGACTGCGACCATGACGGACAGAACGAGCGCGAAAGACGTGAGGATCGCTACGGACACGGTCATGGACGGTGACATCGACGAGGCCGAGCTCGCGAGGATGGGTTACAAGCAGGAGCTCAAGTGAGTGGCAGAAAGTGGTGGACGTCGAGGTTGTTTATTTTCTGCCATAGGCGGGACCTGGGACTGCTGCAGGTGAACCTCTTGCTTCCTTCGATGGTTCGTGTGATTGACCCTTGACACTGACAGAACTTCGGCGTATCCTTCTCGATCATCAGTGTTATCACCGGGGTCAGCTCTCTGTTCGCATATGGTCTTGTGAGTAGCATTCCGAGGTCGCATTTGGTATCACTTGTTTGAGCAATGGACAGAACACTGGAGGGCCTGCTGTAATGGTCTGGGGCTGGATTGTTGTCGGTATGAACAATAGCATGTGCGCGTCGAACTGCATCCACTGACACTCATATTGCAGCATGCTTCACGATGTGTGTAGGTCTTGCCATGGCAGGTGCGTCGACAAGCTGCACCGTAGGCTTGTGGACTGAAATTGGTCGAAGAGGTCTGCAGTGCGCATCCGACGAGCGGTGGTCCCTACTTCTGGGCAGCTATGCTCTGCAAGCCCGAGGATGCCGCTTTTGCGTCTTGGATAACAGGTTGGTTCAACCTGCTCGGCCAAGTGGCAGTGACAACCGGTATCAGGTGCGCTTCATTCACTGTACGAATATTTACTTGCTCACGCTATGTGCGCCAGCTTTGCTTGCGCGACCTTCATTTCCACGCTCGCGACGTTCGACACCACGTTCGTCCCCCGGCAAAGACGAACATTGGTATATACGCCGCCGTACTCATTGCCCAGGGTCTCATCAACACCTTCGGTGTGCACCTCTTGCGCTACCTCAACAATATCTCCGTGTGGTGGCATGCAATCGGGACTGTCGCGCTCATCATAGCGGTCCTCGCTGCAGCACCGTCACACCAATCGGCCCACTTCGTCTTTCAGACGTTCGTCGATGGCACAGGCATCGACGGCCCCGGCTGGAGTCAGCGAGCCAGTCCCGCATACGTCGTCATTGTCGGCATCTTGATGGCGCAGTACACACTGACAGGTATTTTACCCACCTATTGCATTGCACGCGCGACTAATGTGCGTAGGTTTCGACGCTAGTGCTCATGTGAGTGATCCAAAGCGCGCCAGTCGTTGAGCGCGCTGACATGTTTTGTGAACAGATGACGGAGGAGACGCACAACGCTGCCATGTCTGGGCCTATTGGTATCGTCATGGCCATCGGTGTGTCTGCGGTGCTCGGGTGGTTCCTCATCCTCGGTCTGCTGTTCTCCATCCAAGACCTTACCAACACCGTCGGGAGTGCGACGGGCGAACCGGTTGCCCAGATATTCCTCGACACCGTTGGGGAGAAGGGTGCCATCGTCCTGATGGTGAGTCAGCAACCCTTGCTGTTATGTTCCGACGGCTTAGCAAGGAATGGCGCTGGATAGGTCATTGTCATTGGCTCGATGTTCTGGTGTGGGACGTTCTCTATCACATCCAATAGCCGCATGATGTACGCCTTCGCGCGTGACGGCGGTATCCCAGGGCACACGTTCTTCCACAAAGTCGACGTCAAGCGCAAGTCGCCGATCCGGACTGGTACGACCGTTCCCTGTCTTTCCCCTTCTCTTCGCTGACTTCTGTGTCAAGTCTGGCTGGCGTGCACGCTCAGCTTATCTTGGGTCTGCCGAGTCTGGGCAGCTCGGTCGCCTTCTCCGCCGCAACCAGTATCGCGACCATTGGACTGTACATTTCGTACGGTATCCCAATCGCGCTGCGCGTCATCTACGCTCACGCTTCGTCCGCGGGCCGTTCACCTCGGGCGTTTCGCTTCCCATCGCGACCGCCGCAGTGCTCTGGATCTGTTTCATCACGATCGCGTTCATCCTTCCCGAGAGAACCCCGTGATTCACAGACGCTAAACTACGCGATTGTCGCGGTGGGCATCGTCGTCACGTATAGTCTTGGTTCTGGGTCATCAGCGCGAGAAAATGGTTCACGGGCCCGGTCAAGCAGATCGCTGGTAAGTTTGGTTGTGTTTTGCACTAGGATGTATTAACTCTGAACGTCCAGCGGAAGCAACTGGGGTCGACGTGATGGACCCCGCAATCGCAGCAACGGTAGTCGAGCCCGAGAAAGGCAGCGACGGAAAGGGCTCTATCTAAGATGATGCTACTTACAGTATGTATAATTCTTGTACGATTCGCCGATTATACCTCTTTAGACCGAGTGGTTGGACACCGCCTATCTCAAGGTTACGAACGCGACATCGACAACGTCTGTCGAGTGTTTAGTAGCGCAGCATGGTCTGACGTCGACATCGTACTGACAGTACGGCTAAGACCGGAATACGAGGTGTTTTAGGTAAGACGTCGGGGAATTATCCGGGTAACAATGCTTTCAGTCGCCTCTGACCATGTGATACCATCCTGTGAGGGCCGAGGTGTTCTTTCGAGCCGGTGCACATTCACACTACTTACTGTCCGACTGCGCGACAACCCCTTGCAGTTGTAGAGATTTGAGGAAAGAATGCTGACTGAGACAGCCAGTTGTATGCGGGGTGACGGGTTATCTCGCCGTGTCACGTGATCGTGACATAGCGCGTTTGCGTGGCGTGTAACGGTCGGCTCTTTGAGTCGATGTGGAGTCCTCCTCTCCTCGCTCCTCACTTGTTGCTCTGACGCAATGGAGACATGGTGGGACTTCTTGTGACATTTTGGGCTATGCTGACCAGGCTTTTACTGCCTCGTCAGTGAACCGCGCTCCGAAAGGTCGTGGGACCTCCAGACTCCTTTCGCAAAACATGTTGCTACACTGGTGAGCATTGTCGCGTGTAGTACTTTCACCAGTCTTACATTATGATGGCTATATGCGCTCGATGCTACATATGAGAGGCATACATCACTTCGTTGCGACGTGCTGAAGACCTCGCCTGGGAGCGCCTGTATGCGCACGTCGACCCGGAACGAAGGTGTACTAGGACCCTCACGGGTGTTGTCCATCACTCGAGATCCTCACCTCACTGGAGGCGCAGCATATATCGAGGCGGAGGTGTGTCATCTCCTGGTTCCACTGAAGACACTCTTATTTCCCATCTGACCGCGGCGGTCAGGCGACATCTACAAGGATACTCTGTTACCTGCTGCTTGCTGCTATCCGGTGAATTCAATCAAATCTATTATAACGGACGTCTCTGAAATGTCAGGGTCCCATTATGCTATGGACCGCGTCTACGCCAAGTTTCTACCGACAGGCCTGCGATCTCGCTGTGGTCGTGAGCTTCTGGCTCAGCATACCACCACTCGCTTCGATACCAGACTACCACCATCGGTCTGCAAGCCTTGGGCCGGCTCTATTGTGGAACAAGCGCGTGTCTGCTCCTTCTCGGCCTCCATCCACTCCTCAATCTTTCTACGGAACGCGCTTGGCGACTTTCCGTTCTCACTCTTCTCCATGGCTGCTCCCTACGTTTGCTTCTGTCGCCACCTCTATCGCGTCATGGCTCAGCTTGCCCCTGTCACTTGGAGTCCCCGGAAGTATGTGGTGCGACCCTGCGAGACTCGGTGCCCCTGTCTCAAGTCTGCGACATCCAATGGCTCTGCTGTGACACCGACTGCGGATTGCAAATTTGCGCCTGGCTGCTTGGTCTCATGCTGTTCTCGAGTTCCGAGCTGTGTACTACTATTGCCCGAAAGTCCCTGCTCCGGTGACTGGGTCTAGTGCTTGGTATCTGAGCTTGATGGCCGCGCAGAAATGGACCACATGCACATCTAGTCACCCTGGCAAGGCTCTGGAGGCTGGACTAGTATGTTTCTATCATAGCCTAATCCTGGACATGTCTGTTCAAGTGTCCTTGCAGGCAAGACGGCAAAACTGGACCCTCCATAAATATCCGCGTGTGTTCCCCGCACTGTCTCCAACAACGTGGCCACAAGTTGAATGCAACGCCTATCGGTTCTCATGCGCTTACTATCTGCCCTGCGACGTGCTGTGCGCTCACCTGGTTTACTTGCGGCGCAGAAGGCCAGAGCGCCATCGATGTCACAGTCCGGGGTGTCCGCAGGCGGTCCTCTGGCGTCCTGGGCGCAGCGACGAATGCACTCATTCTTATCATTCCGTGAAACGAACATCGCAGGACACATAACCTGAGTCATGCTGGCGTCCTCTCTCACACGATTACAATCGGCCTCTCGGGGAAGATCTTCTCATACCCTGCGATCGTCAAGTGTGGATCTGTCGAAGCCGCATTACTGGTCAATATCTATAGACGACATTCCTGCGGGCAGTCTTTCGCGCCAATGGCTGTTACTGTGGTCCCACGCTTGCTTCCAAACCTTGTACCCATGCGAGCCTAACAAATCGAGTCTCAAGTCATACTACAACTTCAACCAGGTCGAATATCCTCACGCGGAAACTATGGCACCGGCGATTTCGTTTCGCGGTCACGCAGCCTGTGACACGCAACTGTGGACTGTGGACGCAGTTGTGCGACGTTGGCGACGTAGGCATACAGCGCCAACATAGTTCCGATGCCATGTCAATCGCTCGGAGGCTTGCCAATGATCCTGTTTGAGGCAGAAATCGCCCACATAACTTGGAAAGCACGGAGGAAAGCTGCGACTCTAATAAGGCCACTGGGAGCTTGTCTGACCTTGTCCGCAGTCTTGGACCGGAAGCATACCAAGCGTACGCCCTGGGCAGTCACGTGTGCAACGATTACGGGTAACGATGCTAAGATTAGCACCGCTTCTGCCACGCTTCCCGAGGACGGTCGAGATCTGATCGCAGGACTGGCATCTCGCCAGAATTGTCGTGCAATAATGGTGGCGACCCCGCGCCGCGTTTTCTCCCAGGTGCCAGCGGGCGCATCGTCGTGGCAAACCGCCCAACTCAAAGACCACGCTCTTTTCCTGGATACCCTTGGATACCCCCCCGCGCCTGCCTGCTGCCCACTGCCATCAAACGCCATCAATTGGCACATCAGCCGCGCCGCCACAAGTGCTGATGAGTCGACAGCGCAACCCGCACTGCCTCCCCCCTGTGGGCAGCAGCAGTGCGCCCCCATCCGATGACCCTAACACCCCGGCGCCTGCTGATGCTTTCTTCGTTGCCTCCACCACCCATCGGTACACTCCCTCTCGTTCCCTTTTAATGGCTTTGTTTTCTATCTTTCGTCGGCAGCAGGACGTCGATGGCGACGCAACGGAGTTGCTGCCCACGCCAGACAAGATACCCGCTGATTACTCTGCAGGCAGACACCAGAGGCAGCCCAGCGGGTCGACATCTTACTCCATGCAAGAGTCGACACTCGCCCCAGGAGATGAGGGCTTTGACTTTGAGTCCAGTCTACGGGACGTAGTAGACAAGTGAGTACCACTGTCTTACACGTTCCAACTTCAGCTCACCTATCTCGTTCGCCAGACTGGATCGCTCGGACGTCAAGCGCAGGGAGCTTGGTGTCTTGTTTGAGAAGTTGCGGGTAGTCGGCCTTGGCGAGTCGGCCGCGATTCAGTCAACATTCGGTTCGACCCTCAATCCTGTCAACTGGATACAAGGCATCCAGCACATGCGCCATCCAGCAACCCGGGATATTCTCAGTGGGTTCGAAGGTGTTGTGCGGCCAGGCGAGATGCTCCGTGGGTTTCATATTCATCATGTTGTTCTCCGTGTTCTGAGCCTTCGGCACAGTTGTCCTAGGGAGACCAGGCGCAGGTTGCACGACGCTCTTGCGTACTCTCGCCAACCAACGAGGCGACTACCATGCCGTTGAAGGAGACGTGTTCTACGACTCGTTGTCGCACCGGGATGTCGAGAAGTACTGCCGTGGCGACGTTCAGTACTGCCCTGAGGACGACCTGCATTTTCCGACCTGACGGTCGAGCAGACACTCCAGTTTGCGTCCGTCACACGCACGCCCTACGGGCAGCTTGACGCTACGACACGACAGAGGCACGTTGATGTCATGACTGATGTTCTCAAGTCCGTCTTCGGGCTCCGGCATGTAAAGGATACCCTGGTGGGCGACGCCTCCATCCGAGGAGTCTCCGGTGGTGAGAAGAAGCGAGTTTCGATCAGCGAGACCCTTGCTACGCGCAGCCTCCTGACGTGCTGGGATAAGTGCGTCAATCTATATTTCGTGTGTTATTCTTAGGATGCTCATTTCCGCCTTGCAGCTCAACACGAGGCCTTGAGTAAGCAAATATGCCCCCTTCTCCTGCTCAGGCAACAATTGACGGGTTACTACAGCTCATCGACTGCGCTCGAGTTCGTCAGAGCTCTTCGGACGGTTACTGATGTGACACGAATATCGACCGTGGTCTCGATCTATCAGGCCGGAGAGCAGCTCTACGATCACTTCGACAAGGTCTGCGTTATCTATGAGGGACGCATGGCATACTTCGGCCCGGCGAACAGGGCACGACAGTACTTCATCGATATGGGGTATGAGCCTGCCAACCGCCAGACAACAGCCGACTTCCTCGTTGCCGGTGAGTCGCATACTTGTCTTCATTTTTATCAATGCTGAAGTATATACTGCAGTGACTGATCCCAATGGTCGGATACCTCACCCTGGCCGGAGTCTGCTGGCGCCACGGACGGCAATCGAGTTCGCTGACTACTTCAAGAACTCGGAGATCTCGCACATGAACGGGCAGACATGGAGCAGTACCGCAGCTCTACGTGGCCAAGCCTGAGCTGCGGAGGGCATATCTTGAGAGCGTCCGTTCAGAACGCTCGCGCACACAACAAGAACAGCCCCTTATGCTCTCGATCCCTGGTCAAGTCCGTGCGCTCATGATCGAGAGTGCAGATCATGCGGGAGCGATGACTGCTCTGCTCATCGAACTTGCGTATGTGTTGATTTGCCCTGCATTGATATTTGCGGTCTCATGCATGCACCCACAGCTCGTTCATCATCCTTGCACTGATCGTGGGAACGATCTATCTCCGGCTCAAGGCCGATACGTCGACGTTCTTCTCGCGGGCCAGTGTCATCTTCTTGTACGCTTGGTCTTTATTTCGCGGAATGGTGCGCAGATGCTAACGCCAATGTTCTAGTGCGTACGTCTGGTCAGGTCTCTCGACCATGGCAGAGATCCCGACCCTGTTTGCGCAACGTCCCATCATCCTGCGGCAATCAAGGGCATCCATGTACCACCCGTTCGTCGATGCCCTCGCGCTGACGCTTGTCGACATTCCTATCACGCTTGTTACGATGATTCTTTTCTCAACAATCCTGTACTTCCTCGCGGGACTGCAAGATTCGGCCGGACAATTTTTGTGCGTCGTGCCGATTGTTTTCAAGTGCTACGCGTGCTAATGTTGTCTGCAACAGTATTTTCATGCTTTTTCTTTGCGTCATGACCATCACGTTGAAGGCCTTCTTCCGGAGTATAACAGCCGCATTCTCAGACCCTGCACCTGCAACCGCTGCGGCGGGTATCCTGATGCTTTTCTTGGTCTTGTACACCGGTTACCCTATCCCCGTACCCTCGATGATCCCGGCCCTGTCATGGATCACGTACATCAACGTAAGTGGCGGCGTCTTACTAGCTTTTTACCCAGGTCTCATGTGTTATGGTATCTAGCCTCTCAAATACGGCTTCGAGGCGCTCATGCTCAACGAGTTCTCGACCTTAAATGCCAAATGCGAAACCCTGATCCCCGCTGGCGTGGGCTATGAGAACATCACACTGACTAATCAGGGATGCGCTGTCGAAGGATCGCAGCCTGGACACGCTACCGTCAATGGGTTGGCATACCTGAAGGACGCGTACGGCTTCGTCGCTGGCGACCTGTGGCGAGTGAGTTCAGTCCGTAGTTTGGGCCCTATACCCTGGCTTAATTTTGAACAGAACTTCGGCATTCTATGCGCGTTCTGCATCCTCTTCGTCGGGCTCCTCGTCCTCCTGACCGAGTTCAATAACGGCTCTTCTGGCGAGTCCGCCTCTGTCCTCTTCAAGGAAGGCTCAAAGGCGGAGGACATATCCAACGGCCCAGCCAAGGGCGGCGACGTGGAGAAGGGTGTTCCTGCCCACACGTCGGTCCGCATGTCCTTCCCGAACACCGGCGAGAAGACACCCACCTATGTGAAGAAGACCCCAGTCAAGGGTAACGTCTTCTCCTGGCAGCGGTTGTGCTACACCGTCCCTGTGTCTGGAGGCAACTACCGGAGGATTTTGGACGAAGTCTCAGGTTACGTTGCTCCGGGTAAGCTCACGGCCCTGATGGGCGAGTCGGGCGCCGGCAAGGTGGGTTGCTCTCGCGCTGTGGACATGAGGCGGCCCGACTGATAGGTGCTGACAGACCACGCTCCTCAATGTTCTCGCGGAGCGCGCCGGCGAAGGCTACGTGACAGGGCAACGCTATATCAACGGGTTGCCTCTGCCGCGCGACTTTCAGGCTCAGACGTATGTGTTGGACGGTTTGATAGTGTGTGACGGATGGCTTACGACTTGATCCAGTGGCTACTGTCAGCAGACCGACACGCACGTCAAGTCTGCGACCGTGCGTGAGGCTCTTCTATTCTCGGCGAAACTGCGCCAACCGGCATCTGTACCACTCGCGGAGAAGGAGGCATAGTACGTGGGAAGTCGGATATGTCAAGCCGATGTCTGACTTGTTCTCTTCTCAGCGTCGAGGAATGCATCAGGATGTGTGGCCTCGAACCCTACGCTGACGCCATTCTGGGTACCCTTGGATGCGAACAGCTCAAGCGCACCACCGTGGGTGTTGAACTCGTCGCCAAGGTAGTCTATTGCATGATTATACCTACGAGTAAGCTGACACATTGACTTCTAGCCGTCGCTGATCTTCCTGGATGAGCCTACTTCGGGATTGGACTCGCAGAGTGCATGGGCTATTGTTGGTTTCTTGCGACAGCTCGCCGACAGTGGCCAGTCAATTGTGTGCACGTGAGTACAGTAACAGTCTCATCTGGCCTGGTGCTTAAGCCATACTGTAGTATCCATCAACCGTCTGCAGAACTGTTCGAGGTATAAATCCCACCAACGTCCTAACATGCTCATAGCTGAATCTCTTCCTGAAAGGTCTTCGACAAGCTCTTGTTACTTCAGAAGGGCGGACAGACCGTGTACTTCGGAGATCTCGGTCCTGGCGCAGCTACCGTTCTCAAGTACTTTGAGAATAGTGGTGCGCGGAGATGCGAGGCCCTCGAGAACCCGTAAGCTCAATGGTGTGTTATTGTGGGAATGCTCTCTAATTTGGACCTCAGTGCAGAGTACATCCTGGATGTTGTCGGTGCAGGCGCTACCGCGATGTCGAAGGCAGATTGGCACGCCGCCTGGAAGCATTCGCCCGAAGCGCAGGACTTGCATCAAGATCTCGACTTCATCTGCATGGCCGGCGCTGACCGTCCCGCAAGCGGCGACCCTGAGCCTCTCAGATACTGTACATCCTGGGCGTACCAGCTGGCGACGTTGCTCCAGAGGGATGCGCGCACTTTGTGGAGAGATCCGACATACCTGATTGCGAAGATGGCTGTCAATGTTTTCTGCGCTCTGGTCATTGGCTTCACGTACTGGAAGTCGCAGAGTACCATTCAGGGAACGCAGAACAAGCTTTTTGTGGGTTATCTTCCATGACAACGCGCGATCGACTACTGACCGTCATGCTTGTCTTGCAGTCGATCTACATCTCCACCTTCCTTGCAGCGCCCCTCGTCGAACAGCTCCAGGTTCCCTTCCTCGAGATGCGCAGTATCTTCGAGATTCGCGAGCAGCACAGCCGCATGTACAAGTGGTCCGCTCTGATCACCTCTCAGCTGCTTGTCGAGATCCCGTGGAACATCCTCGGCTCCTCGCTGTTCTTCGTCTGCTGGTACTGGACCGCTGGCTTCCCGACGGATCGTGCTGCGTACACCTACCTGCTCTTTGGCGTCATATATCCGTTGTACTACACTTCGTTTGGCCAGGTCGGTCATTCCTTCTGCGTATGTGGCACCATACTGACAGAGAGCATGTACACAGGCTACAGCAGCAATGGCTCCCAATGCTGAGATCGCAGCGCTGATCTTCAACGCGCTGTTCGCCATCATGATCGTCTTGTAGGTCCCTGCTATTATACGATGCCGCTCCGCATTTTCATCTGTTATACAGTGATGGTGTCCTTCAGCCTTACCGCGAACTCGGCAAGTGGGTGTGGATGAACAAGATCTCGCCATCCACGTACTTCGTGGATGGTTTCCTTGGTCAAGGTAAGTCAACTGCGTATGGGATTAGGTTGACAGTGGCTGATGGCTTGTATGTGTAGCCGTCGGAAGGACGCAGATCTCCTGCTCTTCCGTGGAGTTCATCAAGATCAACCCTCCCTCTAGCCAGACCTGCATGCAGTATCTGAGCAAGTACATGGACATGAACGGCGGTTACTCACGAACCCGAATGCCACGACGCAATGCAGCTTCTGCCAGTACAGGACAACGGACCAGTTCCTGGCAAGCCGGAACGTCTCCTACGACAACCGGTGGCGGAGTCTCGGCATCTTCATCGGATTTACGGTCTTCAACGTGCGTACACTCATATTGCTCGTTCGCGTTGTCTGACTGACCCCCGCGAGCACAGGTGGTCGCCATCTATATAATAACCTATTTCTGCCGAGTACGGACTGGCTCGCTTCTTGACTGGCTACGATCACGATCTATACCTCGCTGGAGGAAGCCCCAAAAGCCCACTCGGACGTAACTTATTGAGGAACTTTGGATATACGGTAGCACCCATGAACTGTACTTGTAGATTGCTAGCCATATAATAGTCTACGTGCACGTCGAATCTAGTTTTCATGTCCGGCCCATGAACGTAGTCACAGGGTGAAACAGTGAGTAACTCGATGAACCCTCTATACCTCTGTGGAGTGTCCGGGGCTCTTGTGGCCAACTACTCACTTCTCACAACGTTGAGTTGAACTGGCATACTGATACAATGACTCGAATACAATGCAATTTACTGATACAGCGATTCCTTCATGCCCTTCACCACTTCTCGTGCGCCGGGCGGACTGGTGATCGACCATGATCAGGAAAGTCCAGTCAAGAGTGCATCGAGGACTCACGGTCGAGCTCCCAAGTCCATGCAGAGCGGTCTTGGTTGGCCAGGTAAGGTAGCTCTGTTGATTGCACAAGACGTCAAAACCTACGGTCCTGCAACCCATCTCTTCTGCCGCTTACCTTCGCGATGCTCTCCGCGTCAAGACGGATGTCTGCGTTCTCCGCGAACTGCTTCTGCGCCTCCGGCTCGGTGTGGCGGGTAAGAGATCGGTCGGTGAGGATGCCTGTAGGTGTGTGAGTGTCAACCCTGGGAGCGACGGGGTATCGTGGAACAGACCTCCATCGATGATGGCCTTCGGGTCCGTGGCGGCTCCAATCAGCAAGCCGAAGCGTGAACGGAGACTCAGGAGGACCACTTACATGGGCGACCTGCGTAGCACACGTCAGATTGATTGTCGGGAAGAGAGCACCAACAAGCTTACATGGATGTTCTGCTTCCCGAACTCCTTGCTCAAGCTCTGGCTCAGGCGCGCTTGCGAACTTCCCGGCCGCGAACACGCTGGTGGTCACGTTGCCCTCCAGCTCGCGTGGCGCCGGTGAAGAGCAGGGTCCCCTCTTGCCCAGCTCGTTCAGGTCGTTCTCCTGGAACGCCAGGATGATCTGGCGCGAGAACGCGAACGGCGCGACGAAGTTAGCGTCGACCGAGTCGTGGACGTCCTGTTCGGTGATGTCCAGGAAGCTCTTCCACGCCCCGAAGGCGCGTTCCACAGGGCGACGCGGATTCGGCTTTCTCGGGAGATGGCCATTGGTACTTCGATGCCCTCGACTACAGAGATGACCGCGCCGTACGAGTAGTCCTGACGGGGAATGCCGCGCCTGGAAAGGAGAGTACATGATCAGTCTGCGGTCGGGTGGGTCGGTGGACGACTGACCTCCCCGCCTGCTTGCTTCAGTTCCGAGGTGAACTTGTCGAGATGTCCTTGTTTCGGGCGATCAGCGCCACCCTATACCTTGCTTGGAGAAGACGCGGCTGGCAGATGAACGGATCAGGCCACAGACTGTCTGTGCAAGTACTGTACTCACGCCGTAGCGGCACCAGTACCTACCAGCAGTACCAGGTCAGAACCACTTGAGTTGGACGCAGTAGACGCACCTGTGCCGTTGCCAACACCAGCGATCACGATGACAGGTCGAACAGACATGATGGTGGCTCGTGTAAACTACTTTCCTGCGCGGTGGGCGTGGGGAAGATACAAGTGCTGGTGAAGACACGCTCGAGTGACCACCATTATATAAGCCTCTCACCCAGCCAGTGAAGGCCAGGCGTGGTGAGTCAATTGCGTCGGCATATACGCACGAACACGCAATCGCCACCGTTGTAATCTCCGGCGACGTTACTAAGCACACCGAAGAGTCTTATTCAACCCCATGACTGAGGGAGCGCCTGCTGGCCAGTGATCCATATCGCGACAGGTTGTGCAAACGGCTATCATATATACGGCGTCGCACACTCGTAGGGTATGGGAGAGGTACAGGCGCGCCGAAGGATGGGTGCATGCGATGGTCGGTGGTACAAATGCAGGTATGGTACAATGGGTGCAGACAATGGCGATACAACATCAGACATCTCCGGGCACATGAGTGGTCGTAAGGTTAACGCTGCGCGCCGGTGGCAGGGCAGACGTGAGTATGGCGAAGAGCACGCGAGCAGGCGACACTCACTTGACATACAAGCAGGATGGTCTACAAGACTGACGGCAGGTCCAAATGACTGTGGGGAACTCTGGTATCGTCAAGCGGTCGAGACCACTTGTCTGCGGATCGACAGATCAGATCCCGTGGGCAGACTTCGAAATGTGCACTTGACCATACCTGGACAGGCCAAGAAATATTCGTCCATGGCAGTCACGAAACGTTCTTGATACTCGTGAGGAGGAATGACGGTCACTTCCTTCCCGGAGTTGAGATTCTGCTTCGCTTTATATTCTAGGGTCTTTGCGAAGGTGTAGCTCCCTGTAGTATGTGTTAGATGGCGTAGCCCTTGCACACACGATCCAGACGCACCTATGGTGTCTACCAAGCCGCATGCGATCCGTTTGCGGTCTTCGTCGATCCCGAGAAGCAACCTGCAAGATGGTGAGGGCAGGATATGGCGCACGAGACGCAAGCGCATACGAATAGTCCATGATGTTGCTCCTTGCTAAGAAGTCGCAATCCGCCTTGATAGCTCCTGGAAAAGACCTTGGAGTCGGGCGAACCAAAGTCAACGCCCTGCGCTGATCTACAGAGGCAACGTTCATCTAGTCGACATGCAGTTGAAACATCGCGGCCTACCCTCGATCCACTCGCCGTCGAACAGCGTCTTGGACGCCGTTTTGACGCCTTGACCTTGCGCCCCTGGATGCCCTTCAGGTCGAACGTCTTGCTGATCTTCTGGGCATAGAAGAGATTCTCCATGACCAGCAGGTCAGCCCTAGCTTGTGTCGTCCCGCTTTCGAGATTTCGGATCTCGATTGTGTAGAATCCGAGCAACTTCGCCAAGACCGACGGCTTAGCCGCCGTCGAGTCCATGTATCGGAAGTAGGACGGCCCCAGTTCAATGAGGACCTGCCTAATGATACCGGCACATCAGTCAACGGCGCCGTCTGCGATCATAGTACTTACAGATCCGCGACATTCCAGGCGTTGACGAGCGTCTTGATGATGAACTGGTCGTCCGAAGTCTTCCAAAAGTTCGACTTGCTCTTGCCGCCGTCTGCAGTCCAATTCGCGCTCCGCATCAGGCTCTTCAAGAACACGTCCTCCACGCCACATCTCCGCCGAAGCGAGTCAAACTGACGCGCATAGTACACCGTGCAGCTGAACTTGAGACGCTTCCCGATCGTCCAATCATACTTTATGTGGGGCCGCTCGTCGATAGCAGGCAGGTCAGTCGAGAGCAGGCCGTGATGCGGAGCTGCAGGGCTGGAACGCTGTGCGTCTCCGGGGCTGAGCACGTATCTCATGGCGCTTGTGAGGGTGTTGGCAATGGACGGGATGAAAAACGAAGGAGTGGACCCGAACGTCGAAGGCTCGCCCTGCGACACGTATTTCGCAAGTGACTCGGCCGACATCGCAGCGTCCTTCGGCGGCAGCGGCGGGGGAGTGGGGCCCCGGCTGGGGCCCGCGCTCTCGGTGGACGCATTGCTGTTGGTCGACACGATCGAAGCCGACTTCCCTCTCCGTATGTTCGTCTCGACGAAGCCTGAGGCGGAGGAGGAGCTGGACCCGGAGGTCCGCCAGGTATGCACGGCACTGGCATTCGCCTCCAGGTCGTGGAGCAGCTTGCCCGCATCTTCGCCGATGCCGCTGACGTGTCCGCCGGCGGCCTGCGTAGACAACTCGACCGCGGGCTTCGCGCGTGCTGCCGCCGGATTTCCTGGGGTCTTCGTGCCCAAAGAGGAGCTGGGTCGGGGCGACGGCGATCCCGGAGCGTCCGCACCGGGTTTATGTCGCAGGACATCCCTGATGGAGAGCAACGCCGTTGGGTCCTTAGGGTGCTCTTTGCGAGAGATCACCGCTGAATACGTTTCGGGCTCGTGCCATCCAACATCGTCTTGGTCAGGATCTGGTAGTGACGTAGCGCTGGTGAGGAAGCGCTTGAAGGAGGAGCCAGGTGTGAAGAAGGATGACCGAGTCTCGAGCGGAGTAGACGGAGGGGCGGGAGGTAGGGCCGCGCGCGGAAGAGCAGTGGACATGCTCGCCAGTTCACGCTGATAGTCAGCGGAGCTGTACAAGAGTTATATCTCACTATAAACAAATGATCGCGCATGCCGAGTGACCTACCTGAGGGTGAACGCGATGATGCTCCCCCAATCGTCTTCCTTCACGATGACGTTCCCGCCCGGGACAGCATGGTAACCACTCTGCCACCACTCCGGTTCCACGATAGACGGCATACCCCGTGCAGTCCTCATCGTATGCGTATGTTTGGGAAGACCAGAGGAGTGCTTAGCCTCCCACGCGTTGAGCCGTCGCGATGCCCCCTTGGCCGCAGCGACAAACGACCGGCGCACATCGTTCAAAGAGGCGGTGGGCGTCCTGGCGAGCTCCGCGTACAAGTTCTGCTCTTGCCGTTGAAAAGAGTGGCGCAGCCCGGTCAGAAGCTGCATCTCGTCGCCCTCGGATTGGACCGACTGCGACGTGCTTGAAATAGAGATCACCGAGTCCGACGATGCCAAGGGCTTCGCGGGAGTCACCGTCTTCGTAGACATCGTGCTGTCGGTCGAGGCACCGCTCTCTTCCCGGGCCATGGTCACGGTTGGTGTGGAAGCGGACGACGGTAGGCGGGATAACGAAGCCTTGGGCGTCGCTTGGGCAGCCTCGTCCGTCACGTCGTACGCATCGTCCTCCGAGGGTAAGCGCGGGAGAGCCTTCACACGCGTAGTGTCGCCTTCGCCGACGAAGTTCTCTTCCTGGGATGACACTATTGAGTCGCGACGGCAGCATAGAAGGCAGTTGCTGCTCACTAGTTTGTCTATATGCTCCGACAGCCCTTGCCACCAGCGCATGATCTCCTTCCTCAGCATCCGCCTATCGTCGTCGCTGGAGTTTACCTTGACAGGGGAAGCTGGCGCACTTGCCGTTTCCTTATCGGAGCCCTTCTCGACCTGGCGTCGTCGCACGATTTGCAGTCGCGGCACCTTGAGCTCGAATATATCCTCGACGACAGACAGGGAGAAGGTCACCGTCCGCACTCCGCACTCGAACCTCCGGAGGATGTTGAAGCGCGTGCTGGGAAGCGGCGTGTCCTTGGATGCGGCCGAGACAGCGGTGTGCTCGCACAACTCCGGCGCGACCCCGCACATCGCGGGGGAGTAGATGAGCAGCTCGAGGTACTTGCCGAAGGAGAAGAGGCTACCTCATCGGCATAAGCAGCGAAGGTGAGCATGCAGCGACTAAAGCAGACACAGAGGGCAGGGGACAGACACCCACTATGTACCGTCGTGCATCTGCTGCTTGGACGTCTCCTTCCCGCAGACCGCGCAGCTTTGCCACATCGAGATGGGTTCCTTGTCCTTGGGTTCCTCGTCCGCGTTGGCTGGGAGACTTATGGTTGCGACGATGCGAACCCCAGCATGGATCCATTGCATGTCGTGGTCACTGCACAGGAACTGGCAGCCTGGCTCAGGGCACGGCTCCTCCGCTGTCGCGCAGAGACGGCCAATAGTCTCGCCGATCGTTTCGTCCGTCTTGTGGCTGCGCTGGTAGTAGCGGTATGTAGTCCACTTCCTGCGATTCCCGCACGACGTGAAGCGATGCGGTGTTGTGATGGCCGACGATGTTGGCGCCGAGCCCGACGGCGTCGGCGGTTGGGTGGGTGCAACCAGAGGCAGCGGTACATGGGCCGAGTACAGCAGCGAGATGCCCTGCTGTCGGACAAAGCCAGACGTGCCCACCATGCCTCGTCCGAGCGCGTCTTTCCCTTCCCACCCGAGGAGGCTCGTCAGTGCTGCCTTCTCCTCGCCATTGAGCCTCCGCAGCGGGTCCTCCTTCTCCTTCTCGGCGAGGCTGACCAAGACGCTCGGTAAGGGGAAGATGAGTCCCGGCGAAGTCGACACAAGATCCTTGCGTGTCTTGACGTTCCGAAGAGTATCCGCGAACGGCTGCTGGGCGTCCCGTCAGCGGCACCGCGTAGGGCCCCGCTCGACGACGTCGAGATGAAAGAGAAGCGCCGTGGCCGCGGGTGATTGCCCTCCATAGGCCCGCGAGAAGACTGCGAGCGAGTCAACGGGAGCTCTAGCGAACCGCGGCGCGCCACAGACGGTCCAACTGCGGCAACGCGGTGAACGAGGTGCTCCGTTTCTTCGAGAAGAACGACCAGATGCCGCCGGCCACTGCGAGCGTGCTGTCGCGCTTTGGCCGTGCCCTGTTCTCCTTCGCCGTCGACGGTTCGCCGATCGGAGCGCTCATGAAGGAGGGAAGGGTGGCCTGCGGAAAGTGCAGCTCGACATGCGAATTTGACAGCAGATACTGCTCGAGCAACAGCGACAAATACAAGAAGATAGACAGTTTGAGCACCTTAACCAGTGAGGCGTGCTGCTGGGGATCGGTGTCGCCCTTGAACTTGAACGTTCCGCCGACAATCTGAACGCAATCCTCGTCCGCGGCATCATACAGCTCCGCTGTGGCAGAGTAGTGAGCGATCCCAGCGGTCGTCGCAAGCTGCAGCCTTACCATCCCACTCAGCGAGTCCGTACAACACGCGCTCGTGCCCGTCGACGCCGTCCGGGAGCGCATATGTATTGGCGACGAACATGCAGTCTACACCATAGGGCACCATGTCGTACTCCAAGTCCTCCGATGTCCGCTTCGGGGCCGCGCCGTAGGCCTCCATCGTGAGCAGGAGGTGCTTGGAGGAGGGCTTTGGCTGGGGCGGCGTCTGGGCATGGGTCGCGACGAGTTCCCGCAACTGCTCCAGGGCTAGTGAACGAGCGTTCTGGGACGAACCGTGCTCCGAGGCCGGCCGTTTATTCTCCTCCTGCTCGTCTATTCCCTTGGGTGGCCTGGGGAGGGTCTTGTATCTGGCAGCCTTGTCCTCTTGTTCCTTCGCCTTCTCGCTCTCCAGCTTCTCGCGTCGTTGCCGCGCTTCCTCCTCCTGCCTCCGCTTCGAAGCCTTCCGCCGCATGCGCTTCAAGCCAGCCAGCCAGCCACCTCGGGAGATGTTCGCGCCGAGTTGCAGCAGTGCCTTCTTCAGCGCGTTCGCCCAGTTCTCGCGATCCACGGCGACATTCTCGTCTTCGAGAGCCTGCAGGATAAAGCGTTGCAGATGCGCGCGCGCGTCAGCAGTGAGGGCGCTGGAAACCAATTTGTCTCGCGATGGGACGGCTGGGAGAGGTTTCTCTGCTTGACTCATCTCAACGATAGTCAACGCATTGAAGACGAGGACGAGCAGACTCGAGCTACAGCAGCGGGTAGCGGGACGTAAGCGCGCGCGCAGCGGTCAGAGCGATGTCATGCTTTCCTAATCAAGACAGTCACGGGCTTGGGCTTCCGGATACTGAGATCCAGATCTTCAACATGTGTCACGCGCTTCGACATTAGACAAATGTGGTCTGTATAGGGAGCTGAAAACGAGGGAGCCTAAAAGTCGGATATGGCGCGCCGTAGCACTGTTCTATGCACTGGGATACGATGACCGGCGTGGCGGATATGACGGTCACGTGTGAAGCGAGGCGTACCAGCAGCCCGCCTCATTATTACTGAGTGAGCTTGGATGGTCAGTTGCAAGAGAGCGAGAGGGGAATGATTGGCGGTGTGGGGCGCAGCCCGCAGGGCTGCCCGACTCGAAGAGTGTGCCTGGACCTGAGGGGCAACGGGTGAGCCGCGAGGGCGGGCGGGTTGATACCGCAGCCCTGCGCTCCCATTGCCACTGCTGGGCCGCAGGGTAGACACGTCGAGCCAAAAACAAACAAAACAAAGACAAAAACAAAACAAAGATATAAAGAAAAAGCACACATTGGGTTTTTGGCGGCGTGTGCTGCGTGAAGAGGGTGGGGAGGGTGGGGAAAACGAGAGCTATTCGAAGGGCGTAGCGGCCGCGGAGCCTTCGAGAGCGGTCGTCCGAGTGGGCGCGCAGAGGAGAGCGATGCGCGCCTAAATCTCCTCCTGCATGCGTAGACTCACTTCTACGCGACGCTCGTGCCTCGCTTCGCTTAGAATACCATCTATGCACTGGGATACGATGACCGGCGTGGCGGATATGACGGTCACGTGTGAAGCGAGGCGTACCAGCAGCCCGCCTCATTATTACTGAGTGAGCTTGGATGGTCAGTTGCAAGAGAGCGAGAGGGGAATGATTGGCGGTGTGGGGCGCAGCCCGCAGGGCTGCCCGACTCGAAGAGTGTGCCTGGACCTGAGGGGCAACGGGTGAGCCGCGATACCCAATATGAAGACGTCGAGTACGGCGGCGCGTTGCGGCGAAGCCGTTACCCCCAGTCCAGAAGCCGACGAGCCTCGTCGTACATGCTCTGTGAGTCAGTGTCCAACACTGACGACGCCAATGACCCGTATTGTTGATCAACCGGTTCGCAGAGTCCCGCCGGATGGGCGCCGCGAAGCAAACATCGCTCCGCTGACCCTAGGAGGAGCAGTGCCGCGTCGTGCTCATCGAACCCGGTGTGTCCAGCCTGACTCGTGTGCAGTGGATGACACGAGTTCGTTACGCTCGTGCCGACACGAGCCAGTGCCAGTGTAAGCATGCTGCTGCTGCATGCTCCTGACTCGTGTGCAGTGAATGACACGAGCGTGTTATGCTCGTGCCGACACGAGCCAGTGTAAGCGTGCTGCGTCCAGCCCGACCCGTGTGTGACACTCGCTGGCTATGAGCTCGTGCTGACACGAGCCGGTGTAAGCATACTGCGTCCAGCCTGACCCGGTGTGACACTCGCTGGCTATGAGCTCGTGCTGACGCGAGCCAGTATAAGCCTGCTGCGTCCAGCCTGACTCGTGTGTGACACTCGCTGGCTATGAGCTCGTGCTGACACGAGCCAGTGAAGCATACTGCGTCCAGTGTAAGCATGTTGCCTCCAGCCTGACTCGCGTGTGCATGACACGAGCTAGCGATGCTCGTGCCGACGCGAGCCAGTGTAAGCGTGTTGCGTGCAGCATGAAAGAAACTCAGCGGGTTGGTCCCGCCCGGCGACCAGTGAGCGAGAGCGCTGGTGACGGAGCACTGGGCGGCGGTCGAAGGACTCGGAGTCGGACAGTCCACAATGGCAACCGCTGCTCGCTCAGCTGGATGCTCATGTCGGACAAGCTTGCGAGACAGAGACTACGACTCTGTGTTGACCATCCTCCACGCATTTGTGAGTGGTACAATCATTTGGTCGTTGCTCACATAATCCGGCTCTTCGTCGCCATCGGGATTGATGAGCGAAGGTTGTACCATAGTCCCCTTCCTGTAAGCTACAAGTGGTGTAGTCTTAGTGGAAGAAAACGAGAGCTATTCGAAGGGCGTAGCGGCCGCGGAGCCTTCGAGAGCGGTCGTCCGAGTGGGCGCGCAGAGGAGAGCGATGCGCGCCTAAATCTCCTCCTGCATGCGTAGACTCACTTCTACGCGACGCTCGTGCCTCGCTTCGCTTAGAATACCAGAAATGTACCGCGGATACGCTGATGTTCCGATGTTCAACGTTGTGAATTTGGAAGCATGTCCTCCTCCTCGGTGTGCCCGTCGTCCAACAACTTATACATCGACAAGCACAGCATTGGCCTAGCGATGGCATTCACGCTGGCTACGCTCCCGGGCTACTATTCGCTGATCAGCCAGTTACCCTCGTTTACCACTTGCCTGCCCAACTTCCACAAAGCGATGCAACCAAATTCACCGATCGTTCACGTTCGAGTCCTCACTCCCGCGCCAAGTTAACAAGGTTGAACCAGACCGTGCCTTCGAGGCTGGGGAGCGGGGCCACGCAGGCGGGAGATCGGCTTCCCCTTCCCGCGAAGACTCACAGTGGCAGTGTAGCTGCTGTATGTATGTAGTGAGTTTGTTAGCGCCTTGTGACGAGATTCCGCCCTGTACATGTGATGCCACTGATCTGCATTCCATGGATTTTGGAACAGGAGTTGTGTCGCCGTGTCAGTGTGATCGACGTGGATAGTGGACGCCGTTTGGAACCAGCCGCAGTCGTTGAGTATATAAATGCAGACACCGCGCGATGGCCTTTAAATTTCAGGGTCGCTATCTACTTCGAAGCTCACTGACAGCGAATGCATTGATTGGTACGTACCCCGCGATGCGCCGACGCCGACACTGACCATCGTTCCTACCCGCCGTTGATAATTAGCTTTTCCTTCTACCACCACTGATTCCTCCTCTGCACCGGCGCCACCAACCTTTCCACGGAGTCCCGACTTCTCCTCGCACTCACTCGGCATGCATTCCTCAAGCTTCCTCCCTCTTGCAGCCCTCGTCGCCGCCGCTTCCGTTGCGGCAGCACGTCAGTTGATGACTACATGCTCGCGTACGTCGACCACATGTCCTCGTCTTCTTCTATGTTACGATTGACCACGACGCTCGTACTCCAGATCCCGCAGCGACCCGACATTTCCTTGTCCGCGCGCGAGAGCGTCGACACCATGGACGCTGCTGAAGACCCAGAGGCCGGAGTCCTGATCACCTGGTACAACGGCCATTGACATGATCGGTAAATCCCCAGTTGTTGATCGAACCCTACCTAGACGCTTACGGATCCATGGCTCGTGCGTCCTTTATTTTTTATTTGCAATGACAGACCGTTCCTCCATATTACGAAGACTTATAGATGGGCACGCTCCAGTGATGGGCCCGGTCGACTGAGGCAAGCAAGAGCTCGTGAATAGACGGCTACGTACGAGTCGCGGATTTTAGCGGATCGGTGCAAAGTAATCAACCGTAGGCAGACCATGACCGTTTGGACACTTTGACGGCCGGGGGGCGGTCGTACACAATACGGGTCAAATACGGGTGGGTCGCGGTGACGCCGATCACGATCTGGTCTTGCGCTCTGCCACACTGCCCTTGTTTCGGAAGGGACTGTGTGTCCTCCACGTCTGGGATCATCTGCTGTCGCTGCCCAGCGAGCAACTGCACCTCACATCACGCCCGACCCATCTGAACGCCAACCCGAATGTCATGAACTGCTCCTAGTCGCTCTTTGAAACGTCTCATCCAGAGGTGCTCCGCATGAGCAACGCCGGGCCCCGAGTCGGATGTCGATGCCAGTGGGACTCTCCCCGGAGCTACGTTGGTGATAGGTCGGGATATAGCTACGTGCTAGCGAATGCGGATGATGATAGTCGTTCGAGCGTTGTGTTGCGGATGACCGTCCCCGAGCGTAGCTCGTTACGTGCGATGAGTCGAGTTGACCCCGCCGGGTTGTCAGACTTGTCGAGAAGAGTCGTTGATTTATCCGGGTTGAACGTTGAGCGTTGAACTTGGAAGCATAGCCTATGCGACTCCGAGGTGGGACCGCGGCAGGGGCGCCAAACAACTTATTGACCGACAAGCACTGCATTGACCTGGCAATCCTCCCGGCTACCATCCATATCAGCCGTTTCTCCTCGTTTACCGCTCGCCTGCGCAACCACAAATGACTCACCGAAGTGCAGCGATCGTTCACGTTCTCACTTCCCCGCTCCAGACTGAGATTGCCTCTGACAAAGTTAAAGCGGACCGTGCCCCCGAGGCTGGGGATTGGAAGCCGCGCAGACGCGAGGTTGGCTTCCCCTCCGCGAAGGCTCACACAGCAGTGTAGCTGCTATATCTACGTAGTGAGTTTGTTAGCGCCTTGTGATGTGACAGATCCCGCCTGGTGGTGCCACTGATCTGTATCCCATGGAACAGGAGTTGTGCAGGCGTCTCAGCGCAATTGACGGGGACAGTGGACACCGTCTGAGACCGTCATAACCGTCCGACATCCAAGGTCGACCGGAGCCGATGAGTATATAATCGCAGACACCGCGCGATGGCCCTTCAGCTTTGCTATCTGCTTCGAAGCTCACTGACAGCGAGTGCACTGGTTGGTACGTACCCCGCGATGCGTTTACGCCGACGCTCATCATCGTCCTTACCCGCTGTCGACGATTAGCCTTGCTCGATTTTTCGACGTACAGTTGAACGCCTACCATCCTTCTACGACCACTGATTCCTCCCCTAATTCCTCCCCACCAACCTTCCCTCATTCCGGATTCTCACCATACTCGCTCAGTATGCGTTTCACAAGCTTCCTCCCTCTTGCCCTCGTCGTCGCAGCCGCTTCCGTTGCGATAGCGCGCCCAGTTGACGACTACATGCTCGCGTACGTTGTCCGCATGACCTCGCCTTCGGTCCACGACTGACCACAACGCTGGTACTCCAGGTCCCGCAGCGACGCCGACATGTCCTTGTCCGCGCGCGATCTCGAGCTCCTCGACTACCTCGTAGCCCGGAGCGACGCCGACCTCTCCCTGTCCGCGCGCGAGAGCTTCGACATCGTCGACCTCCTCCGCCGGGAGTACCTCCCGGCCGAGCTCATCGCTCGAGGTGCGCTCGACCAGCCCCAGCGCGAGAGCTTCAAGACATTTGAGGAGTACGAGAAGGCGTGGATGCAGTGGAACAGGCGGAACATGAAGATGGATAAGTCGATCCAGAAGGCGCTCAAGAATAATGCCAAGACGTACGAGAAGCAGCAGAAGGGGTCGAAGGGGATACTGGGGAAGTTGTTCGGGAAGAAGAAGCAATAGGGGACGTAGCTGAAAGGCGGATCATCCGGGATGGTGCTTTCCTTACTCTCGCGCGTCGCGCAGAACCTGCAGCAATGGACAACTCGCACGTTTCTATTGTGCAGCGTTCCGCACACGATGTGGGCGCATGATCTGTATTACATCACAAAAAAGGTACACACGTTGAGGACAATCCGGGAGTCCGAGTCAGATGCGTTGCTCCGGTACGGCCTCACTTCAATTCAGAAGATGGACGAACATGTTCTTCACATCTCCCCACACTCTGCAAAGCCGTGACACTCAAAAAAAATACCTATGAGAAAATAATGCATGGACGTACCGACTATTTTGACCGCCAACTTCGGTCGGTTGTTCGGACCTGTCGGGACGTTCTCGATCTTCCGCAGCGTCAGCATACCGTCGATCACCTTGCCGAAGACGACATGTTTGCCGTCTAGGAAGTCGCACTTGGCTGTCGTGATGAAGAACTGCGCGTGGTCAGTGTATGTCGGTCTGGCGGATTTTCACTGGGAGAAACACGCAATTGGTCCTCACCTGACAGCCATTTGTGTTTGCGCCCGAGTTCGCCTGAATGGAACGACAGTTCAGATGAACGTCTTCAACAACACAGATCAAGTGATACGTGCCATTGACAACAGCCCTGGAACGGTGTGCTTCTCTTGGAAGTTCTCATCCTACAGAACGGTTAGCCGTTCGATCGAACTCGCGCACCATGGAACATGTACCGGGAACTTGTCGCCGTATATTGAGAACGAGCCAGTGCCATCGCCCTTGATAAAGTCTCCACCTGTGGCAGACACGATGATCACGCAAACATCACCGAGGAATTCAGGCCATAATACCTTGGCACATGAAATTCGGCACACTAGGATGTTCAATCCGCATCAAGCTCTTCAGCGGGAAGAAATAAGCACCGCAGCGATACACTCACACTCTACGACACAGCACTTGTCAGGAAGCATTTGCAAGACCAACAGCAACAAAGTCGACTGCTTACCTGTGGAATGTCGCTCCCTTGTAGCCTTGCGGTCGAGAATTGACACTAATTCCGACAATGAGTCCGATGACTGCCACGATCCACCGGTTGGTGATACGAGCTTACCGATACTCTCCCGTACATAGTTGCCTGAAGTTCTCTGCTGTTCTGTCGAGGATAGGTGAGTGTCAGTCTCCGCTGGCAACGCGCAATGCCGGCTCACTTGGGCACAATATCGCTGAAAAGTTCCATCTTCAGCCGACCCGCAGGTGTTTCCCCGATATTTACGTCCATGAAAACAACTGGGCGCGGTGAAGACATGGTGTTCTACTTGATTTGGGGTATTGAGTGGGATACGCAAACGTTTGCTGCCGTAGCGGGTAAGTCACTAAGTGTGGCTCGAATACGAAGTGGCTGAAATAATGTCGCAGGATGAGTGCTCCGGAAAAGGCAAGTTCATTCCAGATCCTGACAAGCACGAGCAAACACTCATAACGTAGCGGCTGTGGCTGAGGCCAGCGAAGGTCGCCTCGGCTTCGACTCGTACACCTTGCTCGCTGCTTCCTTGCTCGTTCTAGTTTGCGTGCCATGTCTTATTTCCTCCCTCACCTTCCGTCTGGCTGGCACGTCGACGAAGCCATCAAGTCCGAGGAAGATCGCGTCGTGTTCTCCGCTTCGGACACGACTGGGACAGCCAGTGCATGACGATGGACGAGACCCTCTACTCGGTCGCGGAGAAAGTGCAGAACTTCGCTGTCATCTACCTCGTCGACATCACGGAGGTGCCTGATTTCAACAAGGTATGCGATGAGCCGTAGGGGATGCATACCTCAACGCTTGCTGATGAGTGGCGGTGCTTCTTGGATTAGATGTACGAGTTGTACGACCCCTGCACAGTCATGTTCTTCTATCGGTAAGTGATCAGATCTGACAAGTCTCCGCTTCACGCGTCTGACTCTTGGTACACAAGGAACAAGCACATCATGATTGATCTCGGGACTGGTAATAATAACAAGATGTACGTCTCGCCGCACTTGCGCATGATCCCTGACTCACGATTCAATTCGAACGTCCAGTAATTGGGCAATGGATAATAAACAGGAGGTCAGTATGCGATACAGAGTGCAACGTTCCGGCTGACATCCGACTTTTCAGTTAATTGATATCATCGAGACAGTCTATCGAGGTGCGTCCAAAGGACGCGGTCTTGTCGTATCTCCCAAAGGTGTGTATCTTGAATCCCTGTACAATGGGGCTCATGTGCTCATGCTCTGCCAGACTATTCCACTCGTTATAGGTACTAATTGGGACAGCGCGTCCGTTGCCCTCCTCTCCACCCCTTGTCATCTTCCTCAAATGCGGTTAATTGTCGCCATGTACTAGTACGAGTCTACTTTCCTTCCGGGGTAATTTATAATATCATCAGCGGGACATGCACGGCATCTGAGATGCAGCAAGTGACACTAGTTGTATGTCTTCTGGTGCGCTTCAGAAGTCCTAATCGTCGTATCTGTCGAGCTGTACATCGGGGTACACGCGGTTCAAGGACTACGGCTGTGAAATGCTCGCTGATCCATGTATTCATTTTGTGCCCTCTCTCAAATCGAACGGTGCGCTCTAAGGTAAGGCGGTGGATGCGGAAGATGGATCATGCCTCTGGATTGTATACAAAGTCAACGATCTCAAGATGCCGGATGATGCTGGACTGGGCACGCAGAAATGGTATGTCGTCTACATGTTTGTGCTGCGATTTGTGAAGGCTTACTGACGGAATGTAGACAGGAAGGCTGCAGGTAGCACGGAGGCATGGCAGGTGGGGAATGAGCTAGTACACTGTTAGGGAAACTCCGGCTCGTTCTGCTACAGTCTCTTCCACGTTTATGGCCAATGCGACCAGTGCTGCCAATTCGCCGCATAGGTGCCATCGGCGTTTCTTTACGGTTCGGCGGATGTAGATTGTAACTAGTAGCAATAATAGTGGGCGGTGAGTGCAATGACGTCGCAGATGGCGAGGACTCAGGACCATAGGTGCTTACAGCAAGTACCAATGTACCAACATGGTACGAACCATATTCATATGCATGGTGTGCTGTATGGATGAGCCAGTGGTATCCCACGATCACCGTGCCGGCTACTTCACAAGATACGCGTGATTGTTGAACTTGAAACCCGTTCAAGTTCGCTCCAGCCTCCTCCCATTCACGAATAAGTATCGTCTGCAAGCCTCGAGCTTGAGAACTCGGCTTGCAAGAATGGCATCATTGGCTGTACCATGCCAACAGCGTGTACAGTTCGTTCTGTACATGGTAGACGTTGCCCATGACGGACAGGAGACCTCTATCGGACCACAGCCGTTACCGGACCTTGATTCAGTCAGAAGGGACTGTGCGTTGGGTACGTGGCACCGATGCAGTCGTACTATGAGCACAGCCCAATTATGTCGATTCGAACAAGTCGAATCCGTTTGCCAGATTGCGAATTCGTTTCCCGAAGAAATGACACTCCGGATTAATGGCCCCGTGCTTGTACCTCGAACGTTTATCTATTATAACAAGCTGCCTAAATTATTCACGTATAGCTTCCTAATCCACTCCGATGATGGTACCGTCACTTTCCCTGAATGAGTGTGGCCCCGCTGACGATACGCGACCACAGTTCCCGCGGACATCCTCGATAATGTGATCTGGGCTTTAGAAATTTCGTCGACCTGCTGACGAAATGCACGGATGCGATATTCCCTGCATTCAAGTTGTTGGATAACAGATACGAAAGATCATTCGTGGTGCGTGCACACGCTCCTGCATCCCTTCCGTGTTAACACCCATGGTTTTACGAATGCTATAGCGTGTACAAGCGAAGGCGAAGCTCACGTTGCTTCTTCTGTGAGCCCTCGGGTGATTGCTATCGCAGGGTGCTCAAGCGCTGACCCGCGGCCAACAGAAAGTCCGAGGTCAACAGACCGAAGGATGCAACGACATACTTCAGGGAATCATGGAACATAATCGTTCCGTCGTGTCTGCCGATGCACTTGAAGAGTCTATCGATACACAGTAGTCAGTGATTTCATATGTGGTACCTGTATAAATGGTTGACATACGCGTTACGGCGTGGGACAGTACTCTCCTCATAATCTTTGCGGAAGCCCTTGCGCGTAGCGGAGAAGATGATGCGACAGCAGAGACCCTGCTGAACCGCCTCGCCAAATCATCTGCTGAAGGGCTCGTCTCAATGAAAGATCTCATCACAATTAAAGTGCTGTTGTCCCGTGTATTGCGGCGGTGCAGGAAAACAAACGCCGCCGCAAAGGAGTGAGCCGTCCATCATTGCTGCTGAAAGGATACAGGCTTCATGATCATTACAGGGAAAAGTGGCTTGTCAAGTGGTTTCGCAAGAATCCGCACTTGATAGACGACTCAACCCTTCGGAGGCTCCTGATGCCAGCTGGCGAAGCGCCGAGCCCGATTCTCGAATCCCTCGGTGGACCGTCTTGGCTGGATGGTCGCGAGCACACTGACAAGACTGATTACCGCCTTTCCAAGTTTTGCTCGAAATGCTTCGCTCGGGAGCCTATAGTGAAGCTCTCCCTGTGTTCGAGATGCAAAAGGCTCTACTATTGGTGCGACATTGGGTCTGTGTAGTTGATATGCCAGGCAGCTGAACAATTGCCAGTTCTCGGGGTGCCAGAAGTCAGACTGGCAATCGCACAAGTGAGTACTCAGTTCGGGCGTTGCATAACAGTGCTCACACGGACCGATGAATCTAGAGAGCCCTGCAAGTGAGCGTCCGGACTTGTGCATGCCGACGCAACCTGTATTGATCTGCCCTTCAATTGGCTAGAACGATGGCGGCGAGGAATGAGAAGATCGAGCACCTAGCCCTGACGGATCCAGCTGCTGCACAAAGGAGAAAGACTGGGACGCATGGCGAGAAGTGGTGGACAAGCTGCCCTACGCCAGCGCGTTGCGTTTGTATGAAGACCGCAGCCGTGCGCTCACGCACCTCATAATAGAGGAGGCGATGTACACTCCGCAAGCAGGGACACGTGCGAAGGATAAATTCAAGATCATCAGATGTTCGGTCATTCGCATGTCCGACTTTCTGAAGGGGTTGGCGAGCATTTTAGGTGTCAGCCCCGACGAGACGGATAGATATCGGCCACAGCAACCTTCGTGGGGCGTCAAATTCTTCGTGTTCAGGTCTGGGGGCGTAGATATGAAATCCGTCGACGAAGGTCTTATACTGATCTCCTTTCATGGCTTAGCATTTACTCATCTGGCTTTGTAGGCTTCCTACCGCACACCATAATCGAACAGTCGTCATACAATCGGAGCTGGCGCCGGTACATCAGTCAGAGCTGTCCCCCGCACCGTCATTGCTGGTTCGTGGCCTCGAGGATGCCGAATTCGACTAGAGTGCTGGAGGACGGCATTAGAGGACAGTGCTGGCAGCCTGAGGACATTCATGGAGCATAGCCGCATCTGTATTGGGATAAGCGGCACGCGCGGACGGGAATCGGTCTATTGTAGAGATAGCTGACGTCGACGTCTTGGGACGCTTGTAAGTCCTAGGTGCAATGACATGTACTATTGAATAGCACGTGTTTTATTACTGCGGCGCTCACACACATTCCTGGCTAGGATCAAGGCAATGACAATGACACGATTTGAACCGACACCGTACCATCGCACCAGTGCAGAACTGGCACGTGCGCAGCAATACGTACTACATGAATGCGGAGTATACCAGGTACATAACAAATGCGAGAGTTCCCCGCCCGTCTTAAGTACCCGACGCGCGTCCCGCCGTTGTTCCAGTCCCAGTGGGCAGGCAGACGCGGCCACAGCACTGTAGGAGAATCTACCGTTATGCGCCGCTTCGGCGAGACTTCTTCGCTGGCCTTTCGACAGGAACATCTACAGGGACAGCAGTGTAGTCGTGCTCGACGTCCCACTTGCCCCTGAGGACATCCCGTAGTGCGCTAAGCCCGGCACGGACATGTGATTCGGATGTGCTGTGTAACACAGGTTCATGTTTCGCAGATATGACCACGAATCAAGGTGCTTACTTGTTGTACAGTGCATCAAAAATTCCTTCGACACTGGCCAGGTAGTTGCTTCCAAGAGTAGACCTCGCCAGACCCTTGACGTCAACACGCTCCTTGACTGCGAACACAGACCTTCCCAGCTCCTTCAAACATCGTCGCACATCATCGGCCACACCCCATCCGGAGGGCTGCGTGCCTTCTTCCCTGTGGCGTTTTCGTCCGGCGAGTGAGACTACAGGTTTCTCATCTTCAGCTGATGCTGCAGAACCAAGAAGCATCAAATTCCATTGAACCAAGTGGTCGCGCCTCTGCTGTTGCTCTGTGCCCAGAGTCGCGTCGGGCATTTCTTTCCTTGGTAGCCGCCCGTCCTCCACAGCCTCGTCGAGCCAATCCCAAGCATCATCCCAACCGGGATACACTTCGGCGATCTGAAGCCAGCAACTTCTGAGAGTGTACTCCAGGAGGTGATTCATGAGGTCTCCTGCTTGAGACGTACCAAACGGACCAAAATGGTTGAATATGGTGAGCTGAGCGACCAAAACGTGCTCGTCCATAGGCGCCACTGCTAGCGTCCCCACAAGATCGGTACGATCTGCTCCATTCCCCCACTTGCCATAGATCGATGCGGCGTCCTCCCATTTGATTCGGAGTACTCGACTTCGCATATTGCCGCGGACCTTCTCGCGAGTAACATCCAATAACGTGGTTCGCAAGCTAGGTAGGCTGCTATTGAGCAAGTCGAAGTGGCAATAAGTAGGCGATGCTTTGAATGTTTGGATCTCCGGGACGCAGAATAGCATGCGTAATTGAGACAGTCTGTCCCGCGTGCGGGATGACCAGTGACTGGTGTGGTGGCGAATCGTTATGTTGCCCACTGATACAGTGCAACGTGCTGTATCGTAGCAACCAATATCAGAGCAGCGTTCCAACTTGATTTGGTGTAAACCTACTATCGACAACGGGTGTCACTCCAAGAAACGCCCGTAGCTCAGGCGCGATGTTCGACTTTTGTAAGGCTGTCACAGCATCCTTGAGCGATATCGGTTCCGAGTCTGAGTTCTTAGCCAGCGGATCGATGAGCAGTTCCATCCACATCCATGCAAGGACGTAACCAAGAGGACACCCGTGATGTTTAAACAGCACACTTCCGCTGCTTCATATTATGCGAACCTCGACGCAGGTCGCTTGCCTATGTCAAGAATTTGTGAGCACAATGTACAGGCTTAAGTGCAACCGCCGATCACTGGGTACTGAGTACTGACCAGTCGACTGCTATGCGGGATGGTGGCACCAAGCGACACATGACGTCCTCGCAGAACACGAGACACTCCTGCACAAGTGCTTGTTCAAATCGTTTTTCCACCGCAAGCTGCCATAGCGTAGAAAGCCAGCCGCATATGATAGTCAGCCATTTCTCCTCTGTTTCCCTCCAGACGGCAAGGTCCTGTGATGCCTCTGCAGCCTCCCAATCTGCTTCAAACGACCGCTTGCGCTCTTCTAAGTCGACATCAGCCATGAGAGTTTTCAGTGAAAGAAATTCTTTCTCCGTGTCTTCAAGGGCCTCGGATAAGATATTCCGATGTCTCATGGAATCCATAGCGGGATAGAAGTGCTTCGAGAGCGCCAGGCGAAGTTGGGCATCATCGATAGGTATCAGCGACTCGAGAAGGGAGCTTGGCTTCGACATTGCGTAGTATCTCGCGCCGGAGACGTGAGTAGGAGGAGGTGGTTCTGGCCGGGGCCGGTACAACACGCGCACGAGCGCCCGCCTATAGTACTGAGTAATAACGCGCACGTGTGGCAACGCGTCTCGTCACACCTGGTGTAGCCGTGACTGGCGCGACTGCCAGGGCCCCGGCCAGTGTCACTGCCGGACGGATTGATACATAACTCGGTCGACCGACAACATCAGATACGCCTTACTTAGTACTGCGTACTGTCCGATGCTTAGCTATAGCACAACGCCGAACTCTGGATATGTTCATGAGTCTGCCGCTCACAGCCTGACCACTGTGACCCTGAGTGATAGTCATGATGCAGTTCGCGCAACGATGTCCAGGCTGATCTTGAGAAGACCTGGGTTACTATCGAGAGTACCATGTCCCGTGAATGAGGTTTTGGTGCATGCGGATAAGTAGTATATTAGTGCCGATACGCACGAGGCAAGGACCGCTATGGGAGTGACATCCCGTAAGAGTTTCCCAGCCAGCTGGTGACTTCAACTACCTCAAGTTGATGACTTCGAGTGAGCGCATCTGCGAAGTTTGTCGTTATGCACAACTTACAAGTTTCGGCGTGCGTTGTATGTGACTAGTTCAGGTAAGACAAAAACGGTAGCAGCTCACGTCAACAAGGGGATTTACCTTTGCTGAAAATTCGCGGGTGTAACACAGAGTCTTCGGCTTAATCAGACGTCGTACTATGTATCACGCCGGTCCAGAGCTGGACGTGGACGCAAAATCGCCTAACTTGTCGGACTCACAGTAGCAATCCGGCTAGACGAGTTCACGGTCTCATTTCGAACTAGTATTCCTATGCACAGGTATATGGCCCCATCTCCACCCTTCTTGTGCGACGCATCTCGCGATCGCGCACCCATTGCGCTAGCGGAGACGCAGAGGTAATCACCGCTCCGTACGAGGTTGTGTCTGTTCAGTCCTAGCTTTCTTTGCTGGTCGTTCGACGCGGGCATCCACGGAGCCGGTATAGTCACGATTGACGTCCCACTCGCCCCTGAGAAGATCCCGCAAAGCATGTAGTCCTGCACGGACAAGTGGTTCCGATGTACTATGGGATGCGACTCATTAGTGCGAAGGTTAGCAAGATAAGGGAAAGGTGCGAACTTGTCGTGCAGTGCGTCGAAGACCCCATCAACGTTAACCAAATAGTCATTGTCCAGTGCCCGCTTCATGGCAGCCTCGATATCGACTACCCTTTTGACGCCGTCAGGAGAGGAGTCCAGGTCCATCAAGCATCTGCGGACGTCATGCGCCAACCCCCATGGAGAAGTTCTGTTGCCTCTTTCGATGCCACGTTTCCGTCCGGTCCACGCTGGTTCTTCTTCCGCAGCCGATGCTGAGGAGTCTGTAGATTTGAGAAGCGCAGCAAACCGAAGCAACAATACATCCCTGCGCATGCGCTCCGCAACCGTTACGTTGGGCAACACTTTCATTGTCAACTGTCCGTCCTGTACAACTTCCTGCAGCCACTCCCAAGCATCATCCCAACCGGGATACGGCTGAGCGATCTGGCGCCAGCAGTCCACGATAGTGCGCTGTAAGAGGTCCTTCATCGTGGACTCTGCCCACGGAACTAGCTTTGTCGTGGCATAATGCCTGAACAATGCGAGGCGGGCGCAGAATATGTCTTCATCCATGGCAATAACGACCAGGGTCCTATCCAGGTTGATCACGTCTATTCCTCCAGACCATTTGCAATAGATTGCTACAGCCGACTTCCACTCGATGCGGAGATCTCGGCTTCGTGCATTGTCGTGGACTTTCTGGTGAGTCACGGATATCAGCGCATCCTGTAAGCAAGGGAAGCGGTCAACGAGCGAGTCGAAGTGGGAATAGGTGGGTGACGCTTTGAACGCTCGAATTTCTGGAGCAAAGAACAGCTTGTGTAATTCAGGCAACTTTTCTCGCTTGCTTAGCGGCCAATGAGAAAACGTATAGCGAAATACGAGGTCGTTAATGGCAATGGTGGTATATGGCGCCGCTATAGTAACATTTTAGCAACAGCTCATATCAGGGCAACACTCAAACTGGAGCGAACTTACAATTATCGTATGGGAATGCTCCGAGAACAGCCTGAAGTCGCCACGACATATTCGACTGCTGCAGGGCTGTCACAGCATCCTTAACGAATATCGTTGCAGGGTCAGAATCCGCAGCCAGTGAAGCAATGAGTAGGTCTATCCACATCCATGCAAGGGCATGACCAAGAGGACATCTGGTATGTTCGAACACCAAACGTCCGCTGCTATCTAGAATGTGAATATCGGCGCAGGGATCAGGCCTATAGTAACACTTTTCAGAAGAGTACAGAAATTGAGAAAGCTGGTGTGATCACCGACCATTCAACCGTTATGTCGGGCGGTGGTACCGTGCGACGCATGACTTCTTCGCAGAACATAAGACATTTCCATACGAGTTGCCTTTCGTGCCCTTTCTCCACTCCAAGCTGCCATAGCGTTGAGAGCCAGTCGCCTATGGCACCCAGCCACTTCTCCTCTGTCGTCCTCCACACGTTGATGTCCCGCGAATCCCGTGCAGCCTTCAAGTCCGCTTCAAATAGTCGCTTCCGTCCGTCGTAGTCCACCTTATTGAGCAAGGTCTTCATATATCGGAATTCTTCCTCTGCATCCCGGAGTGCCTTGGTTAGCTTCTGCGCATGGGCCGCGGGTAGTGCATCCAAAGCGGGATAGAGATGTTTCGAGAGCGTCGCGCGAAGCTGAGCATCATCGGAGGCGATCGCTATCAACGACTCGAAGGTGGAACTTGGGGTCGACATCACAAGTCCCGCGCCGCAGACACCAGTGACTGGAGATCAGGACGTCCGCGTCAGCTCCTCGATGTGAGAAGAGCAGGATAGGCGCTGGCGCGACTGTGGATGCAAACACGGACGATCGACAAACATCCTGGCCGGAGGACTGAGTACTCGACTGCTCGAGTGTTCTCATCTGCCAGTGACAGCTCAATCGAATAGTCACGATGCAGTCTACGCAACAACGTCCATGATCATAGTGTCTCGACAGTATAGCCAAGTACTGGCGAGCATGTATGTACTACATGTAAATTGTGAGTCGACCTATTATCACTAGTACTGTAGGCCCTCTTACAACCCGGTTGCATGTATGACATATGAGCTGCGCATATTGTCAGCTTTCATCGCATGTATGGGGTTACAACTGTAGACAAGTAGTATGCTGTCATACACACGAGACCAGGACCACCGAGCTATGAGAGTGGCATCCCGAGGTAGGTGGCCTGCGCCGCAGGTTGAGGTTGAGTACTGGAGGCAGCCTTGCACGGCACCTTGTGCTTCGGCCAGTCCATCTTCTGACAGCCCCTCGGCGGTGCACAATACCGGACCTTCATGCACTGCGAACATTTCAACAGCTTCACGTCGTCCCGCCCACAGAACCCGCATATACTGTCCGCCAGCCGTACTCTCCGCCGGTCCTCGCGATCCAACACGTCCCACATCGGCAGGCGGAGGTTCCTCCGTGCGCTCGAAAGTTTGCTGCGCATAGTGTCGATGCAGCCACGCGCTGTGCTGCCGTCGTTGTCCTTGACGTCGAGGTTGCCACCGTGGTCAAGGACCCACTTGAGCGCGTCCGCGGAGCGCTGCATCTTCTGCCGGTCGACCAGGTCGTACACGAGCACGATCTCGTGCGCGGGCGTGCCCCCGTAGCGGTTCCGTGCGTTCACGTCCCCACCCGCGTCATACAAAATCTGCGCGAATTCGGGATCGAACGCGGGCTTGGTTGTAACGCAGTGGTAGATGGCTTGCGAACCCGACAGGTCGACGCCGTCAACGGGCACCTTCGCCTCGGAAATGAGGAAGCGCGCGACGTCCAAAAGGTGCGGCTGCGAGTCCCCCAAGATGAGCCTCGCGAGGAGGATGAGATCGTAGACGGGCACGCGGGTCGGGCCCCAAGAGCACTTGTATATCTCTTGAGCGGCCGCCTTGCGTGCGTCCTCTTCGGAGGACGACGTAGCAAGGAGGCGGGAGACCCTCTCCGCGAAGTCATCCCTCACACCTGGGACGTCCCCCGAGAAGATGATGACGCCGTAGGGGTCCAGGTCTCTTGCAGGCTCCATACACTGCGAGGTGAAGTAGGACCTCAACCGTTGAGATTCAACCCGCGGAGAGGATCATTCCTGTCGAGAGTGATTCAACACCAATGCAGCTATTGTTCATTCGGATACCTACGTTTGCAAGAGCTCTTCCAACGAGCTGTAATAGAAGCATTGATCAATGCCTCTTTGTCTCTGACGTCGACACGCACCGTCCTTGGGCTGCATTGGCAACTCGACCGGAAACCGAGTTGAGCAATGCCTGTAATTCGTTCATCGGGGTGTTTCCAGCCATGTCGTATGCACTTTATAGCCCTACGATGGTCTCTGCGAAGTGTTGGCTGTGAGGAGGGAAGAAAGGAATGCGAGAGTGAGGTCAAATTATATAATGGTGTCATCCAGTGGCACCCACCGCCTCCCCTAGCCTAGCGGATCGGATAATTTGCATCCGCCTACAGAGCCTCAGCGATCGGCCGCCATTGTTCGCCATAGGTCCTTTTGTCTGAGAGAACCATATTGTATAAGTAGGCGAGGATCGATGACATGAGACGGGCAAGACGTCGACGAATATCATGGACATTTCACAAGGAAACTCGCTCTCCAAATTGACAACAATGTTGCCGGAAGATGCCGGTGACCCACGGCGTGGGAAGACCGGGGATCGGCCTTCAACCCGACACCGAGAAGGTCGGACACCCAAGCGCCCATCCTCATCTCATAAACCGTCGCGACGAACATTTGCCACACTCCAGGCCATACTGCACAATCCGTGCCGTTGAATTTACGTTGGGAAACACTACTGAGACGCTACCTGCTACCCTGATCTCACCATGGCCGACCCGGTAGCCTCCAAGTCTGGCTTCTTGTGCATGTACATGTCGAACCACCCAGACACGCTCGTCGCGTACGTCAAGCACTGGGGCAAAGTCACAGAGGATGTCTCGAGCGCGAAGATGAAGTCGATCAACACGAAGGTGAGTGACATTCACATTGCATCATCTTGCGACGACATGTCCCACACAATCGTAGGATATGACATTGACGTACCAGACCAAGGGCGGAAGTTCAGAGAAGGAAGTACGAGTGCAGTTCGACCCGCCGCTTCTGGGCTACGAAGAGGTGAAGCCTCGTCTGATCAGCATGAAGGTGGACGCAGAGGAGGCTCTGGGCATGGTACGTCCACCCAACTGTACGAACTCCCGTATCCGACGGGACTAACTGCGACCGTAGGCCCGCGCCCCGCAGATCACTACGTTCCGCCTTCCCCTCGGCATTTGGATCACGACATCCCTGATCGCCTTTCTCATCTACACGACCTTCTCCCCGGAGCCAAGCTCACCCAACTTCTCTCCCGCGTACCTCCCAGCGCACTACCTGCGCACGAACCTGCCAGCATGGGCAGTCCCGGCTTCCTGGTACATCGTCGCTATCCTTCACCCCCTTGAGGCTTTGTATGCATTCTATATGGTCAGGAGGCACCGGATGCCGTTCACAATAGGCGTGAGTCGCCGTGCTACTCAGCTGTCTAGTGCGGTTTGCTGATCTGCATTAGTTGTGCTACGTTCTCGGTACGTTGACGTGGGGCTTCCCGGTCCTCAACGAGCTGCGCCACCAGAGACAGGCCGCTCGTATCGAGAGTGTATTGAAAGGGCAGTGACGTTGTGTTGCTATCTCTCTGTATGTATCATTGCTGCTTGTATACGGGAGGATTCTTTGGATGGAATTACGCGGGAATGTTCCACCGACTGTGCAGGATAAAGACGAGTAGGTCTCTCCCGTCCCTGATTCCGCAAGTCAGCCGCACACTGAGGGTCGCGAAATTGGTTTCTCGGACTGACCCGGGCATGCTGTAGGTCACGGCTACAATCTCAAGGTAGTACAAAGTGCTATTGAACGACTCATATCCGAGATTCACTTGGACGATTGGCAACTTTTGACACCAGTTCCTCATTCGTTCAGGATCGAAATCACGGACAAAATATTGCCGAGCGTACAGCTGCGACTGTGCCTTTCCTTCGAAGTGAGCCTCTCTTTGAACGCAGATCTCTAATACAGTGGTCCCCAAGTGAGTGGCTCATCATTGTTTTGTGAACCTCGTGAATTTGCTGACTCGTGGCCAATGTCAGTTCTGTCGTGAATCACGGCGCGGCGGTGGCCACTACTGGTGAGTCGTGACACAGAGCCCCTTACATCCTTGCGGTTTGACTGAGCTTCACCGATATTACATACAGTACCATGCTCGTCCACAATGGATTTTTTTGCTGGAATGATTGTCCCAAAAAGATATGGGATCACTGAGCTGCCAGACGGCTCCTCGACAGCCGTCAGTGAGAGCTCAAAAAAAGCGTTCGGGTAGACTGGCCGTGTCTCCGCGTAGGTGTGAGTCAACGCGAGAAGTCATCTGTCCGAGACACTCTCACCGGTTTCACAGTGGTCAGCGCATATGCGCGGGAGTATCGGATATCAGCGTCGTCCTCGCCATCTAGTAGCATGGCAGGAAAGATATTAAGCTCTCCGAGGATCTGAAGAATCAGCGCCCTTGGTTGATGGCGCTGAAGTATGTCGCGAGACGGCGAGTACTGCTGACCTGAATGCCGTGACTAACTAGCTATTAAAGGTTTGAGCATTTAACCAGGGCTTGTGCCGTTCGGGCCTGTGTGCATCATTTGCATAAATGCGGCGTTGACTTCGCCGCCTACCCAGCTTCTTGACGATATTCAACACTCTGTTGCGCTCGACTTGACCCTCGCCAATAGGTGTGCTCTACTCTACTTCGCGGATAATATGGTGACATTGCAGGATTGTGGTTGAATCGTTATCATCCTCATCAATCCGTAAGCCAAACAAGCATCTCAAGACGGAGCATAAAATTGACGATCACTTTCAGTGTCACCTCTGTCCTGATCTCGCAGAGTCTGTTGGATCTCCGTGCGGCCACATACACGCCGCGGAGGAAGACAACGACCTCGACACGATCAATTCACATATGTCTCGGACAGGAAGTTATCACGAAAGCGTTCAAGACTAGTTTGCCCACAGCAGTGGCGAACAGCGCATTCTCGTCTGACTTGGCCCCCTAGGCTGACAGTCCTCGGACGTGCCCCTGAGGACATCATTTTACCTGAAGGTTCCATGACATGTCCATGACGTCCTTGTTGTACTCCGATAGAGCATCAGCGACTCGGGCGACTCGCCGCCGATGCATCGCACCGGGGGCAAGACGCGGTGGTCGTTGTACGAACATTCTACGAACATCCTCCGACTTATGACATATGTTCCCACGGTGTTATCCCTCAGGACATAGCTAGCTCATACGGTATGTCCCTGTGATGTTCTGGCCTCCAAACATTACAACAACAGCCCCTCTGTTCGTGGCTCAAACATGACGAATGCGCGTGTCATGTTCGGAGAGATAACATCGGATTGTCCCAAGGTATGGTTTCCACGTGTTCCTGACCAGAACATTAAAAAAACAGGTGCTATGTTCGTACCCGGAACATCACGAGAACATAGCGCGACCATAATATATTTCCTGCGCATGTCCGTAGGCCAAACATTTCAAATGTTCGGAAAGCCATCATCTGTCATAACATTGTAAAAACATTGCTTCTTAATCATGTTCTTTCAATGATCACACATGTCCTTGGAATGTTCACTCTCCAAAACTTCGAAATGTCCAGTGCATGAACATGATAACATGATGCTTCATGGTCATAGTATGTCGGCACAATGTTGTGCATACGAACATTGTGATTGGTTTACACATGTCCTAATCGAGGTCACACTATTAGCATACCCTGTGACAGTACAATGTTTGCTCTCCGAACATGACATGTGCATTTGGCATGTTCGAGACGCAAACAGAAGTGCTGTCCATGCAATGTTCCTTTCTCCGAACATCTTAAAGAAACATGGCATGGTCGTGCGATGTCCTGAGGAATGACATCGAGGGAAAATATGTCATAAGTCGGAAGATGTCCGTATAATGTTCGAACTCCGGTCAACGCGTCTTGCCCCCGGTGTCGGCTAGTAGTACAGTGAGTTTCTACATAGTAACATACCACCATGTAGTAGCATTTGACTTGACCCGCCGCAGTCCAGGCTATGTCATCTAGAGTGCACCGTCGAGCTCAAGGTTATCGTCATTCATTGAAAGGCGGTGACTAGCGTAAGATCGCAGACGAACATGTAGACAAGCCGTTCCTCCACAATCCTGTTCAGTGTTACCGATCCAGTAAGTCCGTTAGTGAGCGTCTATTCCAAGACCTGACTTTGACCCAACTTTGACCGCCTCCTCCTCGTTCCTCCTCCTCCCTCTCTTTGCACTAGCACTGAGCCCATCGGACACTGCAGAGCTGAGATTTCAGACAATGCCGAACTCGGTATGTGATGCACATAATGACATCAATGCACTTCCAGTGCTCGCGCATTCGTAGCGGCGACAAACGACCGTGTGCCAGTGTTACGCAGTGCCGTAATATGAAAGGTTCCGGACGCGCCCACCGCAGTTATTCAAGTGGCTGTGTGACGGACGATCGTGGGACAGCTTGTCTTGAGTGGATGTGATGGCAGTGATCGTGGACCCATGGATAATCCTTTGACAGCCTTTGACTTGCCTTTGAGGTCACCGCAAGCTGCAGCGCCGACGCCTGCTGACCCGCCCTCCACTGCCATCAAGCTGGGCGCCTTGTGTCGCATCTTCGTGTTTGCGATTGGCTGTATCTGTCGCTCATATACGACTAGTTCGAGTTGGAGCGCTATTTAGGAATGACGAGGCCGATCCCTGCAAAACTGGCCTTCCCCAGCACTTGATCGACGGGCTGGGATGTCTGACTCTAAGGTTGCTATTTTCACCTACAAGTAAGCCAACAACCATGTTAACCTCGCGAGTGCGCTGACCAACTGACTGAATGAAAGCCTTGTCGAAGATTATGGGGCAGCGGCGGTCACCAGTGAGTCGTGTTACACGGTACTTTTCTACATCCTGCTGACGTCCCAATGACAGCGTTTATTATCTACGACTATCTGCTCACACTCGGCGACGAAGTTGAACTGGTCTGGTCATTGAAGCCGTCGGCGTCGTCTGTTGTGTATATGCTCTCGCGATACCCGTTACTCTTCTACGTGATCTTCCCCTGGATCATCTATACGAATCCTGGACTGACACCTTCAGTACGATGTCATCCTCCCTTTGCGTTTCAGCTGATACTGACGGTATGCGATAGGTGTGCGTTGACATTGTGTTGAGCTTTCAATGTGCCTATTCACTGAACGGCCCTGCAGTTGCACCGGCTTGTCAATAACATCCGACGTCATGGCAACTACCTTCGTTCTGATGGTAGCAGGTGATATCGTCTCGACTTTGAACTGCTCGTCCCGTGTCGCTCAATATGTATCTTTGTAGCATTCGGGGCGCTGCGAATATACGCTGTGAGCGGTCGAGATTGGCGGCTCGTCCTTCCGGCCCTGGCGCTGGGCCTCGTCCCTGCTGTTACCAACCTTGTGAGTACGGTAGCTAAACCAACAGCTAGCTTGCTGACGTCTTGTGGATCCCAATGTCCAGTACGATTACGCGAAGTCAGCATATGAGATCGTCGAGTTAACAGGCGGCTCTTCGGCATGTTCCCAGGTCCAATCCCTCTCAAGGCACCTGTCAAAAACGTCAGTCGCTCCTGCCACGTTGTCGCTTGGTGCATCGACTGACCTCGTCTCCATGCAGGCGTGAGTCAATGACGAAGACCGTTTCGTACGAAACGCACTCTGACCAAGGCCACAGTGGTCATTATTTCCCGCACATGTGCGGTCGCATCGGACATGATTGTCATCTTCGCGATCTGCTGGTACAGCAGAAGACACATCAAGCTCGCAAATCATCTCAAGAATAAGCGCCCTTCTCTCATGATGCTCATGACGCGAGACGGTGAGCACTTCCGAATGAGATGGTGTATTGTGATTGATGGTGTTCCCCGATGATAAGGACTTGTGCTATTCGTGTCAGTTTTCTTTGGCCACGTCACTGGGTGGTATGTGCAATGCTGACGCGGCCTCCCAGTTTGCTGGTCATATTCAATGCTCTTGACATGGCGCTCGCCTTGACGAAGGTCAGTGCGGAGCGCGCACCGAACAACTCACTGTGTGGCTGATATACCGATGGCACGGCAGGAATATGGCCAGAGTGCCACTATTTTTGTTAATCCGTAAGCCGAGTGTTCCTTGGCTCCGTGAATATGAACGAGACGCTGAACTCGATGCTCGCTCATAGTACTACCTCCGTCTTCCTCTCGCGGAGCCTGTTAAACCTCCGTGCGGCGACGCACGTTCTGGAGGAGAGTTACGACCTCGACACATTAACTTTTACGTATCCTCTCAGCTCGCTGCTGATATCAACGCAGTCTCAAGCTAGCGAGCATGCAATGACGGAGGATGCCCTCGCATCCAACGTGACCTCGGAAGGAACAGTTTGTTTTAGTAGTATCGATACCCCTCGTCCACCCGACACTCACGCGAATGCGAACCCAAATGACGACGGTAATGTGCACTTTTGACCGGTCTTTGACGTGGAACTGATTCCATCTCTCAGTTGTATGATCGAACGATTGGATGCCACTGGCTTATATCGTGGACTTTACTAGTGTACTCTTTTCAGCCATGTTTTCCAGCGCATTGCATGACCTATTGGGACTGATGCTACGGTTGTGTTCGCCTTGAATTTCTTCTGGACTTGTATACCACCACATTTATCGAATACCCCGGCAGGATATGCCATAGCCTGCGAGACCATCCCACTGATTCCTATTAGGCAGAGCTGTTGTCGCCACTGGTCCAGTACCAACTCCGACGAGTTGATGTTACTAATCTGAGCAAGTTCTTTGGTACGCGATCGTGACTAAATGGAATCCCCTCCTCCTCCTCCTGTGCACGTGCACATGTAAGTAGCTGTTTCCAAGTTGTTGCACGGTGAAGTCTTACGTAATCGAACATCCCCGCGTCCGAATTCAGAATCCACCGCTGCACCGTGCGCGCCCGTCGCATCTGCAACTTGACTGTAACCTTCATCTCGTGCTCTACGCCCTCACTACTCTAGACGACTTGCGAGGCGATACAAGCGCATGGTTCATCGCCCGGCAGACTCGCGCCTGCTCGTCAACCTCCTCTCGCACGAAAGGGACTACTCAAAGCACCTGGCGAACCTGCTTGAGCACTCCCAGCTTTCACTAGCTTCGTTTTCGGCCTATGCGTCTGCTTCGTCGCCACCACTCGCGCAAGCTATTATCACCGTAGCGGGGGCACTCTCGGGTGCGGATGATGCGCTGCGGAAGTATGCGTTCTCTGTGGAAAGCTGGCAGGCCCAGCTGAAGGCTCTGAAAGATCTCGAGGACGAAGTCGGGAATATCATGCGAGACCGGGAGATCCTGTGAGTTCCGTCCTCTTGTCATCAAATTCAACTGGCTGTCTCTGTTTCTACGCGTCTTGGTGGATGAGTGCCAACGCGTTCACACCGTGCTTGTACGGACTCCCGCTCTCTGTCTGGATCGCGTCGCAAGGTCGCGAGGTTATTCGTGCGGCTCATATTCGCCGCACTCTATTCATATCTCCTAGCCGAAGCTTTAGGTGGGCTACGTGTTCCCATACTCCCCAACACCGGCGAAGTAGAGTACGTAACAAGCTCAGAGCTGCACACACGTCACGGGTACCTTCGTAGGCTATAACAACCTACATATGACGCTGTAGGCAATGGTAGCCTGATACATGGTCTGACCGCTCTCTACACAGTGTGACGCGTCTCATCAAGGCGTCCAAGTCTCAGAAATCCAGCCGCGACTCAATAGTCGGATCTACGCCATCACCATCTTCCTCTTCCCTAACCGTTCGCCTCGAGGTCCCTGTTGGGGCCAAGTTGGGTGCCGCCCAGACCGAACTGCAAGCATGTGAGGCGCACTTAGCTACGAAGGAGCGAGAATTGGAGGAGATGCGCATTAGAGCGATTACAATCGGGCTGCAGGCGCGGTGTAAAGCGATGGTAGAGTGCGGCTGGGTGTGGGGAGAGATGGGCAAGGAAGGGTTGCGGGCCTTGGAGAGCGGAGACATGGCGACAGCGAACGGGAATGGCATAGGTGAGCTCATATCTTTGGAGGAGGGTTTCAAATTTTTGCCCTTCTTATCGCGGAGTTGCTACTGCTTTCACTCTCGCTGGCACCGTACATATGTCTCACCCTCCCTGCAGGCACCCATATGTACCCGCACCCCTCCTCCAACTCAGATTCCGGCCATGCAGCGTCTGACCTCTCCTCCCTAGCACCCTCCCAGTCGGCGTCGCAACTTAACGACGGGCCCTACCGAAGCCCGTCGCCCCCACGAAAGCCGCTTCCCCATGTCCAGGCGTACCGCCTGTCAATCCCGCCTGCGCACTCGATAGACGAACATGCCGTGCCAGACGGGCGACCCAAAGGCGCACCTCGGGCGAGCTGGCGCATCTCCGAGGTTCCAGAGCCTGACGAGGAAGCGGAGGGCGGAGGCAGCAGCGCGGACGAAGACGAAGCGGGCCTTGAAGTGCATGAGAACGAACGGTTCGCGAAGGGCAGGCCAAACGGCAAAGGAAAGGAGCGTGAAGTGGAGAGCAGGCCATTCTCGATTCGTTCACCTGCCTCCGGGAACGCCAGCTTACCGCCGCCGAGTCCATCCACGGACTCCGGATCTTTGGGCAAGAGGGAGCGCCATAGGAGCGGCTCAGCGAGTCTGTTTGGCCGGGCGATCGGTGCGCTGTTCCACCGGGATGCTAAGGAGAAGGAGAGGGGCAGTTCCCTGAGCCCTAGCAAGAGCAGTCCGAGCAAGATCGGTGGGTGGCGCACGCGCACTGACAGTAACATTGCGAAGGTCCGGGGCGGCAAAGGCGGAGCGAGAGCTCGGACGATGAAGAGCAGACGAGGCAGCTCTACTCGACGTGGTCCCCGAACTCCGCGACTGTGCCGAAGTCAGCGCCCGTGGTGCTGGGCGCATCGGCATCCACGAGCTCGGTGAATACGACTTCCAAGGGATCCCTCTCTGGTCAACGACTCAGGAAGGCGAAGCGGAGCTCGGTACAGGCACCCCCGCGTGCCCGGGATAAGGAGGCCACAGAGAAGGGCTGGGCTAGTGACACGCGGGCGGGAAACCAAACCTCAGCCGCTCGGGTTCGGCCAGCAAGCAGAAGGGTGCGAACACGTCAACGTCGAAGAGTAAAACCAAGGGCAAGGGATCGGCGAACGGGGACGCGCCATCGGGAGTGGCGCGAAGCAACAGAGGGTCTCTGCATTTGCTACTTTGGAGATGAACGGGGGCTCGGTGTCAAGGAACTCGTCCTTGTCGAGGCAGTCGATCACGAGCGCAGCGTCTGCCCCTGCGAGGATGCCTACGCGGTCCACAACGGTACCTGCTGTTCCGCATTTGGCGACTGCAGCTTCGGCGCGATCGCGTGCGATGTCCTTGCAGCCTGCTGAATCCTTGCCAGCTATACCTGCTTCTACGGCCTCCTCTCAGGCCGGTCCATCTTCTTCGGAATATATGAGGGGACACCGGAGGACGGCATCGACGTCTTCTGCTCTGCCCAATCGCTCGGGGCTCACGAGAAGCAACGACGGTCCGAGCCTGATGAGTATCGTCGAGGGCGTTGCGAGGCAGAACAAAGACGCGTGGGCCGCCCAGGATCCCAACCGGAAGCTGATTGACGTGAGAGCGCCCCCGCCGGTGAACGAGAATGCCGCGTTTGAGGAAGCATCCAAGGCCGCAGAGAACCGTGCTCAAGCAGAGTCGTCAAGTGGTCATAGTACCGTCCTGCATCTGGGCTGCCAACAAAGCAGTCTTCACCCCTGTTGCACCACGCGAAGATGTCCGCGTCCGCTTCTGCACCGACCTTGCCTGCGTCTAGCTCAACCCTCAGGCCTCCGATGCCGCTTCGCTCTGCCCTGCGCAATAACAGTCGGACCCCATCACCAAATCCTCCCCCTCCTCTGCGAGGTGCACCGAACGACAACAGCCGAGATGCGTCCCCGTCGCGTCCGATGACGGCTAGCCATGCCCCCATCGCCCATTCGAAACTGGCCGTAATCGACAAGGACGATGACGCCACCTCGATCTCATCGTATGCCACTGGGCGTGAGGACTTCGACGAGGACAGCACGCCCTTAGCTGAGCACGCGCCCGAGCCATCTCCGTTGCCCCCACCTCCGCCTCCGCACGACACGATAGGGAGCGATGTCTCGGGGAGTTCGACTACAACGGAGGGCGCCCCTACCCGGCGCAAGAGCGTGCGGATGTCCCTTCCGCCCACGTTCTCTGCCACGCCACCTGCGATAGACGATGATACTGATGAGGAGGCCAGGGGCCGCCATTCCCCGTGGGGACCTTCGGGCCAGTGGTCCACACGAATACACGATGGACAGGACCGCGATATGTGGCAGGACTCGGACGAGGAGGATGAAGACTACAGCAGAGCGAAGAGGTTGCTGACTCGAATGTCCAGGGGACGGACCTGATATATATCTGGGTTGCAAGCTCCGATTCTGTCCTCATGGTGATATTGATTGTTCGGTCGTCTCGCGATTATGCTACACTCTACTTAAATTCTCCCTCTGGTATCATTATTTCTATACACTCTCACTATGGACAACGACTGTCTGAATTGTATGTTTTTCTCGACATTGCACGTTACGTAATACACGAGCGCTCCGCAGACTAAGAACGCGACTGCAGTTGAGGGCCGTCCCAGCCACAATACTCTTCTTCCCCTACCACCACCACCGCTGCGCTCAGAACCCACATTATGTCTGACGGAGAGCAAATTCTGCCGCAGGATGAGGTCCAGCCCAAGGCTGAGGACGCGAACGCGCCGATAAACATCAAGGTTAGCCCATGTTGTCCTGGACGCCTGACCTTGGCGAGACGGGAGTGTTTGAACTTACCGTGGGCTTCGGTAGGTGACGACGCAGACGGGAGAGGAGGTGTTCTTCAAAATCAAACGGAACACGAAGCTGAGCAAGCTCCAGGGCGCGTACGCCGCGAAAGTAGGCAAGGATGTCAACAGCATTCGGTAAGTGGCACTGCTCGTCCCCTGTCGCCGCGTGCATCGCGAGAAGAATCGATGTTGCTGGAGCAGCAGAACGCGGTTCTATCGTGATGGCGCGGATCGTGGAACACCCGTAGCCACAGTGTTGTTCGGAGTTTGAGTACGATGTGCTAATCACCTATTAGATTTTTGTACGACGGTAACAGGATAAACGACGACGACACGCCAGCATCGCTGGACATGGAAGACAATGGTATGTGCACTTACATCCATGCACACCACCGCCGTCTCACATAACCTTTCCAGACACAATCGATGTAATGGTAGAACGTGAGTACGATCTCCTTGTCCTGTCAGCCACACAGGGGAAGCTGACCCGTTGCACGGCGGTGCGTTCCAGAGGTTGGCGGCTCAGCGTGACGTCGGGGCCGCCATGTATCTGTCTGTTATATGCTGTCTGTTCTGTAGTACCATACATGTCCGGTCATCGCTCGTCTCGGATTGTGCATAACGTTGTTAATTGTAGCCTTTTCTTCCGCCCCTTGTATGCTTGCTCATTCGTATTGCTGCGTCGCGTTCAACTTCCATGGCAACACTTGCTGCCGTTTAGTGAGGTGAAACCAAGGTGCGTCTGGTCGCTTGACCCGATTTGGTGAATATCTGAACTCATCCGTATGGCTAGACGGAACTTGATTCTCGAGACCGATTTCTCGCATTCATTAGTACAGGACTTGATGCACTGCAAGGCAGCGCGTAGCTTCGTCGTAAACAGGCTCGCCTCTCTAATACCTGGTTAACATGCCGCCAAATGCCGTGGATTCGACCACCAACGCTCACATACACAGCTAACAAGTAGCAGCCGTAGATGCTTAATGCGCATTACAGATTAGCTGCGAGGCTCAAGCAATGACTATCCTACAATGAAGATTCTACGTCTCAACTTCCGTTCGCACTACCGCCACACGAGGTCACTCTACCCTCCTAGGCAGCGCCTCCCAGTCCTTTCTCAGCCCCATGCGCTCGATGATCTTGGCAGGCATGCAGTAGACAGGGTCGAGGTCTTCCAGCCCACGGTAGCCTAGCAGCGACAAGCCTGAATAAGATCGAACGTGAACACGGTGTCCGCAAGCGATGCGGATGTAGCCTGTACAGACCTGCTACGCCGAAATGAGTGTGGAAGACATCGGGCTGGTCGCCCGGTCTGTCGGCTATCCCGCCATGCTCGGGGTCCTGAAGAACGGCATCAGTTCTCCGGAGGGATGTAGAGGAGCGTAAGCGGAGGGACGCACCTGCGCTGAGAGGATGAACGCGATGAGCTTCTCCGCGTCGATCCAGGGGACCTTCTTCAGGATCGCCATCGCGGAGAGGACCCAGTAGCTGTAACAGACCTGCGGGTGCCATCAGTTCGGCGACACAAGCAAATTCAAGGACGGGGGACTGACGTCTTCGAGCTTCTCTGGCCGCCCGTTCAGCCCGCCGTTAGGCAGCTGTCGCTCGGCGAGCCACCAGCCCAGCGTCGCCTGGTCGATCTCGTCTAGTCTGTCGAGGATCGCCAACGTCGCCGTGCACACGGTCACTGCGTTTTCTCGTCATGCACCGTTCTGCGTGCGATCGCGGTGGGGACGTACCCATCGCTGCGTGGCTCTCCGCGCCCGCCACGGCGCCGAACCCGCCGTCGAAGTTCCTGCACTGCCGGATGTACCCGACGGTCTTGTCGGCGTCGAGCTCGTGCAGCCGGCCGAGGAGCGAGAGGGCGTTGACCGCGCAGTAGAGGAAGCGGGTGTCGACTTCGCCCCACTGGTCGCCTGCGAAGACGCCGGAGGGCTGCTGGAGCGAGAGGATGACTGCGGCAGGACGATGGGTAAGAGGGTCCGACGGGTGAGCGGAGCAGCACGCACACTTGACTACACGGTCTACGTCCACCCGGTCCAGCGCGTCCTGGATGATGAGGATCTGGATCGCACTCAGCGTCGCGTGCAGGTGCGCGTCGTGGTCGGGGTGCGCGCCGAAGGCTCCTGCACGGTGCGCACGTCAGGAAGGAGGCCGGGGAGGACCGCGCAGGACGAACAGACCTGACCTGCCTCGTCGTCCCAGCAGCTCATGACAAAGTCGATCATCTCCTCGCGGTCGAGCGCGTCCTTGTGCCCCATGATGGTGAGCGCGGTGAGGCCCCAGTAGATGGCGTTCATCCGGAGGTGCGCGGTAAGATGGTACATGAGGTCATCTTTGCTCTGCGCAGAACTTAGAGGGTGTCGGGTTCGACGAAGACGGGTACGCACCTCTCCCAACGACTGGATGTACTTGACATGGAGAGGGACGAGCAGCTTGGACGATGAGTCCGACATCTTGCGGGCTGACCACCGCAAATACTGTACGTTTCGCCGTACTTCAGTACTTCAGTCTTATAAGTAGTACGTTTACGCGAGCAACGAAGGCAGATTGTGGCTTGTCGACTTCTTGTGAGTGACACCGATCCCCTGGTGCACAGAGAGTCGACGGTGATAGTCAAAAGAGAGAAGATCAAGCACAAACAGGGCCGGGCGCGTCTGATGGGGAGGTTCCTGAGTCCTGGTCTGGAAAGACTCAGGGATCCATGCAGCGCGTTCTCCGAATTCAACCCTCGACAGAGCGATACCTTTCATGCGGGACGGGCTGAACATGGACGCGTGGTGTCTGGCTATGTCGTATTACAATGCAACTACAGTCTATATCTCAGACTCCAAGCCGCAGTGTGGTGTCGCTCAAGCAATGCAAATAACTTTCCAGTGAGATAATATGCTAATGGCTACAGTGAAATGGGCAGTGACATGGAGGCGAATAAGATCCTTCATGACAGACAGAGACGAAGACCCGAATGGGTGATCGTGATGCAGAGTCTGAGAGGTTTTGCCAGACGCACTCATGCTGCGATGGCGATCGCTCGGGGCTGCTCATCGGCGATGGTAAGGCGGTCGAGAGCATCCTCGAACTTGTCTTCATCGCTGTCCTCATCCTCGTCCTCCTCGTCCTCCTCGTCTGCACCCTCCTCAGCCGCGCCCTCGTCCTCGTCATCAGGCTCGTCCTCGTAATCAAGCTAATACGGGCGGTCAGTCAACGATGAAACTCAGATGCGCAAAGCGTACGCACAGGATCGTATACGACTCGTATAATCAGGCTGCAGCTCGGACATGTCGCAATGTCCTCGTAGTTAGCCAGCTGCTTGCGGGAGATCTCGAAACGATCGCCGCAAGGACAGGGGTAGTGGTACACCCGCTTCTCCTCGTCCCATGCCATATCCTCGATCTCGACCTCGTCGTAGTATGCACCCATCGTAGAGACAGTGAAGGCCCGCAGGCTCTGGTCGCCGGTGAAACTGGGGCCGCAGCAGACGAAAGGTGGACGCACAAGTAAGAGTCAACACTGCACTTGTGATTCGTCTCTTGGGTCCAGATCATGTGCCCGAGCGATGAATCGCCAGGAAAGGCAGTTGTTTGGCAGGAGCCTCCGATCCAAACAACCACCCGACTTCAGCCACCCGTCACTGACTTCGGGATCCTTAGGCTATTGCACCTCCACGTCGGCACGTACAGGTGTAGCTCGCAGGCCCACACAGTAACGAGGATATCTTCTCCTGAATCATAAAACCCGCTTGATAGCTCCCGGATGCGTAGTGCCTACAGAAGTCTGGTGCGGAGAAGTAATTTCAGCAAAAGACTCTTTGCCTCGCTTGCCGAGGGACAGCCGGCGTATGATGGTGAGTATCATACCCACGCCTATGTAAGACCTACTCATTTGCGTTGGAAGTCTGCATCATTGGCGGAGGTCATGCAGGCTGCGAGGCGGCAGCGGGTGCGGCAAGAGCGGGTGCGCGGACAGTGCTGTTAACTCAGAAACTGGACAACATCGGCGAGCTCTCCTGCAACCCGTCTTTTGGTGGAGTAGGGAAGGGGACCCTGGTGCGAGAAGTTGACGCGCTTGACGGAGTTTGTGCACGCGTTGCGGGTGAGTCGTACTAGAGCTGCGGGCGGACTGGGGCTCACATGGTCGTTCAGATAAGGCTGGTATTCAGTTTCAGATTCTAAACCGCTCGAAGGGACCCGCAGTGTGGGTACGTAATCGGTCCTTGTGCTTTCTTGTATATATTGACCATAACGTCTTGTAGGGCCCTCGAGCTCAGATTGACCGCAAGCTGTACAAGAAGCACATGCAGGAAGCTTTGCACGGCTACCGTAACCTCGACATCCGTGCGGCGAGTGTCTTCGATCTCGTCATCAATCGTTCGCCAGAGGGGCCCTCCGGGAGCTGGGGCAAGATTGAAGGTGTCCAACTAGGTGTGTGGGCTGCACGCTTCGATAGCACGCCTGTCCTCAGTCTTACGTAGACTCCGGGGAGATCATCAAGTGCTCCCAAGTCGTCATATGCACGGGCACGTTCCTGTCCGGTGAAATACACATCGGTCAGTCGGTGCATGCGGTACACGGTCGTTTTGCTCATCGGTGTTCAGGCATGAAGCGATTTCCAGCTGGCCGCATCAATGAAGCGCCCTCCGTCGGCCTCTCAGGGTCCCTCAGAAGTGCAGGCTTCCAGCTCGGCCGACTGCAGACAGGCACGCCAGCGAGGCTGCTCAAGGACAGCATCGACTTCACGCAGATGGACGTCCAGAAAGGAGATGCTGCTCCGCACCCATTCAGCTATATGAACACCACCGTTGACAATGCTGTCAGTCGACATCTTGTCCATCGTTTGTGATTGCTTCCGGCTCATCCTGTGTGCGCTTTTTAGGGCGACCAAATAGACTGCTATTTGACACGAACCGCGCCGGCGACACATCAGGTCATCCGAGATAACCTGCATCTCAGCTGCCACATCCAGGAGACGAGGAACGGTACGTGCGCCCGCACTTCATCAGCTCATTGTGAACTCATCGAGGCCGAACCAGGCCCTCGTTACTGCCCCTCGCTCGAGTCCAAGGTCCTGCGCTTCCCTCAGAAGGAGAGTCATCGGGTATGGCTCGAGCCTGAAGGATACGACTCGGGTACTTCGCCATTCAGCTGCAAATGTTCCGTGACCTGTGCTAACATCATGTCACTAGACCTCATCTATCCGAACGGGCTCTCGTGCAGTATGCCCGAGGGCGTGCAAGAGGTTCTGTACCGCACAGTCCCCGGACTAGAGAACGTCAAGCTTGTACGGCCTGCGTATGGTGTCGAGTACGACTACGTCGATCCGAGAGAGCTGAGACGTGAGTGCATGCTACTTATTCGGGTTACGACCAAACCTGATTGTTGGTGGTTCTCAGCTACGTTGGAGACCAAACGAATCAAGGTTAGAGTGGCCGCAAACTTCGCTCTTCCCAACTGACTGGTTTGCAGGGTCTGTTCCTCGCGGGCCAGATCAACGGTTCGTCACGCTTTGTTATACCATCTCGCGCAAACTTTGGCTGACTACTCAGAGTAGGGACAACTGGATACGAAGAAGCCGCTGCGCAAGGGGTCTTGGCGGGCATCAACGCAGGGCTCGCCGCGGTCCAGCGGCCACCGTTGATTCTGTCTCGTGCAGACGGCTATATCGGTGTTATGGTCGACGACCTCATCGTCAAGGGAGCGGAGGAGCCTTGTCAGTCTCTTCAGTGATCCGGGAGTGTGCCTTGTCTGAAGGGGGGGTCATCAGATCGTATGTTCACTTCGAGATCGGAGTACCGCGTGTCGATCAGAAGTGACAACGCGGACTTGCGTCTGACTGGAAAAGGTACCTGGATGCTCTGCGCCTCATTGTGTGAGCTCACGCTGTTTGACAGGACGCGAGGCGGGGGTCGTCTCAGAGGAGCGTTGGTTGTGGTTTGGACGGACACAAGGCGAAGTACAGCGCGTCACTGAGGCGCTCCAGTCGTACACGCTCACTCCACACGTGAGTCGAGTTCATCCTGGTTAGAGTATGCTCGTCTGAACTACGTTTGCAGCAATGGAGAAGACTCGGCTTTGACGTCAAACAGGACGGCATCTGGAGAAGGTCCGTATCCTCGTCATGCAGAACATCGACCCATCCTGACCTTGTCTCAACAATAGCGCCTACGAGATGCTCCACAACCCGAACATCAAAATCAGCCAGTTGTTCGAAGCTGTCCCGGACCTCACCTCCGTCGAGCTGCAGGTCCTTGAGCGGGTCGAGAACGAGGGTGAGTTGTAGAGGCTGTCGTATCGTCTCACGCTCATGACGATTGTGAAGCTGCGTACAAGATCTTCTTACAACGACAAGAGGCCGACGTGCGTGCCTTCATGGACGACGAGTCGCTCGTACTCGATCCAAGCCTTGATTATACGTCAGTGGATGGACTGAGTCTTGAGGTCAAGGAGCGGTTGCGGCGCATTAGGCCTACGAGCTTCGTGAGTGATCTTCTTCACGAGCAGTCCCTCGTACTGATACGAACGTTCGTGCGCAAAGGGTGTTGCGAAGCGTATGGAGGGGATGACGCCGGCCTCTCTGGTCGTTTTGCTGAGATACGCCAAGCGCATGCATGGTCGGGCTGCCGCTCTGGGTTCTGTAGCGACGTAGACCATGAGGATGTCAAAATTACTTGTACTCATGATGCTTTAGTCCACGGTTGTAGTGTCGCTAATCTTACACATGCTATGATATACGTTGTTGTCAGTGTCCCAGATTATCCAGATGCTTTTGCTTGGAAATTACTGGCTTGTCTCCCTCTCAGACCTGATGTCTCGGATTTGGACCGCTAGATCAGAAGGCCTACTATATAGCATGGTAGTCGATGGAGCTCGCGAGCCTCAACCCATCATACAGTATGTACAGTACCATAAAAGCACAGTATCAGTTCTACAATAGTGGTGTCCGCGGGTTAGCATCCCGTATTGTTTGTACATATATCTTTTGCAGCGAATTCCGATCCGCCTTTGGGCGGGTTGCTCTTGAGGAGGACGTATAAGGGACCTCAGCAGCAGGGTTCCTGCAACGTGCTTTGCCGATCCCAAGTGCTCCCAATTCTCAGTCGAACTCTACATCCTTGATGTCGTCGCGCAACAACAGGTGTACAGGAGGACTGTCCTTGCTGATGTCTTGGCGCCAGTCGCGGTTATACGGTGTCCGCTCAAGTCTCAGGGCCATGATTGTGTCTGTGACGTGTGGTGAGTGAATATTCTCATGGAGGACTCAAAGAATCGAATGCAGACCACGATCAAGCCACGCAGTGACGCCTTCGCTCTGGCGGAGAATGAGGAACGAGACCAACGGGATCCCGGCTTTAGGCTGTTCCCTGAGTAACCCCTCGCAATACTCAAGGCCCTCGCCGCGATTGAGTTTCAAGATGCGCTCGTCTCAGAGTAGACGTCGGACATGCGGACCACCGAGCATTTGACGATCTTGAACTTGTCCTTCGCGAGCGGGCCCGCGTTGGGAACGTACACGGACTGTTCGACGACGAGGTGCGTGCGTGCGCGGTCGGGGTTTTCGTGCAGCCGCAGCGCGTTGACGTAGGGCCATTGGTCGACGGCGTCGCGCCAGGCGTTCCAATCTTTCTCCCGTTGTGCGGCGGACGTGTCCGTCAGAGAGAGAAGCGCGATTTTCTTGTTCAAGGTCGCGATGTCTCTGAGGGAAGGCAGGTCAGCATAGGTTAGGCCTGCCCGGCGACTCGTCCCTTTGCACTCACTTGCAAGCGTCCCTGTCGGTCGAGTAAGCTGTGGTAAGTACTGTCATGAGCAATACTCGATCAAGAACTCACTTGTGTAACGGCCAATCTTGCTTCTGACATTCGCGAGAGCTAAAGGACGGTTCAGCTGCAGGTCCTGTCATCTACCCTGCCCGAAGGATATCGCACCAATAGTAGATCTTCTTGCACTTTGAGCACACGAACAGCTTCACCATCGGTTCCCGAGAAAAGCACTGCCTGCATTGCATGACAAGGCGGTGGTCGGTCTTGTCGGTGTGCTCGCGGCCTTCGATCCAGGACGGCCCACCGAGCGCTTCCAGAATCGGGCTCGCAGGTTCACCAACCGGCATCAGAAGCTCCCGGAGCATCGTGTCAGGCAGTAGATGCGGGTTCTTGCGGAACCACTTAATGAGCCACTTCTCCCTATTCCGAACATGAGATCTGCACACGAGAGTGAAGCAACCTCAGGGGCCTCACTGTTTCTTTGCGGCGCCCGGCTTTCCGCGCCGTCGCAGGATGCGAGATAGGAATATCTTCGCTTTGACTAGATCGCGTAGCCCGTCTGCGTTGGACGCAGGCGAGTCGGCGAGTCGCTCGAGCAGCGCCTCCGCCGTTGTATCATCCTCGCCGCTTCGCGTCAGAGCTTCCGCGAAGACTATCAAGAGTTCACTTCCCACGTGCGTGCATGTCAGAGTCTATCGACGTCGATCACAGACATATTTGACCAACCGCTGTGTTTTGAAGAGCGATGCAGCCGAACTACCCGATAATGCATACTCGATGATCTCCTTCTGGTACTTCGCAGCATCACCTGGTCGATTGACTTCCGGTTTTCTGGGAGGAATCGCGGAGAGACAGCAGAGCGTCAGGGGAGCACAACGGCGGTACTGAAGTGGCTCACAAGAGAAGCAGAGTGAGCTTCGCTTTTGCTTGCAAGCGCTACAGCGTCCATCAGCAGCTGAGTAAGACACCCTTAAGAGACGTGGGTCGGCGCAGCTCACCATGAACAGTCTACCATTGCTCGTCAGAGCGCCTTGCGTGACAGCCCGTCCGCCAGAATTGGATGAGCTGTCCTCAGCTCGGACAATATGCCCAAAAGCGACGAGTTGCGCGTCCGTGCATTCGTGAGAACATCGACGAATTGCTCCAAGGCCCAGACTACTGATTCGAGGATATCCTTGGGGGCTGATTACCACACCGTTCAGTACCAGTACCACAATGCAGGCTATGTCCCATTACCGTCATCGATGTGGATGAGGAAGCTGTACTTGAAGAGTCGGTGCACCTCGGTATTGAACACAAGCGATCGCGGGACTGGGTCTCGTACGATCTCGCCTGTGCGTGCATTTTGCAGGAAAATCACGTCCTGCGCGGGCGTCATTGCCACGCTCTCTTTCAGTCCAGGCACTGAGGTTCACAGTGTGACGATATGCGCAGACAAATAGCGTTCTCTGCTGCGTACCTCTCGCGATGTCCTGCCTAACCAAGTCGAGGTCTGGCAACTGTCCGCGCGTAACGCGAGACTCTTGACTGTCTGTCAGCTGCAGAACGAATTGGAGGCGTTGGCGCCGCTGAGCTGGCGGAGAGCTCATCATGATATTTGCAGAAACACGGTTGCGAGAACGGAATGAGGGAGCTGGAAGCTATTGCTAAAGGCGAGGGCCTCAGGCGCGCAGCGGTTTGCAACAGGCGCTGAGTCACGGGACGTCCATATCCCTGCATGAGTTTCCTTATCGAGACTGATAGTGGCCTCTGTCCAGATCTTCCTCGGGTGTTCAGTATCGGTTTCTGTCTCAAAACGGTTAAATAACTCTCTCGCACTCCTTCGTCGGTTTCAGGCTCGCGGAAAGGTGTCTGCAGCGAGTTTATGTAACGCAGCATCCCCATATGGTACCTCGAAAGCCTAACCTGAACCCGTCACATTTACGCATGTTTTCAGGCCTGATTCACGCTGAGAATGTGATTCAGTCTGGAATTGGCGAGTGATGATGCATATGACTCCCATACACCCCGGCACTGGTTCTCTGCGATATGATGAAAGAATATACGAGTCGATGAAGCCAAGTCCATGCTCTTTCTACGTCCCTTGGTGCCCCAATGGGGTCAGTCATCCAGCAAGACACCAAGGTATGTTGAGCTCCGTGCCGGCTTGTACGGCTTGCATTTCCCCTTATGATGTTTCCAGTCCTCCTTCTGACATTTCCTAGGAGGCGCACAGTACGCCACACTCTTGCAGCGCGAACACACCAGCAACGCCTTCCCCGAGCCGTCCTTTTGCGCTCTCGCACAGAAAGCACAAGCCTTGATCCCAGGCACCCTCCTCCGCTCGTCCTCCTCCAGCACGATGTCCCACATCGGAAACTCCATCTGGGACCGCGTCACCCCATACGCCTGTATCATCTGCTGGTGCGAGCTCGACATGACCCACCGCGCCGACACCCCGTCGTTGTTCAGCACGTCCAGGTTCCCGCCGTGCGCGAAGAACCACGCGAGCGCGTCCCGCGCCCTCTTCTTCGCCGCCGCGTCGTACCCGCGCAGCATCGCCACCTCCGCCGCGGCTGTGTCGCCGTAGCGGTTCCGCGCGTTCACGTCCCCGCCCGCGTCGTGCAGGATCTGCGCGTACTCGGGGTCGAACGTGGGCTTCGTCGAGATGGCGTGGTAGATCGCCTGCGCGCCCGACAGGTCCGTCCCGTCCACGGGCACCTTCACCTCGTCGATAAGAAACCTGGCGGCCCGGAGGTGCTCTGCGCGCATCGGCGGGAGCAGGAGCGTGCTTAAGAGAATGAGATTGAAGATCGGGACCTGCGTCGGGCCCCAGCGCTTTTCGTAGATCTCCCGGACCACAGCTGCGCGTGGATCGGGTGCGCCGCTCTGCGAGTGCGCGTGGGTGCGGTCGCGGATGACTTCTTTTACGGCGTCGAGACGTCCGAAAAAGACTGCGATCCCGAGGTCGTCCGTGAGGTCCCTCTTCGGGAGCATGTGGTTGGAGCTGAACCATCTTCTCAACCGGGCTGCTTCAACACCCTTGAGAGGGTCGTTACTGTTTCACAAATCGGCGTCAAACACGCGAACTGCAACTACGACGAGAATGCGCACCTTTTGGCTAGCTCCTCTTCGGTTCTGTCAGAAGGATGGTCAGTACAGCACATAGGCAAAGAGTGGAGTAGTCGCCTGCCTCCCTTCTCCAGCGTTCAGCTGGCGCAGAATTTCCAAACCCCTCGCGTTGTCCTGCGAATTCATGGCTAGCCCTTATCCACTCTCAGGTTATTCCGTAGTGACAGTACGGTTGAACTTGGGATGACCCGGGACAATCCCGCTTCGGCTATCATATATCATCGATCATCCCTTCTCCGCCAGATCGCCATGAGGCTACTGCCTGGCCTCGGTGTTCCTCTTGAATTTACGTCGCTCCAGCTGAAGTCACCTGCCACCGTTGTATATGGAAGAAGGCAAACCGGTCTGACAGAACGCATCAGCTCAGAAGACAAACCTCAGATTCATAATCCACGCGTAAGTGCAGTTATGTGTCGTATTTTGCGCCGAGGACAAGTATATATGCGACTATTGTTGTGTGTCAGACTTGGAATATCACTGTAGGAATAAAGTTTGGTTGAGAGCCGACTAAACGACACTGGAAGTCTCGCAACCTGCACGCACCCAAAGCGGTAAGGCGCATCCCATATGTAGTAGGATTGTGGCGGGAGAGCATGGCAGCTTGCCAGTTTGTGGCTGTCACCGACACGACTTGTTGAATTTTAGTGATGACGTCGGAGGCGGTTTAATGACGCCAGCGGACGTTCGGTCGTGTCCATGTCAACCCTGTGCCCATCCATATATAAGACGGAAAGCGGTGAATCTGTTCAACGTCCCCCCTCTCTCGCGTACTGCCATCTGCTTTCGTCAAAGAAGATTTTAAAAAAGGGTGAACACTGATGAATCACTCAACCAAGAGGGCCCAGAGGCGACGCACCCACATATGGATCCTCAGCGTGGGCGGTTACCCGGGCATATAATGCGGGGAAGCCGGGAAGCTTGAACTGTAAGCATCATGCACCGGCATGTGGTGCGTCTCTCCTCCTCCACAACAATCTCTTGATAATCGTGCGTTACGTGCAGCGTTGCTGAGATGGCACGCTTACATACACCCCGATAGCTCCGTCGTTCTGGATCAGCATCGATGATGGAAGACAAGAGCTGTCGCAACAATAGTCAAGCTCTCAGGCTAAAGACAACGTAAGCCTGCTCTTCTGTACTACACCGCCTGCGTCGCAAGCCGTGTACAGAACCACATGCTTACCTCGTGGATGGATGCTTGTTATGAATTTGACGTGGCAAGGTTTCTGCACAGCCCTGCAGCGTTGTTTTCATTCAACGCCGTCGATCAGGGATGATCGAGTCCTCGAACACCCGAACCGAGAGCGCACTCTAGATCTGTGTGCAAACCTCCCGAAGAAGCTGCACCGTTCGAAGTCAATCAGAACATAAGCGAGGATCGAGACTTGCGTGATAACTGGGAAGAACATCGACATGGCAACACAGGCTTGACGGAGGACAAGGGAGAGGCGCCAAATCTCACCTTGCTCTCTCACTACCACCACTGTAAGTCGCTCCCTACTGTAACTGTGCCCCATCTTTGCGAAGGTGGCTAGCACCCGCCCACGCTCTTTGCCATCTGTCTTTCGCGTGTCCTGACGAACTTCTCAATTCACTTCCGTTGCTTGAAACACGAGGCTCGCGGAACCATTGCGGAGGTTGCCGGGCGACGCCACCGGCTAAAGGACTGCTATATTGGGGGAGGGTTGATTTGGGTCGTCTCGCGCGTTTTCTTCGCCCTGCTCGCCCCCACGAGGCTGCCCGTCGTCAATCTCCACGAGGCTCTCGCGTTCAAGGCCTCTGAGCAGCGAGCGTGCCTCCGAGCCTCCGTCAGCCGTGCTGCGCCCGCGTGCACGTCGGAAAATCCATCTAATCTACACGCCAACTCGCGCTCTGCCCACCCTACTCCTGCTTACTCTACGCTCGCGTTGCATGCCTTCCGTGCCTAATCTACGAATATGTCACGACAGTACGACTCGAGTACGCCGTCGTCCGAGGACCCTTCGCCAAAATCCACGATTCCACGTTCTAGCACTGGCTCGCCGCCAGGCAGCGCAGGCGAGCAGGAACGTCCCAGTACCGGAGACGTCGACCAGCCTTCTTCGCCCCCGCAATCGCCTCCGGGCAAGTCGTCGAGCTCGGAGGGCTACCCCTCCTGGCTCCCCAAGCGTCCTCCTCCACCCGCGCCGCGTTCCACTTTGCAGTCCTCTGTCGCTGGCATGTACACTGGCGCTGAGCCCGGTCCGAGCACTGAGCCGTTCGTAGGCGGGCGGAAACCTACGCCTCGCTCGGTACGCATTGTCAGTCTGCAGGGGTCAGGCGACCAGGCGGAGAAAGAGTCCAAGGCACGTCGCGAGCCCACGGATCAGTCTCGCGCGTTCTCTGGGCCCGCGCACGCACGTGTATGGTCGCGCGCGACGAGCGCAGGCCTCACGCCGACGTTGTTCTCGTCGGGCTCGCCTCAGTTTCCGCGGCCGCGGTTTCGCTCGGCTGGGCTCCACTTGGAGCTGCTGCGACACCCTTCATGGAGGATGCGCTGCTTATTTTTCTTCTTCCCTCTCTTCGTCTTTGCGCACATCCCGCTGCAGACGTTCTTCGATTTCAATGCTGTATTCATCTTGATTCTGTGAGTGTGTTGCTGTGGGCTTGTTCTCATGCTCACCGCTACGACTGCAGGATTGCCAAGTTCCCAACCCTCTGCGCCTGGTGTGCCCGGCTCGGGGCGGGATTGGGCGCTGGCTGCAGCCGCCTACATTGCTTGCTGGTTCACCTGGATCGTTGTAATTTCTATTGTATATGAGCTCCTCTATTCTTTCACCCGCCGTTGGAGAGTCAGTGAGTGTCTCGTGTCTCTCAATTGTTTCCTCGCAATTGTACTCACATTGCTACAGAACGACCGCTAATGTTCCCCCTGTACATATCCTCGCCCGCATTCAACCTTGTCTCCATGACGTCGTACACCAACTTCTGCTTCATGTATCATATCCGCGTGTCCGCCTTCACCGGGGAGCACGCCTCCTTGCGCGACGGGCTTGCCGAGACGGCACATTATTACTCACAGAATGGCCGACTGTCATCCTGCTCATGCCGCGTGCGGCGCTCTCGCTGGCGGTCTTGCTGGCGTTCTGGTCCCCTCAGCCCGGTGCGATCGCGCAGGACGACGCTGGGATCAGCCCACGGGACGGGACGTTCTTCCGTGCGGACGGCACTCTCACCGACTACGCCCGTGGCGTACTCATTGCCAACGCTGCTTGGACGGCGTGGCGGATCCTCGTCTCTTCTTGAGCTTGTACGTGTATTCCGAAGTCTCGCGTCAAGGACGTACTGAAACTGACATCTCCCATCAGTATCGGCCTCTGGATTGTCAGTGGGCAGGGCTGTGCCGGCCTCTGCGGGCCACGCTATCGCTGGGAGGAGGATGACGCCGAGAAGACGGCGACGCTCGTGAACGACACGCTGTCCGAGCAGGACGCACTCCCGTGGTCGTGGAAGGAGTGCACGCTCCTGCGGATCAAGGACGCGCACGACTTCTGTCTGACGAAGCAGCCGCGTGGCCCAGGTCGCGAGTCGCGCGAGCCGTCCGTCCCTATCGAGGGCATGGAGCGCATCTTCGCAGCGGTGGGCCTGCCGTCGGCGCATCAACCCGCACGGCGGGGTGTGCTCTCGGACGAGCTGTTTGCGACTCCGGAGCCGATGGTGGGCAGGAGGTCCCGGAGGACGAGGAGAAGCGCCGCATGAGCAAGTCGGCACCGGAGCTGTCGAATATCGCGTATCCGCCGCCGACGGCGAAGCTGAAGGATAAGCAACCTGCGGCCCCGCCATCGTCCTATCCATTCGCGGCATACCCTGCACAGCTGTCCTCGGAGGAGAGCGTACCGTTCCCGCCATCACCTGAACCCGATGAGAAGGAGGTGCCGACTGAGGCCGGCGAGGAGGAACAGGAGGGCGAGGAGGAGGAAGGGGAGGAGGAGGAAGAAGAGGAGGAAGAAGCAGAGGGGAGCGGAGAACCCTCAGACAGACGGACTTCCGGTTCGATGTCCAGTCTCGGACAACCCATAGCCTCGAGATATCCCTTCCAGTTCCGAGCGCCGACGCGGGCCAGTGCTTCCCCCGCGTCACACAGGTCTCATATGACGCGGTCCACTCCTCAGTCGACTTCGACGCCGTCGCGATCGACTCACACGCATTCAACGCCGTCGACGCGCCTCTCACGCTCGACGCAGTCGACAGGCAACCAGGAGTCATCGGACTCACCGAACGGAAGCTCCAACGCGCACAATAGCTCGATGTCGTCGAGCTTCGGTAGCGTCATCCCAATGCCTCCGAGGCATCCGCAGGTACAGAGGAGGGCAAGAGCAGGCACAGTGCCCGCAGTGCTCGCGTCCCCCACGCCTGCTGTATATCCTGCGGGACGGCCGCGTGCGCGGACACGCACCGAAAGCGTGGTGACTGATACGTCCATGACGTTCGGCCAGCTCCCTGCGCCTGTGTTTGACTCGGATCTTGATCCTCACGAGGACTCGTCACTCATGGACGTCCCCGAGGCAGAGGGTTCGATCGAGGAAGCAGAACAGGAGGATAGCGTAGGCTTGCTGTCTGCGGGACCGAGCCCACATGCGTCCCGCGTAAGCCTCCGTCATCGGGCGAGTGGCCTTTCGCATCGGCGGGCTAACGGCTCCCGCTCGCGCTCTGGTAGGGGATCAGGTTCCGGGTCTGGGTCGGGTTCAAGATCGCAGTCCCGCTCGCGCACGAACTCGGCCACCTCGCGCTCGGAGTCAGCAAGTCGAGGGCGCAGTCATTGATTCATCCCTAACAGCTGCGTCGAGGTCATCCTTGGATCTGCACGATCCCGCGCACATTCCATGGTTCGACTGTCGGATTCGCCGTTTGAGTCGTCCGCTTCGGACGCGGTTCTGAGCAGTCCGGAGAACCATACGTTTGGTCATCCTCTCAGAGAGCAATGGCGTGAGGAGGAAGCAGGACAGGGTGGAGTTCCTGAGGTCCCGGAAGTTGTCCTGCCTTCGTCCTCCGAGTCTGGTTCAGATCCACATTCGGGCGGAGAAGGCGACGAACATCCGCACGAGCTTCGAGAAGCTCGCTCGACTCTGTCAACGAACGCGCCCTCTGCCCACGCACCCTCGGAGCAGACATCTGAATGGAGTTCGCACACTGAACGTCTTGGGATCCCCATTGTCGGTCGGCGACCTGCCGCCGAAGAGAGCCAGCCCGATATCAGCACAGCGGATCAGTCGTATGTGACCGCCCCGGCGACGGTCCAAGGATCAACGACGCCTTCCGTGCAGACCCTTCAAGCTGGGGTGACGTCGCGCGCTATCCTGATGAAACGTGGCGGCCTGCCTGAAGCGCATTGGTTGTGCGTGGACCTTTCTTGGGACGGACTCTGGATGAACTATCAAAAACTCTCATCAGTTATTCCTGTGTTTATACCTACTATTGCATTTGCAGACCCTAGATTATTGCTCGCATCTTCATCCCCGCCTTCCCCCATCCCCCTTAAACCCCTCATGACCGCCATCCGCATGATACTCACGCGATACCTTCGACCTGTCACATTACAATATAAAATAAAACATCGTAGCGTTTTTTCACGCGTTACCGTTCTCGGACTTGCCTACGTCAAGTGGGACATCGTTCGCACAACAAAGCCCAGACATCTACCTCCGAACAAACTTGAGAGGCGGCTCCTGTCGAGAGTCCACAAGGCATCCCGTCAACGAGAAGACACCAGCGCATCCTGCGCTTGTACTATGTAATTACTTACTTACATACCGTAGTAGTGTCGACTCCGGGCGCTCAAGCGTTCGAGCGTCGCGATCATGTGGCTAGTCGCGTAGCGATCGTACCGTCGTGCGCGAGTCTACTTATTTCACCACCACCTTATAACTGCAGAACGACACTCCACGCGATGTCCACGCTCAGTTTCGATTTTGACGCGTTGGTATCCACCATTTCCGCTGATGCCCATGTGCGGCAGCGCTCTCGAAGCACCTGTATTCTGCTTTGGACACACTACCCGTGACACATGCGCGGAAGCTAGCCAAGTGCTTCCAGGACTCAGGAGAAGAAATACGATACACGCAAAGCTTGGTCACGCAGGTGGACTACGACGGACGAAAGCGAACATTTGAGGCGGACCTGAAAGCCGCAGTGGATTCGCTGGACGTCGCCGTCTGGAGGGAAACAACGGAGAAGTGGTTGCGTATCATGGGGGAGTGGCTTCCGACGCTATGGGGCTTGGAGTGGAGAAGGGGCTTGAACAGGAACTCGTACGGCAGTGTCTCACGTTCTGCGAAGAAGTTATGCGTCGCATGGTGCCACCATCCGACATAGTAGCTGACTGGTCAGTAATCACACTTCTAGCTTCGAGCATGATTCAGTCTGATTCTCAACAATATGGACGGTAGGCCAGATCCTTGCGTCAACATAGACATTCAGGATGAAAGCGGATCTTCGGTCTTCAAACAGGCAGAATGTCCTCTCGGTCACATCCTTGCATGGATGTGGATAGAACTACTCATGGATTCGCTGGTGGGGAGTTCGAGCTCTGAATTGACATCCGTCAAAGACACTGTGGCAGTCCTTCAACAATCGAACATATCGTGCGGGCTACAGGCCATTCTTGGCGCACGCATGAATGACAGTCGTAAGTTTGCTTTGACTCAGACGCTGCCTAATATTGACTGCTAGGATATCAGCATCCACCACTGCATCAGTGGGCGACACCACGATTCAGCTCATGAGCGACAACGCGTCTCGGTCCACTTTCGATCACTGGTCATCCGACAAGCAACAGAAGTTGCCTGAACTACGCACCCTCTTCTTCGCCCCGGAGATCCGGACGTTCAAGGCATCGCCCACCTATCTCCACTTCAAATCGCTCATCGGCCGCCTGCCTAGCTTGCGGGACCCGCTGTTGTGTGCCACTCGCGAGAGAGTCCGCGACAACGCGAGGAGCCGAATCCTCCGGATTGAGTGGGAGGCGGCTGTCGACATCTACTGGAGATGGGGGAAAGTGGCGGATGCATTAAGTCTACAGAAGACGTTGGCCGCTATCCCTATGGACGAACACGTGTTGAATGCTCAACTCGTTCTGTTCAAGCGGTTGAAGTCGAAACGACCTGAAAAAGCAGTAGCCATGATGAAGACGCTCCTGGAACACACAATCGGGCGTTGCTGGCTACAGATTGCTCGGGTGTATCCCGGCTGGGACGATGCTTGGGATTGGCTAGACGAGGCTGTCCATGACGGCCAATTACCAGAGAAAGGGCCGACTGGCGCAATCGACGCGGAGCGAACGCAGAGAGATCAGAAATTGGCTCACTTCAGAGTGCTTCTTGGTCCCTCGGCAGCGGTTGAAGACGAAAAGATAGTGACATCGCTCGCTGGACAGAAACGTGCCAGGGAAGAAGAGAAGAGGTCTTCCGGATGGGGCTTAGCGCGCGACGTGCAACGATGTTTGAAAGAACTGGATGCCGCTTCGGAGGACGTCCAAGATGATGTTGGTGCCGTGGCTTTAGCAAAGGCTGCTCTTCGAAGCGACCATCTGTCCGGCGTTGACGGTGTTTTCAACGCACTGCACGATAGGTTCGCACCGCTCTTTTGTTGTATTCGCGTGCTCAGGCTCATGGGTCCGTGAATTACAGTACATCCGAGATACTTGTTCGTGCCGGATTACACGCATTGAGAGACGTCCTTAGGGGCAAATGGAACACCAAACACGACTATACTGCCTCTATTGATGGCGAACGACCAGCAAAGAAAGCTCGTATTGAAGCGACACACGTCGCTCGTACTGAAGTGACACACGCCCGTGCGGACCCGAAGCCATGACGGCCTCTGCCTCCTCGCTAGAGCAACAGCGTGCAAGATGGTAGAGTATGACCGACGGTCAACACGTACGATTGTAACTACGAATGTTCGCTTGAATATAGTGACAATGACTCGGTCAGGTCGGTATGCTACTCTCGTGCATTGCAGTCTAATTGCATGTTGGTCGATCCTCAGTCCTTCGACGTCGCACACGCGCCAAATTACGATGTTAGATGGAGCCGATCGTTGTTCAAGTGCGCTGCCCACGAGACTGGGAGCTGAACGCTGCGCAGTCGCTTGCGTACGGGTAAGAAGAGTCAAACGTCGACGTCTTCCTGGAGGGAGAGCGCGTTTGTGATCGCTCCGGGTCTGCGTCATCTGTGTCACTGCCACTCAACAGTAGCCTAAGCATGCTATTACACCCAGAAATTACAAGCATTCCAAGACATCCAGCCATCTCTACAAGAAATCGATCCTCATGTGCGCACTGTCGCTTGCTCGTACTACAAATTTTAGACCAATGACTATGCTCGTCCTCAGAACGGCAGAACGGCGGCACTGCTACGGTACCGCGTGGTTTCTTGGTCGTAGGCAGGGTGCCCGGGCGGCGTCGAAGCATAACTGCTACCCCTAAGTTTTTCCACGATCTCGTCGAATTCGGCATCCCTGTAGCTTCTACGCAACACAGGCAGTGCTGGGGGTTGGCTCTCGTTTATGTCCCGGCGCCAGTTACGGTTATACGACGTCTGTGCGATTTTGCTGCTCTGGATAATACCTGTGAAGCCTATTTAGTAAGTACCATTGGACGTGAGAGAACATCAGGACAAGACCTGTGTCTAATGAAGTCATTTCTGAAGTCATGTCTGAGGGCCCTATTCTGAATCTATAAGGAATGGGACGGCGGTGTCAATGTGGCGCGCGTAACTCGCGTGGTTTTCGCGTATGCTCGCTGGGGAGGGGCAACGCCCGCAAGGGCGAATCTGTTTGTTCGTGTTTGGAATTAGTGGCATTGGTCGCGAGAGTGGTAGAAGCACTGTATCACAAACATGAGCTCCCTCAGATGCTTTGGTGTCCGCGGATGCAACGGGATTGAGAGCCATGAGGCCATAGAAGGTTTTGTTAGGTTACATGGACGAGAATTCCGATTTAATGAGTGTGGCTCATGTGTGTTTCCTCAATCATGGAGTGAAAGACAAATATCCACACAATGAAACCACTAATGAAACACTCATACGTACTCTCGCAATATATTTGTCACCAATGACCAGGCATGAATGCCTTTGCTTCAGGTTAGATACACGGTATACTGATAGGCACGAAGACGCGCGAGATGTCTCCGCCACAAACACGTCGTACGGTCACGTGAGCAACAACAACGCGGTTACCCGTTCATCTCCATGCGCGTAACAATGTCCGTTCTCTCTCAAACATATCTCCTTTCGATAGGTGAGTTGAGGTATAAATGTACCATGGTCCCTGAATTTAATCGGGAGTTTCCTAGATTTATTCTGCGCTTAATTCGTGCCCTGAAGTTCAGCTACAGCATAATACACCAATAATCATCCTCGGAGACGCATACATCATTAGCACGAGTATGGTGGCCAAAGGAACATATAAATCATGTACTAGACCGAGGCGGAAGGGACGCTCTTCAGCACAGAAGGCAGCTGCAGCCAAGGGAGCTCTGGCTAGTAGAGCTCAGTATCATGGAGACTCAGACTCAGACTCGGCACTGGCGAGAGAGAACATACCTGTAATGGGTCCACAGTCATCTGGGATGGCTATTTTTTCGGAGTGGAGTGTCAGTGATATAGGTTACTTCCTTGCCAAGTGACAAACAAAACTCACTGTCATGTAGAAAGCTGAGATGGAGGACTTGCCGGCGCATGATGGGACTCAGCACTGGCATAAGCTTGCCGAATCGAGGAGACAACTGCACAACAGTCAGCGACGAGAAGCACGTATGAAGAAACGAATGAATGTACTCAAGGACAAGCTTCGAGTCAAGACAAATCTTCATGCATCTGTTGAGAAGCACAACACCGAGTTAGAGGGCAAGATCGTGCATCTTCAGCAGGAGGGGCACGAACTTCGCACGACCCTGGTCGGAACACGCAGCGCAAGCCTTGAATGGTCGATAAGCTACATGGTTGTCAAAATACTATTCGAAAGCTTCGCAAACGCAGCGAGCGTGCACCCCGTGTTCTCGCGAACGTGATTGAGAGGGCGAAGTCACGGCCAGCGATCTTTCGTTTGAAGCGGAAGGGTGTTTACACGCCAGCCGCGCGGTCGCTTGCGCGCATGTTGGTGCGAGGTGGATGTTCACAGAAGAAGGTCAGAGACGCCATGCAAGGCGTTGCGGGAGCGTTAGATGTTCGACGACACCTGTCACGAACATATTCGCCGCGAAGCACGTACCTTTGACAGCAGTGGCCACGAGGCCGAGCGCCGCAGACGTCAAGTCGAGCACGATCTGGCAACTGCTCAGCAGAGATCAGCAGAGGCCGCGGAGAAGAAGCGCAAGGAAAATGAACGGGAGGCCAAGCTGCGTGCAGTCAAGTTCGTAGTTGACGAGGAGGGCCTGGCGAAATTACGCAGACCTGACATTGATCAGCAGCTTCAAGTCTATCGGCTCGACGATAAGGAGACCCCCGCACCTTCGTCTTTGCACAAGAAAAAGGTCAAAAAGCCCGAGGCATTACTAGAGCTGAGGAAGGCGATTGCGCGTGCAGAGGCCCGCCGTACACTGGCTCTTTCGAATACTGCTACATCTGAGTCAGACAGCATTACAGCGAGTTTGACACAACGAGCAGGGGAATCCCACATAGACTATGATAATGACTCGGACCTAGATTGTTAGACTATAACATACATTTTAGTATAACGTACTCGTAATTTACTCTGGATAGATGTCTTGCCTGTAGAGCTTGAACGCGATCAGTGCGATGTATACGCCACACCAGCGCCACACGATCGAGGTGTGACCAAGTTTGCAGTGGCGCGTCGCTGACTAAGCGGCCACGGGCGTCGCAGGGCTTGCCCCTCCCCATGCTCGCGTGGGTTTCGCGTACGCCCACGAGAAACGCACATGGCGTCCACGTTCGCCGCGTGGCCTCATGTGGCGCACCCTCCTCCCATAAGCTCCCGGCGTCTTCCGCCCGCGGGGGCCTGCGCGAGCCAGCCCGAGGTGTCCCCGAGGCTGAATTTCCGCGTGAAATGGGGGGAAGTGACGGAAAAATGAGTAGAAAAAAATACACATAGGTTATAAATGGGAAGCCTGAGTGATGGGAAGAAAAATCACAACTCAGTGCTGGGAAGTAGGACAGCTCAGCCCTGGGAAATGAGATATCAATACCGGGAAAATAAGGAAGATTGGTACCAGGAAAACAGGACACATCAATAAGTACCAGGAAATAATGGGAAACACAGCAGTAATACCAAAGAAATAAACACCAACTTGAAGAAGACAGAGATATCAATGAAAATGTACCACAGGCCGGGAAATATTGAAGAAAGATGTGATCACAAGGGCAACACATGGCATTGAATGAACCAGACTAATATCAGTACTGGGGAAACAGGACACATCAATACTGGGAAATAATGGGAAAAACAGAGGTAATATGGAAGAAATGCCCTGCAGCAGATTATAAAATCACAAGACAAATGTATACACAGGAGAGTGTACTGCAGGCCGGGAAACATTGAATCAAAATGTAACCACAAGGGCAACACATAGCATTGAATGATCCAGATGCTGCCAGCCCAAGTATGTAATCTTAAAAGTAACATGAAGCAGTGAATGAAAACCCGCTGCCAGACCTGTGGCGAAGCCCAGGTCTGGCAGGCTCAAGCATGTAACCTTAGGGGTAACATGGAGCACAGAATGAAAGAACTGCCGCCAGACCTGTGGCGAAGCCCAGGTCTGGCAGGCCCAAGCATTGCAATCTTATGGGCGACATGAAGCAGTGAATGAAAGAACCGCCCCGTCAGCCCGTGGCGAAGCCACGGGTTGACGACGCTCGTCTAAAAGGAGTGGGACGAGGGTGGTGCTGTGGCGCGCGTAACTCGCGTGGCTTTTCGCGTACGCCCACGAGAAACACACATGGAGCGCACATGGCGTCCACGTTCGCCGTGTGGCCTCATGTGGCGCACCCTCCTCCCATAAGCTCCCGGCGTCTTCCGCCCGCGGGCGCCTGCGCGAGCCAGCCCGAGGTGTCCCCGAGGCTGAATTTCCGCGTGAAATGGGGGGAAGTGACGGAAAAATGAGTAGAAGAAAACACACATAGGTTATAAATGGGAAGCCTGAGTGATGGGAAGAAAAATCACAACTCAGTGCTGGGAAATAGGTCATCTCAGTGCCGGGAAATTAGCACTGAAAGACCACAAAGGAAATGCAATGGGAAAGATTGAGTAGGGAAATGTGTGCCTAAAATCAATGTTAATGGCAAGCATGAGTAACGGGAAAATTGAGCAATGTCAGGACTCAGTACTGGGAAAACTTGAACAGGGCATCTCAGTCCCAGGGAAAATAGTGTGGATTAGCACAGAGAGAACAGTATATAGGTTCCTCCTGGGAAGTAGAAATTAAATATGAGAAAAAATCAATATTGGGAAAACAGGACACCTCAGTAACGGGAAATAATGGGAAGGCACATTTCACTGGCAATAATGGGAGTAAGTACCAGGAAAACACACCTCAGTGTTGGGAAAACAGTAGAAATTAGTCCAGGGAAATGAGATATCAATCCCGGGAAAACAGGAAATCTCAGTGCTGGGAAAACAGGACACATCAATACTGGGAAATAATGGGAAAACAGTAATATCAAACAATTGCCCTGCAGCAGATTATGGACATCAAGACTACAAAAATATGGAACAAAGTGTACTGCAGGCCAGGAAATATTGAATAAAAACGTAACCACAAGAGCAACACACAGCATTGAATGAATCAGATATGGGCTGGCAGTGCCCAAGCATGTAATCTTAAGAGTAACATGAAGCAGTGAATGAAAGATTGCTGCCAGACCTGTGGCGAAGCCCAGGTCTGGCAGGCTCAAGCATGTAATTGTAGGAGTAACATGGAGCACAGAATGAAAGAACCACTGCCAGACCTGTGGCGAAGCCCAGGTCTGGCATGCATTAACATTGTAATCTTATGGGCGACATGAAGCAGTGAATGAAAGAACCGCCCCGTCAACCCGTGGCGAAGCCACGGGTTGGCGACGCTCGTATGTAGAATGCGACACCCCGTTCAGGTTGCGTTGGCCAATGAAGATGCAGCTCCTGAGGGTCAACACCTTTGCCACCCGTTATCATCTTCAGAAATTCGGACAAGCGAATGACCGCACATCCGATGACCTTGAACTTATCCTTTGTATGCGTTCCTTGCGGAGTGTAATCCAACACCTCGAGAATGAGGTGCGTACTACGTGTACGACCTGGGTCTTCGTGCAAACGCAATGCACTGACGTAGGGCAGCGTATCCGCCACTTGTCACCATGCGTCCCAATCTTTCTCCCTTTGTGCAGCAACTGGATCCGTCAGAGCGATTCGTTTGATCTGCGCATTCCTCTCTGCCAATCTTCTGGCCCAAGGCAGATCAGCTGCGTACTTGATGAAACATAAGTCACATCATTCAAAGCCAGTGTATCCACGTACTTCTCGCAATGTCCCGCCTGACCGAGTCGAGGGTCAGTAAATGTTCTTGTGCCTGAGCCTCAATGGCGCCCTTCCAATCACTGAACAGGAACTGGACTCGTTGTCAAACAGCAGACTCGGATGCGGGCGCCACTGGCATAATGTGATATGAGCCCTTGAGGAGAGCGACGGTCAATGCCAGTGGAATCATAAGTTACAGGCATCGATGTCTTACTATCACTGTTACCTCCGTCTGCACGTTCAGGTTGCCTGGCCCTCGACTGGGAAACAGAGTGAGCTGGCAGTTGTATTCAAGTCAAGTTTCCGCCGCTAATAGACGCCAGCAATCATGACATACCCCTTATGGCAACTGCCTACCTACACTGAGTAAATCATGACTTTCAGCCTGGTTTGAGTCGGTACGTCGCTACAGTACTGGCCCTCCTGTATATTTCGAGTCGGACAACTTGAACACATATATAGAGGTTCCGCCGTTCAAGGCAATTATAATGGTTTTGACTTCAACCTCGCGAGTATCGACCCGGAAGCCTTCCACGACGTCATGTGCCGACCGAACTAGTCGACTCGAGAGAGAACCTGGGGATGGGTTTCGAAGTGACGACGGTTATTGTGTACCCAAGTACATAATGTAGTCCTTGGCATCCACAAAGTCAAACCTCACCTATCGCTGACTGTCGCCATCAATTATCAGACACCCCTGCCAGTGATCGCATTATTCTGGCAAACTCGGGGGTGACTCGGATCCAGAACGTGAGATCCCATTCGGACGTTTACATGCCCACAATATGCTCCCAGGTTATCCTAACAGACTGGTTCTAGGACACTGTTGCGGTCTCATCTCACGCGTCTTCGTAAGACCTGTACAGCGCTGTGATTGACCTAGCCGGGTGAGGACGACGTTGAACTTCTGCTAGAATGCTCAGGTTAACACAGCGACAGTCGTGCCGGCGACTCGAGCCATGCTCACCGGCATGTAAGATACATTCGGATCGAAGGTGTAACTTCAAGTTTCCGAACCAAGCAGACTGACGTGAAAGGACGGAGGTCCCAGTCCTACTAAGTGGTTACAACAGATGATGTGTCGTACGTTCACGCTTGCATTGGTGTGCGGGGCCCCGGGCACGGCGTACATTAAATGTGACTTTACTAAGTCCATACATGCCTACGTCGTAGATCGAACAGCCAGTGAAAGGAAGGCGCGGGCCGGATAACTGAAGTTTCCTATAGAGTCGCTATTGCCCTCTGCCTCCGCGTAAGAGTCATAACGGGATGTGCATCAGCAAATTGGGCAAGTCCTGACAATCTGCCCATCTGAGATGCACCACTCAGAGCATCAGGGCATTTCAGGTGTCAGACTCTGTCAGACAGGTTCAGACAGGTTCAGACAGGTTCAGGAATCAGACAGGTTCAGATGGGTTCAGACAGATCCAAATCAATGCAAATAACAGTGACGAAGACTAAAATATAGTTTCGTGTGAATGATAGTCACTGTACTTATTTACATAGAATGATTCAAATGCATCTAGGCTATACGAGAAATGAAAGTCGACTGGTATCGAAGCATCTCCATACAGTGGCATCAGGTGAACAGCACGAAATAGACTATCTAAATGTACAATAGACGATACCTGCTGTTCATCATCATCGAGCTCGGGCTGAACGACGTACATGCCAGTCACATCGCTTGGATCCTCTAAGACGTCGAACCAATCAATCAGTGCGCACGGATAGCGTATACCACTGTATGTGACCGCCATCAGCCCCATGACCCGACCGACAGCCATCCCATTCATGCCGGGCTCGTCCGCGTCAACACCAATGAGGACTGTATCGTAACGCGGGTTGCCGCGCCAAGAAGGGTTGCACCGAATGAGCTCCCGGTGCATGCCGCGATCACCAGAGAGTTCGCTTGGCGCGAAGAACGTAGCATTCGCCGACCGGTACACGGCGATCTTCCCGAGGAATTGCGGACATTCTGATAGGTCCACCATGCTTGAGTCGATTTCGTCTGTGGCATACAGTTGGTCGAAGAGAAAGCGGCGGAGCAAAACGAGAAGGTCTGGCTGTTTGTACTCGGCGGCAAGCTCCTCAACACGGCGCATATAGACTAGACTCGTATGAGTATAATACACAGCTGCACTAAGTGAGTGAATTCAACTTACCTTGTCGCATTGGAAGCTCGACGACACCCTCCACAGCACCATTTACGTCCATCGCTTCTTCCTCCGGCTCGTCAATGTTGTCAAGAGCGAACTGATCTTCGGTTACGAAAGCCACGTTCATCGCGTCCGCGAGGACGTCGCCGTCAAGCATGTGCCGGTTGGCAAAGACTGACCGCGCGGCACTGAGCTTGTCGAGGCGTTGGTTGATGCAAAGCATTTCGAGCAGAGCGTTATTCCTACTCGATCGTCGCCATGGCTGCTTGACCGCACGGATGTGTTTAGATTCGGTGATCGACGAGCATATACCGTTGGGCAAACCAAAAAGTCGAATGCCAGTAATGTAGTGGACGAGGGCATGTTGTCGTGGCAGCGAGAAACCCTCAGGGCGTACGCCAACAGTCTCGAATATGACACGATATCGGTGGAAGCGATCTAAGGCTTCTTGCATCGCCGCGAGAGAACCTTCATCATGAGCAGACCGTCGAGCCAGATAACAGAAGTCTAGGTATGCCGCAAAGCAGCGAACCATATCGTCCGGCACATGACCTTGTATGGCGGGAAGGTAGACCTTCCGTGACACAAGGACATTAGATTGTATTCTCGGAACGACGTCGGAATAGGGCATCAATTTACTCACCTTCATTAAGGCCTTCGAGTCGTTTCCAGTCCACTGCTTGAAGTTACGTCCTTCGGGAAAGCGGCGAAGTCCTGGGAATTGAGGCGCAGCGGCAATCCTTCGGATAAGTGATAGTATCAGTGATTTGATAGGTAGATGACATTAGGAAGCTCTCACCTGCGGTCTATATCATCCATTCTTCGACGAGCTTCGACTTTGGGATGCACGAGGTAAAGATACTGCTCCACCCAGTCGACGAGGTGGTCTTTGAAGGTCCCCTTGATGAGCTGGTGGAGGAGATCAGGGGTGAGGAGTTCGTAGATGTCGGCACGGGGGAAGTACGTCGTGAACGGCTTGGAAAACGGCAGATGTTAACGTAATCATTGTAACATTGGATCATCTTGACATACTATGATGTTCGCGTCGATTCCCCATGCGATCCAGACTTCGTCAGCATCGAATGTATTGATGACCTCTTCGGTGTGATCACGACAGCGTGGGTCTCCTCCACCTTTGTATAGATCTTCGGGAGGAAGGAGACACCTATCAGTTGGTGAGCAACACTACGAATAAGAGAAGAAAGATGTGTACTTCGGGCACCACCCAGTCACTATCCCTGATAGGACGACTTGCTCGGGATAATCTGCAATGAACGGCCCGAGTTGATATATCACTCGTCGGAAGTGACCGTCGGGGCAGCATACAACGTCGTAGGTTTCCATATAAGGCCGCAGTGGCGACATGATGTGCGCTATTGACGCGTGGTACAGCTGTTTGCGGAACGTTCGGAACTCATCAGTCTCGGCTTCGCCTCGTGCAGCTGTGGCGAAGTCAATGAGCTCGGATCTCCTCGCTTCGATGAAGGAAGCCTGTGGTAAAAAGACATACCTTTCGGTATCGCCAAGAAAGCGATCGGGATAATTGCATCCTTGTGTGCACGTCTGACCGAGTTGTGGACATTGCCCACTGACATGTATAATGGATGGAACTCCGAATTGCCAGTTCCGACAGATACAGTCGTCTTGTCAGCGCCGAGGATCATCGGGGACAACATCGATCCATGGCTCTCTGGATCCTCCGCAATCTTCGTCTGTGAAGGGCATCATTGAGAGTAGATACACTTCGTGATACGCAGTACTCACTGCTTGTCTATACGCCCATTGCCCCGACATTGAGTTCGAGAAGCGTGTGGTATTAGGGGCGCTGTACTCCTGATAAGGAGTCGTATCGAACCGGCCATTGAAGTCCTCGTTGCCGATCATGTTCCGAGCAACTTGTCGGGCATTGCAGCAGTGAACGACGTAGTCAGTGCGCTTCCACGACGGTGAGTCCTCGTCCACAGGCCCAGTGTAGCGAACTGTGAATGACTCCCACGGCGCGTTGCCATACGGAATCGCATCAATAGTCTTGTAGAGATCTTCTGTGTCCTCAAACGGCGGATCACCACCGCCTTGCATGGCGTTGTATGCCGCGATATTCCTTAGTAGTTCGTTGACGTCACCTTGCGATGCCTGCATCTTTTTGAAGAGGAGTTCGGCGAATTGGAAGGCTGGACGGTTCTCGAACGGCGCGTATGAGTCGATTGGCTCTCGTTCTGGAGGGGGTGCACCAGGAGGAAGGAAGATACCTTCCGAATCGCAAGGTCGACCTATGTGAATGAAGTGAGCTACAGTAAGGCGAAGATAGACGACGACATACCATTCAGATGAGGATGATATCGGAATGTCGACCTCGGTAGCCCAGTCTTAGATCGCTTGTGTCGACGTGAGTTGTGGGAGGTGAAGCCGCGGCGACAACGGAAGGATTGGCTGCAAATAGTGCACCAGTAGTGGTGGGGTTGGGGCATGTTTTGTAAATTGATAAGGTAGATTGTTACGTGGTACGTGAGGGAGAGAGCGTCCCGTACAAAGGCGCACGCAACAGAGACAAATATAATACAAACACTATTGTGTGCGCACCTTTGCCGGCGTGCCCTCGTGCCAAAACGGCAGGCCTCCCCTGTTCGGAAATTCCCGCCAGACTTCGTGGCATCGTCCGTCTACCTGCTTGAGGTCCTAGGTTCTGGCACATCGACGGCCTCAGCACTCACAGTCGGGGCAATGCCGGCTCCCGCCCAGACACGGGCCTTGAGGTCGAGGACCGTGAACATCGAGGACACCGAGCCGGACGACGCGCCCATGACAACTCCTGTCGCTGTCTCGCTGTCAGCAGAAGCCACGACATCACCAACAGAGGAAGAGGACGCTACCGCTGAGCCGCCACGCCGCTGAGCCGCCACGCCGCTATGCCACCCGTCGTACGAACAATCCACATCCGGCCCTTTCAGCAGGTCTCCGCAAGCGGACGAACGCAGAGGTTCAGGAGGAGGCGGAGAGGAAGCAGTCGGAAAGGGAGCTCGAGCTCGAACGCAGGGAAGCCGAGCTTGAACAGCGGGAGCTCGAGGTTGAGCGGAAGACGCAGAGTTTTGCCAGCTTCGAGCAAAACCTGAAGTCGCGTCGTGATGAGGATACCATGGAACACATTTTTGACGACGAAGATGCTGCTATGGAGGATATAGGTGAGTAAACACACATATAATTCAGATTCTGGATCACTCACTGTGTTGCATAGGACAAGGAGAAGACATCGCGGAAGCCGCCTCCAAGTCGGACGAGGACGACGATGATTACGAGGTGCAGAGCGAGCATGGCGGATCCGACGAGTCTCAGCCTGCACATTCAGATGATTCGGACGAATCTGATGGCAATGTTGTCACCGGTACGAAGAGGAAGGCTGGCAAAAAGACCAAGGTGAGCGGCGCCATATCAGGTCTTGTACAGTGTGAGTGCTTACGGGCGCCATTCATAGGAGGATCGGAAGTCCAGCGCGAAGAAGAAGAAGACGAACAAAGAGCGTAGGGAGGAGATATTGGGTGAAATCCAGAGAGCGAAGGAGATCCAGGCTACTCAGGCAGAGGAGGATGAGGCGGACGAGGCGGACAAGGAGGACGAGGAGCGGTGTGTTTGCCTTCATTAAGATAAGATCAGATGATCTAATGTGCGTTATCTTGATTTCCAGCGAGGACGGACAGACGTTGAAAGCGAGCTCAAAATCGACCACGAAGCCCAAGCCTACATCCAAATCCAAGTCCAAGCCAGCACCGAAGCCAGCACCGAAGCCAGCACCGAAGCCAGCACCGAAGCCTGTGTCCAAGCCTGCACCGAAGCCTGCGTCCAAGTCCGTATCCAAGCCCACGGCTACCGCAAACCGAGCCACGACATCGAAGCCATCTCTTCCTCCTATATTGCTCGACCTTCCAGACACTATGGGCTTGAAGGCGGACTGGAAGACTGCGGTCGCGTCACGTCGTTCACAAACACCGAAGTCACAGGTCAGTTCTTCTGCAAGGTCAGCATCTCCTGTAGCGTCGTCCAGCCAGGGGAGTACGCCGACGCCCAGGCTTTCTGCCGCCGCTCTTCGCGCAGGCAATGCCAAATGGAGCCGACGTCAGGACTCGATCGAACACATCGGAGGGTTCACAGACGACGACGTTACCGTTGGCTCAGGACCTGCGAAGCGTGGCTATGCTCAGCTAGCGCAGGTCTTTCAGAAGGGGAAAGGGGTCGATGAGGAGCAGTTCGGAGGGAGTACGAAGAAGAAGCGACGCGCGAAGGGTGCCGTCCCAGACGAGAAGTCTCTCTCGGTCCACGCCTTACCCAAGTTCATTCAGCCGCACTGGAAGAACGCCTTTGTGCCGACGATGCTCCAGCTGATCGGCGAAAGCGAGCAGCCCTGGGCGTATGCAAGTGGCAAAAACCCCGCCGAAGACAACCTCCTTGTCGACCTCGTGCAGGGTCTTGTAGATAGATTCTGGCCGGAGGAACAATATGTGGTTGATGGGTCGGATAAGGTCTATCGCATTGTGAGTCGACTCCGTGAAAGTGTGTTCTATGCTCTGACGCATTGTACAGGCGCGCCAAGCCGTCAACGACTGGCGCGCTCGCTTTGTCTCTCGGATCAAGACGTTCGTGAAGGACGAGTTCGCCAAAGTGTATGGCTCAGCTGCGAAGATCGCAGCCTATGCGAATAGTGCAGTCGTGCGAAGCCAAGGGCTTGCTTTCTGGGCCGTCTACGATTCCGAGGTGAGTCTTCGTTTGACTCACATTTGCAGTGGCTTCACCCGGTGACGCGACCGAAAAGAACACAAAAGCCACACAAAAACCCAACCGTGAGGTCGAGCAGTGGTATGTGAGGCCTCTGAGTCTATGAGATGTACGGGGGACTGTACAGTGGTCTAGGTAAGAAGGAGGAGGACGGACAAGACTCCGAACGACGTGGGAGAGCTTCGAAGATGTCGAAGACTGTTCGAAGGCGAGGGCTAAGCCTCGAGGGTAGGAAGGAGGGTTTCGACAGACGTGTCGAACGAATGGTAACAAGGAAGGCGAGCGACGGCAGGAGAAGAAGTGTAGAGCCTCTCGGGGCAACTACGAGCTGGCGAACGTACTGACGAACTGGCTGACTGACTGACTGGCTTCGAACGTACTGGCTGACTGGCGAACTTGCTGACTTTCGAACGTACTGACTGGCTGACGAACCTCGCCGGTGCGAGGTGAGATTGAGAGGGTAAGGGGGTCTCTGAGATTCGAAGGGAACAAGTCCCAGAGTATATACAGGAAAATACGGTCCGAAGACCAAGAGAGCCAAGAGAAATACAAGACATGATGAATGAAAGAGATAAGGAAAACAGCCAATCGGAGAATGTCACAACGCTCGACCCGGACCTACTAACACATGAGAGAATCCAACTCGGCCTTCCGCAGGTTCCGCATAACGGGCGACCGTCCCCGAACGGCGAAGGTCATAACCGGGGCCGGTGACAGTCCTCGAAGATATGAGACAGCTGCAGGAGTTCGCCTGACTTACACGAACATGCCGCACCTCGACCCAACTTCCGAAGTGTATGCTGCCCGCTACTACCGCCTCCTAGAGGTCCTCAAGACCGAGGGACTTGTCGAGCCGCGATACGATGCCAACAGTCCCGGAGAGTGGCTGGCTTGGGCCCACGGAGTCCGTTGGATGATTGTACGTGCCTCCGAACTTAGACTATCGTTCGAACCATCGAACCGACCTTCGAACAGCGATTCTTGTTCGAGTCCCGCAGCCGGGCCATCCTGCTAGCGAACGATACGCTTCCTGCTCCTAGGTCGTTCCCCGAGATCGACGAGTTGATGCGTTACCTCGACGAGGTCTTTCACCGCGATGGCAACCAGGGAGATATCCTAGGTTCGCTGTTACGCGAAGCTAGGCGAGTGGAACACTACAAGCCACAAGCTTGCAAGGTTACTAACTTCAAGGAAGAGTTCTGTATCTTAGACCTAGGAAGGACGCAAGTCCCTTCGTCCTAGTCGAGTTCCGAAGCGGTAGCGGTATGAGAAAGCTAGCGTCGATTGCTAACCAGGTCGAACTGAAGAGTCCGACCTCTACTGTACAGGTATATATACAAACGAATGAGTCTGAGTCAAGGCGTACAGTAAGCATGAGTCAAGATATGTCATCGCTGACGAAGGAATCGGTAATCATGACGAAGAAAGGAGTCAGCAGGGTTCAGCTATCACATGATAGTCCGGGTGCGGTACAGTACATAACCGGTCCTCATGCACGTGAGGTGGTTAGAGATAACAAGTAAAAGAAAATGAAAATGTACGTAACATGGCGACTTGTAACATAAGCCCCTTCCTATGGTCGACGTCCGCGTTGACCACTAAGCCTCAGGATTTTGTTCGTCTCCACCGTCGTTACCGTCCGCATACATGTCGTTGATGTCACCGTTGAAGTCCCAAGGAGAGGGTACTCGACTCGAAGGTTGGTCTTCAACCGAGTGAGACTCCTCGTTGGACTCGACCAGCACCTGAAGAGATCCGACATGAGGTATACTTGCCGACCGTCTGTTGGCACGGATTCTGTATATGGCGGCGTTGGTGTTTCGAGTCGCGACGGCCGGTGGTACTTCCGAGGGGTAAGGAAGGTGCGATTGGGATCATCGCTATTGATACCAACCGAATACCCTACGACTTCCCCGTCTGGACCGTAAACGACTTGAAGGATTCGTCGACCAAAGATTTGATCGACGAGTTCTTCTGCATGTGTGGACGTGGATGCTCGTGGACCTTCGTCTCGTTGCTGAGCGAGAAGCTGGGCCTCAAGCGTGAAGAATCCGTCGGTATTCATGGATGACGATGAAGAAGGTCGAGGTGTTGGTGCGGCGAGGCGGTCTGCTTCGGAATATGCTGGAGGTTGGGAATACCTGGGCGGCGCATCCGCCAGTTCTGCGCGTGTAGGTTCTATATGGAAGTCTTCCTCCGACTGCGACATAGGAGGTGAAACGATGCGTGATAGGGGTCGGGGCGGAGGGATTCCTTGAGGTCGACGCAGATGTGCAGGTGGCGTAGGGATACGTACAGGGCGTGCGACGAGATCCGATGGTAGGATTCCACGAAGTCCTCCGTCGGGGTTCGTCTCATCGTAGTCCTCGTCGTAGAACGGACCTATATGCCATTCATGCATATAGTTCTCGGCCTCCACCCAGGTGTCAAATACCATTCCTCGTATTCCGGAGCGATACAAGCGGCTCAGGATCGCGTGCGCACCTATCCGGTAGATTCCCGGAAGTCGGCCTCGAGCTACGGCGTAATATCGAGCCGTCGGGTAGGGTGATGATTCGAGGTGTCGGCGACGACGAGAAGCGCGTCGACGAAGGGAGTACGGTTCAGCAAGATTATTCTCGTCGGTTTCTTCGGCGAGTTGTCGTGCTCCTCGTTGAGCAGCATTGGTGAGCCGGACGAGGTGCGACTCGGAAAGGATATCGGCGGCGAGGATCTCGGAGAGACGTCGACCGTGCGTCGTCGCTGGTCCCACCTGGGGACATGCGCGGTTCGTATGGCCTGGGGCCGTACGTCGGCATTTGGGACAGGTATACAGGAAGCAGTCGAGAATTCGATGTCGCTGCTCGTTGTTGCACCCCAGGAAACACACGGTTCTATTGTCGATGAGGGCTCGTGCTGCTTCGGGGACGAGGTCGTCACGAGTCGTGTCCCTTCCAGGATACACAAGGTTCGTGGGGTCACGTGCTTCAGGATCATTGTGTGCGAGGAGCTCCGGGAAACGTGTGTGCTCCAATGTTTCAAGAGCCGCGGTGAGCGCACCGACGGCGTCTCTCTCGTACGCTAAGAACTCGGCCACGATGTCCTGACGTAGATGTCTCCTTATCGTGACCTCGGTTATGGCGTCGTACACGCCAACCAATGCGTCGAGGGAGTCGTGTTGTTCCGCGTTCGTGAGGGGAATCTCGACAGGTGGGTAAGCGAGGTCGATGAGCTGGGTGTCGGGGTCAAGGAAGAGGTGTGGACCATCCTCCAGTTTACGCGGGTGTCGGGGGCTTCCTGCAACTCGGGTCGTTCAGAGAAGAGTCGACGAGTTTCGGCGAGGAGGGGAGTGGGAAGGATGGGAGAGGGAGTGCGGGCGACGGCAAAGCGAGACATGTTGAGTGGAACGAAGAGACGATGAAGGTTCAGAGGACTGGAAGTGGGTTATCGTCTTCGTGGTTGAAGTCGATGCGGACGACTCCAATGCGATGCTTTGTCTTATACTCCAAGAGGAGATCATCTGATGTTCCGGTTAGGTTCCGTTCCGGTATCCATTCGTTGGCTGACGAAGGATAACCGCGCCATGACACATAGTACTGTCTCCGACTGGAACTTCCTCGGTGATTGATGATTTGCTCCACTTCGTATTCTTCTTCTCCGTCGATAAGGTCAGGTGGTGGCATCGTGTGATTGGGACCGTGAGTGTCCGTCGTTCTATATGGGGAAAGAAGACCGGCGTGGAAGACGGGATGGATTCGCCATTGCTTTGGTAGCGCTAGTCTGTAGACTCCGCGTCCCATGACTTCCGTGATTGCAAATGGTCCTTCCGTTTAGGCGATAGTTTCCGGGATGGATAAGGGAGATGAAGGTTCTTCGAGTCTAGCCAGACCTTCTGTCCTTTCTGAAATGTCGGTGATCCCTTGCGGATACGGTCTTCTACCATGCGTTGTGCGAGTTCCATCGTGGCTTCGGCTTCTTTCCGAACTTGTTGCAGGTTGTTGAGTCGTTCTTCAACTGAGGGAATGTTCGTGGGTTCGTGAACGGCTGGGATGGAGCGAGGTTCGTATCCCATCATTGCGTAGAACGGGGACATCTTGATCGTAGAATGCTTCCTAGAGTTATGTGCAAACTCGGCGTCGGGAAGCATTGATGCCCAGGTTTCAGGATTGTTTGCGCAGAGGATACGAAGGTAAACCTCGAGCTCTTGATTTGCTCGTTCCGTTTGTCCGTCCGTCTGAGGGTGGTACGCCGTAGAGATTCGTTGGTCAATCTGAAGGATTTTGCACAGTTCTCGCATGACTCTAGACGCGAATTGGGGTCCTCGGTCAGAGATCATGTGATCTGGGAGTCCAAATCGTCGGTAAACCGTGTCGTGTAACATGCGAGCAGTGTCTGCAGCGTCTTCAGATTCGGTGCAAGGTGTATAAATTACCCCCTTCGTAGAGTCGTGGTCCACAACGACTAAGCAAGAGTCGTATCCCTCCGGAGTTGGCGGAAGGTGTGTGATGTAGTCCATTGTAATCGTCGACATAGGGCGGGTGGGAAGCGAAGCGGGGATAGGGTAGAGCGGGACCTTCGTGGGATGCGTGTTAGGTTTCATCTGCTGGCAGGGTGCGCATCCTTTGACGTATTCCGAGATCGAGTGTGTCATTCCAGGCCACCAGTAGCCTCGTTGTACGAGAACTTTGGTGCCGTCGATACCGGGGTGTCCTGCTGCCGGAAGGTCGTGGTGCAAACGAATGATGCGTCTTCGTAGATTTTCATCCGGAGGAACATACACTTTGCCCCGGTACCAGACAAGTTGTCCATCAGTTGCCCAGTCTTCGAGTGACGTGCGCGCGGGCGGTGGTCCCTTCCCGAGAAGCGCATCAAGTGCCTCCCGAATCATGGGGTCTATGTCGTGGGCGGCGGTGATCTGGTCCTTCAGTGTGATATTGACGGCTCGAGCGAAGACGGAGGATGGTAGCATGATCAGTTCATCATTGTCTTCAGATCCGTCGTCGT